GGAACTTTGGCATCTTGTTTGACCCTTAATACTTCACATCTGTGCCATGTCCTGCTCTGCCTTCCCCCACCTCTGCAACCTCGCCCGGCTCCGCCAATTTCTCACACTGCAGGCCGTGGAAAACCCTCATATACGCTTTCATTACATCGAGGCTTGACTGTGCAAACTCCTTGCTTGTTGGCCTCCTCAACTCCTCCCTCCATAGGCTGCAGATCATCTAGAACTCTGCAGCCCTTGTACTCTCCTGCACCAGGCTCTGTGACCCTATCACCCCCATCCTCGCCCGACTCCACTGGCTTCCCATCACACAGAGGATACAGTTCAAGATCCTAGTCCTCACCTTCAAAGCCCTCCATTGTCTTGCTCCCCCCTACCTCTGCGACCTCCTAAACCTCTACAATCCTGCTCATTCCCTCCACTCAGCGCTCCGGCCAGCTTCACGTACCCCGCCTCGCTCGCCCCACTATTGACAGGCGGGCCTTCTGCCACTCTTCCCCATACCTCTGGAACTCCATCCTACAGTCCCTCTGCCTCATCCCCTCCCTTCAAGACCCATCTCAAGACCCTCCTCTTCGACCATGCCTTCAATCACCTGCTTTCCCCCCATGCGCTCCACTCTCCCCTTTCACGACCCCCAACTTGGGTCCGAAACTCTGTCTGTCCAGCGCCTTGGGAGGTCCTCCCGACGTGAAAGGCATTATACAAATGTAATTTTGTTGTTGAGACCTGATACGATAATGTAACATCTTTCACGTCATGAGGCACTGCACAGTCAGGGATTTGGACCCGAACTGGGGTTGGGATCAGGCTGGGAGGAGGGTAGAGAGGGTGACCAAAGCTGCAGTCGGAGGGGAAGGTTTTGAGATGGGCTTTGAAGAAGGCAAGGGAGGGAGCAAGGCTAAAGGACTGTGGAATGGAGCTCCAAAGGGTGGAGCTCCACCCTCCCCCACCCCGACCCCCAGCTCGGGTCCGTAACTCTTGTCTGTCCAGTGCCTTGGGACATCCTCCAGATGTGAAAGGCGCTTTACAAATGTAATTTTGTTGTTTTGAAAGCGAGGATGAGGATTTTGAACAATATCCCCGGGGGATGGGCAGCCAGTGGAGCCGGGCGAGAATGGGAGTGATGGGTTCACGGAACTTGGTGCGAGAGGACACAAGCTGCAGAGTTAATAATAGGAATCCGTGCATTTGATATAGCACCTTATCACATCTTCATGATGTTTCAAATTGCTTGATAGAATATACGGTAAAGTGAATTGACGTTATATTTTATGGCTGAAATGCGGCAGCCATTGCGCATAGCAGTGTCCCACAAACAGTCAACTTGGAGCTGAACTGGCTCCAAGGTGACTTGCCTGGTAGTGTAATGTCGGAATCGATTCAGCGCTCTGAGGCGCTCTCGGTAGTCCGGGTCCTGAGCCAGGCGGGTCCGCAGTACTCCAAGGTACTGCTGATGACAGTACCTCCCAGCCTGGCTCATCGGCAAGACCTGGAAGTGCAGACCAGTTATTCAGGGCAAGGAGTCATCCCATTCAGCTCCTGTTAACCCTTTGTCAAGAGTATAGGATGATTCGCTTAGGGGAGGCTGCTGACGCAGAGTCAATTTATAAAAGAATGAGATAAACTCATGCAAAGAAAGAGGATTAGAGGAGATGGGGAAAGATCAGGAATCAGGCTTTGGAGAATAGATGTGATAGTTGATGCCCTTTCGCCTCTGCTCCGGCAGTCAAGACTGACAATCCAGGGATTCACTGCTCAGACCTCAGTGGAAGTTCAGCTTTGGGTACCTAATTTTACGGTGAATGTTAAAGATCGCAAGGCACTATTCAAAAAGAGAAGGAAGTTTCTCCCGGTGTCCTGGCCAACAATCCCCCAGATAAAAATTGGTCATTCACTTCATGGGTGTTTGTGGGACAGTGCTTATAAATAGTCACTGAACTTTACAGTAAATCCTGTGATATTCCGACAATGTGATAGGTAGTATATCAATGCAAAGATCATTATTATTGTGATTATTATTATATCATAAAGCTTGACAACTCAAAGCACTTCATAGGATTTTATTGTGAATTGTGGTGCCACCTTCATAAGTGACATTAAACCAAGGTCCCGCCTGTGGGTCAGGCGAACAATATAGATCACAGGACAAAATTTGGGAAGAGTTTCTCTCGGCACCCTAGCTAACAATCACCCAGATAAGATTAGTCATGTCTGTTTGTGGGAATTTGCTGTGTCAGACTTTGCTGCCACAATTGCCTACACTCAGTCACTACACTTTACAATAGAAATCCTGTGAAAGATGTTGAGATATTGAAGACAATGATAAGGCACAATATCAAATCCAAGGCTTATTATTATACTCCCTGGCCCAGTTTCATTGCTTTACATTTATCTTCATTAAACAGTATCGGCCACTTCAGAACCCAATGACCAATATATTTAGATTTCAGGAAGTGAAGAGAAATAATCAAATGGTTGGCCACAGGGTTGAAACCCCGTCTCCCGTCCTGCACATCCCACAGATACAAGCAAATATCCCAGCAAAACTGTCAGACGACCACACATATGTTCCAGATCAATCATTAAAGAGTGAATGCAGTGGCTCATTGGTTGATGTTATTAGCCGCACTCTTGCTTACTGGGGCACCTTACACTGTATTCTCCCCTGATAGAGTTCATTTCCTCTCCCCCGCATGCCACACGCTGCTCCCCAACCGAAAAAGCAGCCAACAAACTGAGTCTGTACTTGACACGTGGGACATGTGAAGCCACTTCCTGCCACTCTGTGTCACCTGTACAATAAAAACTGCTCAGTAATGATTTAGCAATTTCTCTCTTTTTGCAAACATTGTCAGCCTTTATTAACCTATTAAACACAATAGAAAAGACAACTGTTCAAAAACATGGCAATAGCCTTCCTTCTCACAGACATCTCTCAGCTCTCACACAGAAAACTTTCAGGTTTACACTGCAACATTTACTCAGAAGTTAATGCTTCACAAACGTGCTGCACCCTATTGCACGAAACACAAGTTGTGGAAGCTAGCCAACAGACTAGTTCAGTTTTAATGGTTTTCAGCTCCACTTACTAAATACTGCTTCAGAATAACTACAGCAAAGCTATTTATTCCGTTATTCGCTATGTCACATGATGCAAGACTATAGCTTACGCAATTTTATCATAACCTTATTCTGCTTCTAAAATCACCATCCTGACTATCACAATACAGTTCAGCCATTCAGGAAGGGGAAGAAGGCACACAAGAATGTTTCACCGTTTCCAAACCTCAATAACCTTTCTCGTGTGAACTCTGCACTTTCTAATCCACAGTTTGGTGACTACATGTTCCAACTTCCCAGCATTCACGATATCAGAAAGCTGAATTGGTTCTCAACCAGGCCAGTAACCAAGATTTGTTGGATTTTTCTCAGTATCGGTGTCCCTGGAGAAGGGGGGGTGGGAGTCAAAACAAAATAAGCCCCAATTCCTGCCCTGAGCCTACCCGGTGACCCCTCCACGAAAGTGTGGACATCAAGGGGGTCTGGATCAAACTAAGCTCTGATGCCTCATCAATAGTGTGCAGCGCCTTGGGATGTCCTCCTGACGTGAAAGGCGTTTTATAAATGGAATCTTGTTGTTGTTGTTGTTGCCATTCACTGTACACATAGACAAACAAGGTATATACACACTTTTGGCCGAGGTATTGGAAAGCACCTACAGAAGTCAATAACACGATCAGAAAGGGGAAGCCACCTTATGGTTCTGTAACAAGCTCAAACCACCCTATGCTTATTTGGGCAGGTGCAGAAAATATCATCTCAGGGATATTTCGAAAACTAAACATAAAAGAACTAAACATCCTCAAACATCGCTAAGAAAGAATTTGCATTTTTACAGCACCTTAATGCTGTACATCTAAAGCATCTCAAAAACACTTCACAGTAATCGTCAAGTGAAAGTGCCCGTTTCCTGAACACTGTTCTTTTATTAGCAATCGGAAATTTTACAAAGTGTTCACTGCTGCTGAGACTTCAAAAATGTAACTTGAAAATAATAAAGCGCGTTATTGCATACGTGAAAAAAAAATAGTCCAAACGCTTCGAAGGACGCGCGCACGGTATCCTTCTCAGCACCCCCCGACGTGACCGGTTCTAAGATGTTGACGAATAAATAATTTCCCCCAATCTTAACAAATGGAAATAAAACGATTTGCTTTTTGCACAGGAGGAACTTGGTTAACGTTTCAGGTCTCTGCTTCCTCATGGGCTCTCAGTCAAGTGTAAATTTCCCACCTCACAGACTTTGAATTTAAAAGTCATACACACACTTCCTGCACTATGGTGATCAATGATTTACCCCCACACCCCCCCCCCCCCAAACACACACACCCCCCCAACACCCCCCACCACACAACACCCCCCCACATACACACACTTTACATGTAAAGTCTCCCCCACACCACCCTCTCCCACACGAGGCCGGGCCTGCACTCTGTCGCCGAGAATAAACTCAGTTTCACTACGGCTTAGTGGAGAGACACACACACAAAGTTGAGGAGAGTGAACATTAGTCACCATTAAACCTCTGAACCCATTTTTTTTCTACCCTTCCCCCCCCCCCGAGTGGGATTGGGGGGAGGGGGAGGGGGGGGGGGGGGGATAGGCCCGGGCCGCGGCCCCTTTAAACGGGGCCGCCAGCCCTCCCGCCGGGGCAAGTGCGACTAAAGCCGGGGCTGCGGTGCTGCCCGAGAGCCGCTGCCCGAGCGACGAACCGCCGAGTGCGAGCGCGCGGCCTTGGGGGGGCCGAGGAGGAAGCAGCTGCTCCGGCCTTGCCCGCCGCCGCCTCGCCCTTGCCCCGTCACCATTTCCAGCTCTTATCCCAGTGCGCGGCGCCAGCCGTGAAACGCCCCGGAGCGAGCGAGCGAGCCCCCCGCCCGCCCGGCTCCTCCCTGCCCCCCCGCCCTCCCTCTCGCACACTCGCCGGCTGCCTCGCTCCTTACCTCCGCCGACCCGCCCGCCGCGCCGCTCCTCTGGCCGAGCCAAGATGGCGCTGGCTTGGAAGAGGGTGAAGCCGCGCTGTCTGACAGGGAGAGCGGGGCGGCCGCTTGCTCAGCGGCTCTGCCTGAGTCCCTCCGAGCGCCGCCGCCGCCGCCCGCCATTGCGGCTCTACCCCGGCCCCCCCAGGCGAGAGTAGTCGAGCACCTACACGCCCCGACCCGTCCGCCACCCGGCGATCGCCTCACCCCCGAGCCCCTCGGCGCCCGGCGGCCCCGCCGCTGTGAGGAATGTCGGGCCGCCCTTGCCCCCAGGCCGCCCGCTTCCCGTCGGTTCCGGCGGGAAGGGGGCGAACCGGGCAGGGAGGGGGGCGGTCGAATCGATGGGCGCGGTCGCTCGATTGCGCGGGTCTGGAAGTCACGGAGATTGCCGAGGACGGGCTGAGGTGGCGCGGCTCCGGCCCCGCGGAGGCTCCGGCCAATCACAGCCCGGCTTTCTCTTCCTCGTGCGGCTCCGGGAGGAAGGCTCGCGCCTCGCGAAGACACCCGACCGCAGCGCGCGCGCCGACGGCCGCGAGCGTTCAAATACAGCCCTCCCCCTCTGCTCCTCCTCCCGACTCGGCCGTTGGAGCGCATGCGGCGACCGTTACTTTGGGCGGGAAGCGAGGGCCCCCATGGAGGCCGCCTGGCTGCAGCGGCTCCTCGGGAGGCGGCTCAGGGTCACCCTGGCCTGCGGCTCCTACGCCGGCTTCCTGCGGCACGTAGACCCCGGCACTAAAGCCATCGCCCTGGACCTCAGTGAGTGAGGGCGCCGGGGAATGGGAGGGAGTAAAATCGATGGCTGCGGCATGAGGGCCGCTCCCTGGAGGCCTCGTCTCGGCTGATGGCGCTCAAGAAGTTGTCGGGGAGTCGTGCAACTCCAGCTCTGCCATCGGCCCCATCGCCTGGCCGGGGCTCCTGTCTCCCCCCCCTCCCCGCCCAAGTCATATTATTTTTTTATAAGGGGTGGTCACTGATGGGGAGACTGAACCTTTTTATCCCACGTCCGGGAACGTCAAAAGCAGATTTCCGCAGATGAAGCAATGCTTCGTGTGTCTGTTTCGAACCTCAGACATGATCAAAATAACAGGAAAGCAGCAAAATCTTGATCAGTTCATAACCCGTCTTCCAACCCCCTCGGGTCCCGACCCAACTGCACAGCGCCTCGGGACGTCCTCCCGACGTGAAAGGAATCGTGTTGTTGTTGTTGTCCGTGCCCTCCCACCGCCCTACCTATCCGCACTGCTGACTCCGCCGCCGCCTGCCTCCGCTCGGCTCCCTCCAGCCGCCTTTCTCGTCTCCCGTCCCTCCGCTCCACCATTGGCGGCTGTGCTTTCAGCCGCTACGCCCTGAAGCTCTGGAACTCCCTCAATCCCTCCGCCGTGCCCCCCTCCCGCCCCCACCTTCAAATCCCGCCTAAAGACCTTCCTTCCTAATCGTGCTCACGGTCACCTCCCCTCTCCCCCCGACTCGAGGTCAGACTCCACCACTGTCAAGCGCTCCAGGAAGCTTACCCCCCCCCCCCCGTGAAAGGTGCGATATAAATGCAAGTTGTTGAAATCGTACAATTTCTTTAACGATCAAGTTATATTCTGTAAAATTTGCCAAACATTCTGTAAAAACTGACAATATGCTGACCCCCTTGGAGACTGCCAACAAAATCACCATTAACTTTATTAACTTTATTATTATGATGAAAGGGCAATTTACTGGAGGGGGGGATTTTGAATTTTCCTGCTGGGGAATTCCTAGGGGCTGGTGTAGATTTTCCTCACACTTTATATGTTTTTTAAAAAAAAAGGCCCTGTGGGAAATTGTGCGCAATTTGGCTGCCTTGTTCGCCTCCAAATACACACACTCTGCACTTTGCAGGAAATCGTTGTGAAGTACTTTGAGACATCCTCACAACGTGAAAGGCCCTATATCATGCTATTACTTACATTGCATTATAAATCTTTAGAAAGTTCTCCCCCAATCAGTTCTCTTTTATGCAACTAGTGATCAGAGAGTGGCAGAGTGGGTGTAGCAAACTGTATAAATCTCTCTGGTCAGCTCCTAATGGCACTCTGGTTTTCTTCTTACTGCAGTTGAAGATTTGGAAAATAACCGGAAGCTTCCTGGAGTCAAAATGTTTTTTGGTCATGAAATCAAAAATTGTAAGTGCTTTATTGTCTAAAACAGCTTTTCTATGTGCCCGGGCACAGACTGCAGCACCAAAGTGGAGGCACTGCTGCTTTCTCATTGCTTCTGCATTCTTGGCCGGGTTGGGTGCAAAGCTCAGAGATATTTTGGAGTATTGTACTATTTTATTCTGGATCCTACTATTTTGGTATAAGTGCTCAAGAAAATAATCGTCCATTGGATGTGTGCGATATACCTGATATCATGATGCTACTCGAGCTGAGCTTGTAATCTTGTTGCCTTGTTGTGAGGCTATTTAATTCTGGAGAAACAGGAAATCCAACTCCCAAAAGATTGTACGGTCATTTGATGCTGGAAAATTTAGTCACTTTGCATTCCAAGTTGTCTGTAGCAGACTTGCCTCTCTGGTGCTTAACAGTGGCTAAGCCATAGAGAAAGGGGACCTGACCAAAGACACAGTCAAAGAGGAAGGTCTTCAGGTGCGATTGGAAGATGGGCAAGGCGGATGGAATAATACCGCAGTTCAAAGATTTACAAAGAATGTACAGCATGGAAACAAGCCACTCAACCCAACTCGTCCGTGCTGAGACTCCACACGAGTCTCCACCCTTTGCTTTCAGCTTCCTAACATTCTGCTATCTCTCCCACTATTCCACATACCCCTATTTTAGTCATGAGCCTCTCATATGGCACTTTATCAAAGACCTTCTGGAATCCACATACACTACATCCACTGCACTTCCCTTGCCTATTCTATCGGTTTCATCTTCAAAGAATTCAATAAGGTTAGTCAAGTGTGACCTTCCTTTTGTAAAACCATGCTGGCTGCTCACAATTATATTCTCCACTTTGAATTCTAATACCTTGCCCACAACTGACGTTAAACTAAATTTCCTGGATTAGCTCTATCACCCATTTGAAAAATGGTTATTATATTGCCATTCTCCTCTCCTTTCTTTACAGAGTTCTTAAATAGGTGTACCAGAGCCTCAGCTATCTCCTCTCTAGTCTCCGTAAAGATCCTTGGGTGCAGTCTACCTGGGCCATGTGCTTTGTCCTCTTTAAGTGTGTAATTTAATATTTCCCTCTCTTAACTGTTGTGATTCTATACTGTCCCTTCTGTTCTTACTAAATTTCTTTATCAGTTTTCTTTGTTTATTTCCAACATTTCCTTATTATCTGTTGTGAGTTTATCCCCTTCTCCCCTTAATGGGGCTATCACTACTTTAACCATTACTTTTGTTCCAAACAAACCCATAGAGTACATTGCTAACATGCCTGTAGAGTACCTTGCTGTTTTTAATTGTTTTTTTGCAATATTCTCCTTATGATTCCTCTTTTCCTTTCTAATCATTCACAACCATTCACAAGGAGCTCCGGGCTGTCAATCAGTCAGGGGCGGAGGAACAGGGAAGAACCAAACGAGGGAATGGAGATGAGAAGTCAAATCACGATTGATTTACAGCGAACTCCATCCATTCACAATGGGTCTGGGCTTTCAATCAGTAGCAACCAGTGAGGGGAAGGTGGGCAGTGACTGCATCTAGTGGACGGTAAGAGACCAATTAGCGGCGGCTCCGAGGTGTTCATAACCGCATCACCAAGAACTGAAATTGGATAGAGACGGTGACCTGCTGCTGCTCATCTACTGGGCGGGAAAGAAAGAAAACTTTGGTTAACCTCGGACGCCAGTTAATTCGGACAAAATGCCCTGTCGCGATGTGTCAGGCTTAAGCAGTTTCCATTGTACATGGTCCAATAGTGTCACTTGTCCTGTTTTATCCTTTATTTCTAACCACATGGATTCCATCTTGTGTACCCCTCATAATTTATATCTCTGCAATTATAGAGTGTCGTACCAATACTGCTCCCCTACCTCCCATTTTCTCTCTGTTCCTTCTAAATATATTGTATAATAGGAAGGTAGGAATATCGGAACAAGAGTGGGCCATTCAGCCCTTCAAGCCTGTTCTGCCATGTATTAGATTATGGCAGATCTGTACCTTAACTCCAATTAACCGCCCTTTCCCCATAACCCTTGATACCCTTACCTAACACAAATCTATATACTTGAATGGATCCAGCATCCACAGCCTTCTGTTATTTTAAGCACTCTTGAAATGCTACCTTTCATGGAGGGCACTATATAAGTGCAAGTGGTGATGCTTTATTCTGCAATATTTAATTGCCAATCATGTACAGCAAGTGTAATACTGCCCAAAGTGGAAACTACAAATTTGAATACATTTATCTGTTTAATAGTGATGTTCCTTTTCCACTCTAAATATAAATACATTGTATAAAACTTTTTTTTTAATCCTATTTGAGGGGAATTTGGGTCTTTTTATAAAAAGTCCTCTTCTGAATTTGAATGTTTGTTTTCTCATGCACTTCTGTAATAAATCTGTGTGTTTCAGTGGAGTTTCTTGATGCCGTATCCTGTGAAACAGTGAATAAGCCGAGACACGCTGACAAGTAAGACAGCTATCTTGTGGTTCCTTTATATCGTGCTACGGAGATTATAAATGCCACATTCTGATGCTCCAAATGTGTTTTGTAATTGAAATCTAAAGTTCAGTTACTAATGTACAACTAAAGGTGGTGCTTTTATACTGCTTCTGAACTAACAACAAAAACAACAACTTGCATTTATATAGCGCCCTTCATGTAGGGCAGCGTCTCGGAGACTGCTTTTGACAACTGACATTTTGTCCGTGTACAAATGTCAGTATCTCCATAGCCTCATCCACCAGACTTAGGTGATCTCCTGAGTGCCAACTGGTTCGGCTTCTCCCTCCACTCAGCAAACATTAGCCTGCTTCATGACACCCCCCCCCCCCCCCACATACACACACTATTGTGCAAGCTTTGTACTGTATTACAGTATATGCCCTGAGCAGTGATGCATTCAAGATCTTCAGCAGATGACATTTCTGGGAAGAAGTTCTTGCAGAAACTGTCCTGAATGTAAGGCTGTCAAGATTTTTGCTTCAACAGTTGAGTCAATGTCGCAGTCGCTGTCTATGACAACTGATTGAATTGCTCTGTGAGCTTCATGCTGTGTTGACTGAGGACCAATATTCTATTTAACTGTTGAGACATTCATAAGACCTCATGGTAACCTAAAGTTGTTCTTAAACTTATTTTCAAAGGAACAACTTGGAAAATGTAACGACAAAACCTCCAGAAGTACCTTTCGGGTGGCAGGAATCCTCAGGTAGCCTAACAGTTTTAATTTCTTTCCATATGTTTGGTGTTTAGATAAATGATAAATGGTGTTTATGCACAAGGAAGATTTTGTCACTGAAGGTTGCACTGAGGTCTCGGGGAGGAGGAGCATGGGAGATGTGCAGAGACCTGGAGGACTGAGGCCTGTGGGCACCTGGTGCACAGTACTAGAGAAGTGCTGCATTGCTGAAGTGTTGTCCTTTAGATGAGACATTAAACCAAAGTTTGCCAGTTCAGATATGTTACGAATTCCATTCAAAAGAAGCAGGGAATATCTCCCAGTGCCCTGGCCAACAATCTTGCAGATTAATTGGTTGTTCACTTTATGGCTTACCGTGGGGTATTGCTGTGTGCAAATTGACTGCCGTGTTTGACAAGGCAGAAGTTCCCAAACTTTCTGGGCTCAAGCCCTCCCATGACATTAGGCATCCTGACTGAGGATGACCCCCCCTCACACACACAATAAATCTGTAGAAATTGAGTAACTTATACGCATTGTACCTACACAGCTCTAGTTATCACTATTTTGCTTTTGTCAATGTTGGTAACTTGAAGAGATGTACTTGAGATCAATCTGCTATTTTGTATTTTTCAGAAGAGGAGACAGATTTGATGTTTCTTGTCATTGACCAGTTTCACCAAAAGTTTGGCCCTGCTGTGAGTTGATTGCTGTTCTTATATCTCGTGCTGGTTCGGGCTCTAGTACTCGCACCCTATTCCTACCGGAACTCATTCAAGTAGAGAAGCTATTTATTTCCCACTTCAAAATTAGATTTGGCAGGGACTGAAGTGACCTCTGTGCAGCATTAATAGCATTAAAAAGCTTGGCTTCAACAGACAAAAGGGCATTTATAATTGCAACAATACCAGTATTTGGCACATAATCATACAGCAGAATCTGTCACATCTGGACTTGAACCTGGTTTCTGTGTTTTTTACCACAGTTTACGCACCACTTTCGCATTGATCTGTGGTGACTTGGAAGTCACGTTCAAGCTATACTGTGTGCTGGTCAGGTCATACTTAGAATACTGTGTGCAGTTCTGTACACCATGACATAGGCCCTCGAGGCAGTGTAAAGGGAGCAACAAGAGTGGTCCCCAGTGTTAGAGAAATAAGCTGTGAGTAACAATTAGATAAACTTGGGCTCTTCAGTCTTGAAAATTAATGTTTCAGAGGGTATCTTATAGAGATGTATAAAATTTAAATGGGATTGATAAAGTAAACCCAGAACAAAACTTCTGGATGCACCGAGAGTATAGAACAAGAGGACATAGGTTTAGAGTTTTTTCTAAAAAAAAGCCATTTCAGGACAGACACCAGGACGTTGAATCGTTCAAAACAGCTTGTTGCTGTAATGGGAAGAAAGTAGGGTGGGGATTCTGGGACGATTGAGATCAAATGACCATTTTCATCCATACTGATCTTGTGATCATAGATTGTGAAGTACAGAAACGGGCTATTCAACCCAACTTGTATCTGCAACTCCACGTGAGCCTCCACAATTCCTAATCCTCTCTCCCATACCACTGTATTTTCTTCTCCCCCATGTTTCAATAGGAAAGTAGTTGACCAATGATTTGAAAATACAGAGTGTGTTAATTCATTCCTTACAGATCCTGCACATTAAGCAGCAGAGTGTGATTGGAGTTGCAGTGGAAGGTGTTGATGTCTGTCGCTTTGGAAAGCTATGTTGGTTGCAGGTAATATTCCATCTTGGTGTTAATGAATGCATGGAGCCTGACCCATTTCAAATATTTCTGTTTTTTCTTCCTTCTCTTCCTAATAGCATTTTTTGGGGTCAGCTGGGTGTTTGACACCTGCAGAAACCCATCACCATTCCATGTATCCCACCTACACATGGAAATTCCAGAGATAGATTGTTGGAATGGAAGGTGCACTCTGCTTACCTAATTCTGGAACGTATGATGCGCAGGTTTCCAGAAGGACTAAAGAGCAATGGTGACATCCTCAAATATTCGTCTCCATAAGAGAGCTTCAAGAAAGCTTCTCATAAGATGTCTGGTCTCTATCTCCAGCTCCGAGGGGGCCCCGCTTATCCCCCACCCTCCAGCAAGGAGGATAGTCACCGGTTGGTTATGTAATATCCAACCAAACTCGGGTTTGAGCCCTCACTAGGTGGATGGCAGGAATCAGGAACTCCCTGCGAGCTTCCTGGTGAGCAACACAGCTCAGCATGAAATGCGTGAGAGCATTGCTGTTCCTGCCCCGTTGTGTCTGTGCTGATGTTCACTCCCCAATTGGAGCTTTGTATTCTAATCCCATTCCCTGTTTTCTTCCCATACTAAGAATGCAAAGTTGTTTTTCATTAATCTTTCTTCACAGCTTCCCCTTTCACATTTGGGTTAGACCTCACTCTTTTCTGCCTTTGGTGATGTAAATGTATATTTTTGTGGCCTTGCCACCAAAACAGTTCGTCAAGCAGTTGGCAGCAAGTGTGGAAAAAAAAACACTTCTGTGCATAGTGGATCCAATAATGTAAAGGTTTCTATCCATCAGATCATTTTACTGCCTTTTAGGTACCATTTAATTCTTCGCCATTTTAGATCGCAACAAAGAGCCAAATTTACCTGTTTGACATCTCCCTCCTTGGAGCGGTGGCGTTTAAGAATGGGCTTGCGATGATTCTGACAGACTCTAACATACTGAAGGTACGTTTATTTACCCTAGACAGTCAACTGTAGGAAGAGCTTGACAAGTTAGGGAAGAAAACCATTGGAAACCAAGGTGACCAAGTCGTCTGTTCATTCATGGAACCAGAGGTTTTTCAGTGTTATCCTGAACTTTACTCTCGTGCTCAGGATCATTCACAACATTTGAGCAGATGAAACGATTGCTGCCTTCAGGATGAAGAAACTGCAGTGCAATGCTTGAGTACGAATCACTGGTACAGAGAATTTTAATCCTTTCTGGATTAGGGGGTAAAACATTCCTTTTAGGTGGAGATGTACTCTTAACTATGAAGTAGTCCAGAGCGTCTAGAATTTGGCAAATTCTTAAATCCTTGCAGTTGATACTGAATTTAACAATTTGTCATGTTTTGGACACTTGAAATATTACACAAAGAGATGAACTGTTGACCCGGACAGAATTTCTCCCCATAAGTAAGTACACTGACGCACAGATCCACCATTTGGTAGCATGAGGCTTGAGAGGAATCAGTGCTAATTTGGCACCCAGTATTGGCAACAAGCATTCCCAATTCAGGAAGAGCATGTCTTCAGAGGCAGAGTACAACTCCCCCTATTCTACTCCAATAATGTATCTTAACCTACAGGCTTGAAGTTTAATCTAGATAAATGTAAAGCAAATCACTTTGGTAGGAGGAATAAACAAGCCAACTATACATTAGATAGTAAGAATTTAAGAGGTGGAGAGGAGCAAAGAGATCTGGGATTCAGATTCACAAAATCACAGATGCTGAAAGTAGCAGCTAATGTAGACCAGGACAGAGAGAATATAAGTGGTGTCCTTGGCCAGAAGAATAGAATATAAAAGTGGGAATGAATGTTATTTATATAAAACCTTCATTGGAGTCCTGTGTGCAGTTCTGTTTGCCACACTACAGGAGAGGGTATTGTGGGGTTGGAGTGAGGGCAGCGCACATTTACAAGGCTATTACCAGGAATGAGGATCAGCCAGTGAGAAGGATTAGACAGGCTGCAGCTTTTCTCTGGAGATGAGGCAATTAAGAGTTTACCAGTAAGTGATAAGTTTACAGATCTGTTAACGTAATTGACTGTTTTCTTATTGTTCTTTATTCAGGTGATCCACGACTGCCGCCTGGTCTCTGACTGCTTATATCATCAATATGGAGTGGACTTGACCAACGTCTTTGATACCCAGGTATGCTGCATGCTGTTTCATTGTCTATTTGAGAAATCGTTTGAGCTTAATCGTGGTTAGAGGTGCTGCCTCTATTTATAAATGTTTTCCATCATTATACACTAAACCCCGGCTAACCGGATTAATGGATGGCGAGATCCGGTCTGGCCAGCCGTAGTTTCTGGCTAAATGTAATTACAATCCTGGTATTACCATTTACCGATGTTTTTTGGCACCGACTTTGTTCAATGCCGATAAATACCAGTTCTGGCATTGTAATTGAATAAACTATCTTCTGCTCGCAGGATTCAAACTGAGACAAAGTGGATCCTCCTGGCAACTGAAGGCAGCGAACTTGGTGGGGTAGGGTGTGGGCGGGGGCACGAGGAGATTATGGTGAGCAGGCAGCACTAGAAGAGCAGGGTGGGGGGGCACTATGAGAGCAGGGTGAAGTGTGGGGGGTGGCACTAGAAATGTTTTTCTGTCAGGGTGGGCCACCAAGAGAGCAGGGTCGGGGGGGACCACCAAGAGAGCAGGGTCAGGGGGGGACCACCAGGAGAGCAGGGTCGGGGGTGGGGGGCATGGGGAGTGCAGGGTCAGGGGTCACTGGGAGAGCAGGTTGAGGAGGGGGGCACTGGGAGAGCAGGACAAGGAGGGGGGCACTGGGAGAGCAGGACAAGGAGGGGGGCACTGGGAGAGCAGGGCGAGGGGTGGGGTGGTTGGGCGGCACTGCGAGAGCAGGGTGAGTGGGAGGTGCAGCACTAGGAGAGCACAGTGAGGCCAGGGGATCCTCACCCCTCACTAACCCTCAGCCCTCACTAATCCTCTCCCTCACCTACCATTAGCCATCTCGAACCCCACCTACCCTCAGCCCCTGCTAACCCTCTCCTCAGACAGTGAACCTGTGCATTTGGGCTGGGGGTTCCATTTCTGAGTAGCTGTTCTAGTATTTATTATGCAAGAGTGTGGGTGGGAATCTATTCAATGGAGTTCTGCTGCTTTGGGGAACCCAGGAATGCTGAGGGGGAGGGAGGTCTGTACCGTTGTTGTTTGGCAGTATTACGTTCTATAGTTTGGAAGCTTTTCTCTTGCTCTCTGTTGCTTATGGTTTTTCCTGTCTCACATTCTGTCTTTCGAGTCTATTTCTTTCTGTCTTCTCTTGTCACTCTCACACATCTTTACCAGTCTGTCTCTTACCCGATCAACCACAAAGAACATTGACACATTGTTCAACAACAAAAACTACTAGGACTGAACGTGTAAACATATTGAATGTCTTCAGCTGGTGGTAATGAAATCCCAACCAGAGAAAGCAGTAGATTGGTTGCATTCGTTCTAATGTTTCTGTCACCATAAGGGAGGGTGTTGCTGCAAACAGGTCAGGCCAATTTTGTGGCGGGGGGGAGGCAGTTGAAACTGGACCTACTGGTTGCTCCATTGAAGAACAAGCCAAGTCTATGTTTTGCTTCACAATAACTGAAACACTGCTATGGTTATAAACAGTTGCTTACAAAGGGTGACTTAGGTTTCACAATAACGTCACTGCTTCTTCCTTGTTCATGCTGATTAGTTTAAATTACCTGTGGAGAGAAATACCAGCTTGATTGAGATTTACTATTTATGTTGCATTTTATAGTACCTATAATTTGACAAATTGTTGAGTTTTAACTTTTAAGTCAATTGTCTTAGTGACTATCCACCTGAGGGGGGGAAGGAGGTGGGGAGAGGAAGGTGGGACCTCCTGGCAGCTGAACTGGCTCCAAGGTGACATGCAATACAACAGAATGTCAGAATGGAATCCACCCTCTGTTGTGGTCCATAGTTTGATTCCTGAGCTACGGGTCTGCAGTATTCCAGGGCACTGCTGATGACAGCACAGCCCAGACTGGCTCATTTGCAGGACTTGGAAGGGTAGACCAGTCTCCAGGGTAAAGGACTCTTCCCACTGAGCTCCTGTTAACCCTGCAAAGCAAAGCACTAAGATAGCAATGGGGACAACCCTGCATTGTTGGATGTGCCATCCTTTGATTGAGACGTTAAACCTGTGCAGGTGGATGTTAAAGATCCCATGGCACTATTTGAAAAAAGAAGGGAGTTTCTCCCGGTGTCCTGGCCAACAATCTTCCAAATAAAATTGGTTACTCACAACATGGCTGTTTGTGGCACATTGCTGTGCGTAACTGGCTGCTACATTTCGCCCACAAAATACATAGTCTCTGCACTTTACAGTATATCCTGTGAAACGCTTTAAGATGTCTCGACTTGATAAGACGTTATATCAAATGCAAGGATTATTAATATTAGGGTAGTCCTAGCTGAACAAGCAGCAAGAAGCTTGACAAACAGTGGTCTCATTGGCAACCTATATGGTTTTAACTGGTTAAACTCCAACGCACTCTTGTATCCACAAGCCTCGAGTCTTGCTAGCCTGTGCCTAATAATTTCCAGAATTAGGTAAGCAGGGTGTGTACATGGAGAGTACATATTGCATACCACACACAAGAATTTCCATGTGTAAGTGACAGACATGATGGATGAACACCAGTCTGGTGTTGATACTCTTTAGCAAAGTGATGGGTTTCCACATGTCCGCCGCACTGCATTAGAGTGTCAGCCTTGGCGTTATAGCCCCGATGTTGTACCTGAACCTACAACCTACTGAGTCGAAGGTGAGAGTGCTAGGTGAGAGTACTGGTGTTCCTCCATCATGTCTGTCACTTACACATGGAAATTTTTGTGTGTGGTATGCAATATGTACTCTCCATGTACACACCCTGCTTACCTAATTCTGGAGAGTATTAGGCACAGGCTAGCAAGACTCGAGGCTTGTGGACACAAGAGTGCTGGCCAACAATCCCACCCAAATAAAATTGTGCACTCATTTCACAGCTTTTTGTGTGATGTTGCAAGTACGCAAATTGGCTGCTGCGTTCACCTACAAAAAATAGAGTCACATCTCTATTGTATATCCTGTGAAACACTTTGAGACATCCTCCTGATGTGAAAGGTTTTTCACAGGTTGTGCTGTATCAAATGTAAGGATTATTAAGTCCCAACACGGGAATAGTAAAGATATGTTGGCATTGAAGGGATATAGCGAAGGGCAACAAGATTGAAAGGAGATTGATAGCTAGAAGACCATAAGACATAGGAGCAGGAATAGGCCATTCGGCCCCTCGAACCTGCCCCGTCATTTATTAAGAACATGGCTGATCTTCTAACCTAAATCCATTTACCCATCCTATCCCTTAATCCCTCTATCCTTTAGGAAAAAGGATTCAGCAAAAGATGGAATATTCACACTGCAAGATGTCTGCAGTGTATCTGCATTGTGTTGTGTGATTAGCTGTTCAGCACAGCCCACTATCATAGGAAGCAAACACTTTACCTTCTGGACTTTGGAGCCATTCAATGGATGTCATTCCTCTTTTTTACCTGTAGGTGGCTGACGTTCTCCAGTTCTCACTGGAAACAGGAGGTCTTCTCCCCAGCTGTGTCAGCACGTTTGAAGAAAGTCTGGTTTGTCACCTCAGCCTCTTGCCACCAAAAGTCTCCTTTCTCCAGTACAGAGCACAAATGGTCAAGGTAGTTATATAATCCTTGTGATTGATATAGCATTTATAATGTTGAAACCTCTCAAAACACTTCACCGTAATTGTCATATGTAGTGACTGCGTTTTTGTAGGCAAGCATAGTAGCCATTTTACACGCATCTAAATCCCACAGCTGCAAAGTGAATGACCAATTAATCTGCAGCATTGTTGGCCAGGAAGGAAATCCCTTTTTTTTTGAATAGCGCCATACTTTAATGTTCACCCGACACCAACAGATGAGATCTTGGTTTAAACACAATAACAACAAATTTCATTTGTATAGCGCCTTTCACGTCGGGAGGACGTCCCAAGGAATCCAGAATATCTCATCCAATGGACAGCACCTACGATGTTGTTCTAAGCAATGCCACTAAACATAGAAATCCTAGAGATAGATTGATGGAATGAAAAGCGCACTCTTCCTGGAAGGACACATCCTGCTTCTTAATTCCGGAAAGGCACAGGTTGGCAAGAGCCAAGGCTTGGGGACCCTAGAGTGTGCTTTGGGGTAACTGCTGGTGTTTAATCAGCTAAAACCATATACCTTGCCATTGATATTGCTGTCTGGCAAGCTTTCCCGCTGCTTGTCCAGCTAGGATCACCCTACCCATTACGGCTTTGGCTTATAGCGTTAACGGGAGCTGAGTGGGAAGAGTCCCTGCAGCCAGTGACTGGGCTGCCCTTCCACATCCCACCAATTAGCTCAGCTCCAAGGAGGCCCCACTTACCCTTTACCCCAGGAGAATAGTTACCACTTACCACGGGTGTGCCTTTGGTCACCTTCCTCCCCCTCCCCCTGGCTCGGCCCCGGGATTCGTTACTGTGAAGCGCTCTGAGACGCCGTCCAGCATGGAGGGCGCTATAGTTGATGTTGTGAAGTCAGCATTTAAAAAGCAGCAATGATGGGGGGACTGTACGGTGGGTGGTCTGGAGGAGTGAGAACTGATGGACTGGAGGACCTTCTTCTTCCAGTCCAATCTTCTAATATTCTGACAAAGAAAACGATGGTGGGTTGTTAGAGTAAGGAACACTGCCACAAAATGGCTGTTCAGGCTGAGACTATAATAATATTTCAAAAAAGAATTAACTGGATTAAAAATTGAAGAGATTACAGTAGAGTACAGGAAGCGAGCCAGGGAATGGGATTAGCGCAGAATAGTGCTCTGGGATGCTACCTTGTGTGAGGGGTGCTATATAAATGCAAGTTGTTGTTGAGTGAGCACGAGCCCAGACACAATGACAAGAGGGAGAATTACACCAATTCTAAATAAACAAACAAATAAATAAAGCTAAATGTATCAAGTGTTGAAATTTTTTTTTGTATTTTGACACCATCTTTGAAAATGCAACTGGCTGAGGCCAGTGTTAATTACTCTCCTGCTTCCTTTATCTTTAATATTCAGGTTAACCCCAGGGTGTGGGCCAGCCGCCCACTCTCTCCCTGCTTGCTACGCATTGCAGCTTTAGAAGTCAGATATCTGTTGCCGCTGCGTTCTATTCTGATGGATAAGCTGATGTTGGATTTCACCACTCAGGTGGACAACTACTTGAACATGTACAGAAACATGCCCAGCTTCACCCTGGGCTGCCCTGAGGTAAGGACAAGTCATATTCCCTGCTTATTCCAAAAGCTTCAACTCAGATATGGCAAACCAACCACGGCTAGCTTTCAGGCTGGCTTAGCTTTCTTTCTCAGTCTAAGTAGCCAAAGCACCTCGACAACAACTGAACGAGAACTGGTCTTGACTGGCCAGTCCCCTCAGCAGCACAGCTCAAAACAGGGTTCATCTCCAAGCTCTCATTCAACCCCACCCTACCCACACCGTTTTACTTCAATTTCTGTGCCCAGCCATAAATCCTTCCTTTTCACTTTCAAAGCCCTCCATGATCTTGCTCCATCCTACCTCTGTGACCTACTGACACTTACCAACCTTCCTGCTTTTTCCTCTCGAGAGGCACTGGCCTGCTCTATGTCCCCCCGACCTGCTCATTCCACCGTCGGTGGTCGGGCCTTTCCATCCCTCTTGGCCCCCACTCCTCTTGATTCCAACCCCCAGCTCAGGTGCAAAGCTTCACTGTTCAGCGCCTCCCAGCGGCAAATGCGCTATATAAATTCAATCTTGTTGTTGCATCCTCACAATAATTATTTCATTTGGTCTGAGCATGAGAATTGGTGTTTGCTCTACACGCAAGTGCCTGGCCTCTGGGCTGAGGTGGTCTTTGCTCCACCTGGGCTGAGGTGGTCTGCTCCACATACAGTGACTAAAAAGCTGACACCCAGGATGGAGGATATTGAAAGCTACTCACAATTTGAGGCCCATTATACTCTAGTATACACTAATTTCAGATTGTTGTGTTAGAGCTGAGAAACCTGCATGCTGCCTCCAAGATAGAAGTGTTTGGTTCTAAAATTGATGATGAGCACAAGAAAGAACAACAACTTGCACTTATGTAGCACCCTCTACACAGGGTAGCGTCTCGGAGCGCTTAAAACCGTGTGTAATGTAGAGGGTGAAGCGGTGGTTCAGTACTCTGTACAGCCTGCTGTTATGTGGTTTATGTCTCAACCAGAATTGTCACTCTGCCAAGCCCTGTTGACTTATTTGAGTTTTTATGCCACCTCATACCCGCTTCACATGAGGCCCGCACAGGTTTCACTCCACTGCTCACTTACACAGCCTGAGACTGGCTGCAATCACTAGATCATAATATTGTATAAATACAAAAGAGAAGAAATCATTCCTATGGCAGCTGTCAGACCTCCCTCATTCCACAGCATGTGCCTGTTACGTGTTCCTTGGGCTTTCTCCTCTATCTCTCGGATTCAGAACCGGCCCAGGCTGATGGGTGAAAATCTCAGTGTGTTATCTGTTGAGTTTTACATAAAACTGGTTCCTAGCTGCCTGAAACCAATCCCTGGTGGGTGTGGACTCCCAGCAAAGTTTGAAACCAAAATGTCAGGACAAGGTCATGGAACTGGAAATGTTATGAGGCAATCCTGGAAACGGTGGTAGCTACATGCTGGATAAACCTGTCCCCAATGCTGACACAACTGGGAAAATGCCAACATTCACATTCCTCAAATTGATCAGACAAGAAAGAGCCTTTAGGGCGCAATCCACCTGGTACTAGATTTACTCCATTTCTGTAACGTTTCAGGGTGGCCAGGTTTGAAAACTCTTAAATGCTGTACAGCCTTCATTTCCAAGCTGGTTTTCTGCACGGCTGAGCCAGACTGACCCCTGCACAAGAACTCCTCAGAGTTTTGAGCTATACTGAGAAGTAGCTTCTATTTGGTTTCGTTGTTATTTTACTTCTTATGATTTTTCAGAATTTTTTTCTGGAGCTTCCATACGAGCTGAAGGAGATGCAGCTTATTCGCAGGCTGAGGAGAGAGGATGCTTGGAAAGAGTATGCAAAGGATGACAGTGGGCGTCTGGTGAGGCCCTATCCTGGTCACGTGAATGCACCCAAGTCAGAAGGAAGAGTAGTAGCAATGGATGAGATGCCAAAGTGGAAGGCTGCTGAGCCACCGACAGGCGACTCAGGAGACCCTCAGAGGGAGAGGCTGCCATTGCTCGAGCCGAGTGCTGAGCCACCTTGCCCTCCCTTGGAGGACGCTGGTCTGTCTGACTGAGGAAATCTATATTTAATGACGTTTGGCGATTGAGATGCATCTTTTTTTCCCTGACAAAGCCCAGCCGTGCTGGCGAGGCAGTGGTCTTCCATTAACCCACTTCCCACATATACCTTTTCAGAGTTGAGTTGTGACATGAGATTAGCGTTTGTCCGTTGTATGAGGGGTCTCATATGCTATCGTCTATTCAGATGTGGCAATCTGACTTAAAATAATAATGCTTGAATTTGATAAGTCAAATGGGTCTCTTGTCGTGCTTTAAATGGGGAGGTGCCGATCAGAAACCAACCCTCCCTCAACCAGTGTCAGTCTGCCAGCTGAGCAACAACACTGAGGCCTTACAGCGAACTGTTCACTTGCTCTGCTGTGGAACATAAAGTGACAGAAAGACCTAAGAGAAAATGAAGCCCACTGATGTCGAGGTTAACCGCTGAGGTTTGATAAGTTAAATGTGATATTTCAGTAACAAATTTCCAAGCAATAAACATTCTCTGTGCACAAATGAAAGTGTCCGTCTGTCTTCTCATGCCTAATAATCCTTGCATTTGATATTGTTTACAATGTTTCACAGAGACCGGGTCAAATAGCAAGACAGGAGGAGGCGGTGGCCGTAGTTGATCCTTATCTCTCCACCAGTCCCTTTCCTAAGGTTACTCCCATTGTTATTCACCATGATTTATGGACTATCTGAGCTGCACAAGAAACTCTCACAGACTCCTCGCCAAAACAAGTTAAGATAAGAGTTATTAAAGGAGTTACTGTAGCCCCCTAAAACCTGCCTGTCCAACGACATGTATACAACATATGTACTATATATATTGTGTGTGTATGTATATGTGTGTGCGTGTATGTGTGTGTATATATATACATATATTGTGTGTGTATATATATATATACACACACCCATGTGGAACCTCCCGGGTTCTGGATTCCCCAATCTCCGCCATCAGAAAACCAGTTGGCTAGTGCTGTGGACATCTGGCGATGACCGGTTTGGGTTCTGTGGCCTTCAATGTCAAATCACCAGCAATACTCGCTATAAAGCCTAAGTAAGTGTCACTGAGAGATAGCAGAGAGCACCCCAGTGGAAGTGGGGGGGTTGGCGGAAGCACTGTAGTAGTTATTGAATAATTCACATTGATTACCTGAGGGAATTTCTTGAGAGTTCAGTTGACCAAGACACTGATTTTATCGGTAAGTTTCTGCGACCAACTTGTCATTGTGTGAAATTCTTGTATTTTATAACTAGTGGGAGAGATGCAAAAATCTGTTCTTCAGACTACTGTGTGCACAGTCCATGCAACCTATCTGTCTACTGAGATTCAGACAGTATAGTTTAAACTGTATAATTAGTGGGTGAAACAGTCACAAATCCAGACACAGCCCTGTAGAACTGTGCCGCAATTACATGTTGTAATGTGGGTGCAGTGTCAGGGAAGGGGGAGGTGAAAGATCAAACAGTGCAAGGGAATTGGAGGGGAGAGAGAGCTAGGTAGATGTAGAACTATAGAAATTTATAGCATAGATCGTGTTTGTGTTGCTCTTGTAAGAGCAATCCTTTCAGTCCCATTTACCTGCCCGTTCCCCATACCCCTGTAATTTACCCACTCCATCCATTCGGCAGGCACTGGCTTGCTTCAAGTCCTCTGCCCTGTCGACCCCACCATCGCGGTTGGATCGAGTGCAAACCCTTGGCGTGTCCAGAGCTTTGGGATGTCCTCCCGATGTGAAAGATGCTATATAGTGAAAGGAGTCCTGTAGCTTAGTGGTTAGAGCACTCGCCTTGCAAGTGAGAGACCTGGGTTTGAATCTCGGCGGGACGAAATGCTGGGTAAGTTTTCTTACTCCACAAGCCTCTGTTTACCTAGTAGTAAGTAGGAACCCAGTTGTTAGTTGATTGGCAGATATCTTTTCCGAGGGTAATAATTCCTTAAAAAAAACGGTCATTCAATCCACGACTGTTTGTGGTAACTGCCGTGCGCAATTGGCTGCTGCGTTTTGCCCACAAAATATACAGTCAATGCACTTTACAATATATTCTGTGAAGCGCTGTGAGACATCTCGAAGACATGATAAGGCGCTATATCAAATGCAAGGATTATTATTATAAATGCAATATTTTGTTGTATTTATCTAGTTCCCTTTTGAAAGCTAACATGAATTCTGCCTCAACCACCGTTCTGCAGGCATTCCATAGCCTAACTACTTTGTGTGAAAAACATTCTCACCTGGTGAAATAATTTCTACCAATTGACTTATCAAAACCCCTCACCATTTTAAAGACCTTGATCGGGTCACCCATTAACTTTCTTTGTTCCAACAGAAAAAGTTCGAATTCCTCCAGTCTTCGCTTACAGGCCAAACCGTCATCCCTATGAAACTGTTAAATCTCTGTACCCTATCGCATTATTCTTCCTAAAGTGGGGTGACCAACGCGATACAATGTTCTCACTGTGTGTAACTAACAGTTTTATAAGTTTAGATTTTATATATTCTATCCCCCTATTTATAAAACCTAAGATTCCATTTGCTGAAGAGGAGAATCTGCAGTGGGGAAAGTACGTCAATGGGGCTGATAGATTGTTCCTTCACCAATCAGGACAACCACAATGGCCTTTGTGCTGTAAATTTCTCTGGGATTTTGAAATGATAGGTTTGTGTTGCCGATCATATTACAGGGTGTAGGTGGAATGTGCTTTACATGAGTCAGTATTTCGCAAAATAAATAGCATTTGTTGTGCAATGTTACTATTCTCACTCTGAATTTGTACAGTGTCATTCTGTGTGGTATCGAAATTGTAATCCCCCTGATTAGGGCCTCATGGCCAACTAACTTGCTGTTCAACTTGATCAGGAGGCATTTGTTTGGGGGTCTGATCCTGGCCTTATCTGCTGCCCACACAGGCATTATTTATCTCTAACTCACTTACCCCTCCTGAGACTTGGAGGACATTTTCAGTGTCCAGAAACATCACTAGCTTTTCTCTGCCATTTTGTCAACCCTCCTCTGAAGGTGTTTGTTTATTTTCTGACCTATTCTACACCAGGTGTAGAGTAGGACGGTAACAATTTACAGCACGGAAGAAAGTATTCAGCCCACTGTTCTTGTGCTGCTCTGTTTCTTTAAACCCATCTTTCCACACACCTTGTAGATGGCTCCTATTCAGATATCTAGATCTGCTTCCCACTAGTTCCCTTGCATTTTTTCTTTTTTCCCACAGATGGCTGAAACTCCTGCTCTTCCCCGCCACCCACTTCTTTTTAGATAAAACACAAAATACTGCAGATGCTGGAAATCTAATATTATTATTATTATTATCTAAAACAGAAATAGAGATCGTTGGGAACACTGGGCAGGTCAGGCAGCATCTATGGAGAAAGGAAAATGGGTCAAACTTTACTTTCTCCGCAGATGCTGCCTGACCAACGACTCATTTTTAAATATCTGTCTTTATATCAATTTTTTTATTGCTCAGCTGGGTGCTTTGACGCATGCAGTAAACCATATCACCGTGCTGAAGAGTATCCAAACCAAACAGTTTTTTTTTATTACAATGGAACGTTTGCTCTCTCCCTGGAGGGACACATCTTGCTTTTGCAATTCCGGAAGGTATTAGGTGCAGGTTAGCAAGAGTCAAGGTTTGGGGTCCCCAGAGTGTGAGTTGGGGTAACTGCAGTAATCTAACCTATTAAAACCCCATAGCTTGCCATTGATACTGCCGTCTGGCAAACTTTGCTGCTCCTTGTCCAGCTTGGACCACCTTACAGGGGCTTTGGCTTGCAGGCTGGGCTGTGCTCAGGAATACTGCAGACCTCCCTGGCTCAGGAAATGGGCTACTGAGACCCCAGAGAGGGCTAGCTTGACTCGGATACCATGCGGCCAAACAGAAAACCTCGGAGCCAAGGAAACCCTGCTTACCCCCAAGGAGGAGATAGTCACGAGTTGGTTATTCAACATCCAACAAGCACAGGCTGGAGCCCTCGCTGAAATAGATGGCAGGGACAAGGAACTTCCCGGTCGGTGGGCAACATAGCTCGGCACGAAATGAGTGAAAGCATTGCCACCATCTTCCTGCTCACAGCTCAGGCACAAGTCCTACCTCGGACTCCAGGAATCCTGTAGCTCAGTGGTTAGAGCACTCGCTTTGCAAGTGAGAGACCTGAGTTCAATTCCAGGCAGAGGGCGAAACCTTGGGCAAGTTTCCTTACTCCACACAGAGCCTAATAATAATCCTCCAAAACCAAAAACAATAATAAATTGGTCATTTTCAATCCACGACTGTTTGTGGGACATTGCTGTGCGCAATTGGCTGCCGCGTTCGCCCACAAATTTACAGTCACTTCACTTTACAGTGTGTTCTGTGAAGCGCTTTGGGACGTCCTCCCGACGTGAAATGCAAGGATTATTATTATTATAGTCAAGACACCTGACCAAGCAAGAAAGAGCCAGGTAGCCACGCACTGGGCGGGGCTGCCACACACTGGGCGGGGCCGCCACACACTGGGCGGGGCCGCCACGCACTGGGCGGGGCCAGCACACACTGGGCGGGGCCAGCACACACTGGGCGGGGCCAGCACACACTGTCACGGGGAGGCGGGGTTTGCTTGGAACCTACATCTGCGGTTGCGCAATAGCCGCTCAACCTGAGAGACGGAGAGAGACCCCACACACTGAGCGGCCGAGACACAGACACTCACAGAGCGCGGGTCTGAGGCACTGAGAGCCGCACTGAGGGACTGACTGACTGACTGACTGAGGGACACAGTCGACACACAGAGGCGGCAGCGGGAGGCCACAGAGAGGCGGGACCGGCGATGGGCTCCCGGGCGTCCTGCCTGCTCCGGGAGGAGGAGATCGAGGAGATCAAGAAGGAGACGGGCTGTAAGTGAGGCCGCGGCGGCGGCGGGGCCTGGGGCACGGCAGCCACTGACCCACCCACTACCCCCCACCCCCAGAACCACCCCACCCCCCCACCCCCCAGAACCACCCCACCCCCCCACCCCCAGAACACACCCCACCCCCCACCCCCAGAACACACCCTCCACCCCCCAGAACACACCCCACCCCCCTCCACCCCCCAGAACACACCCCACCCCCCTCCACCCCCCAGAACACACCCCACCCCCTCCACCCCCCAGAACACACCCCACCCCCCCACCCCCAGAACCACCCCCCCACCCCCAGAAAACACCCCACCCCCCTCCACCCAGAACCCCACCCCCCAGAAAACACCCCTCCCACCCCCAGAAAACACCCCCCCCCAACCCCCAGAAAACACCCCCCCACCCCACCCCTCCTCCACCCCCCAGAAAACACTCCCCCCCCCCCTCCACCACACAGAAAACACCCCACCCCCCTCCACCCAGAACCCCCCCTCCACCACCCAGAAAACACCCCACCCCCCCAGAAAATACTCCACCCCCCCCAAAAACCCCCACACATGCCCCCAAAATACTCCCCGCCACACAACAACCCCCCCACCCCCCAAACGCACCCCCTCAAGACGCACACCTGTCCATAAAACAACCCCCACCCCCCCCCAACCACACACACACAAAAAAAACCCCACATTGCCCTTTAAACCTCCATCCGTGCCCAGACCGGCTCAGCTCCCCCCACCTCTGCCCTCAGACCCTTATCTACGCCTTCATTACATCCAGGCTCGACTGCGCTAACTCACCCGCTTTCCAAACTTCTCCGTCGCCCTCACCGTTCAAAAGGCCCCGAACAGTCGTAATCTTTCCTCTCTCCCGTGACCTGTTAAAACCCTCCCCCCCCCCACCCACCCCGGAGGGCACTGACCTGCTCTGGATCCTGCACACCCTGCCCGCTCCACCAACACCAGCCTTTCTGCTGCCCCCACCTTCCCCAACTCTGGAGCTCCTCCATCCCTGAGCCCTTTTCTGTCTCATCCCCTCACTCGCCTTTGGTCATCCTCCCTAACCCCCCCCCCCCCCCACCACCCCCGCGCCACATGAATCCAACCCCAAGATCGGGTGCAAATCCTCGTCTATCCAGCGCCTTGGGCTGTCCTCCCAATGTGAAGGGTGCTGTGTAAATAGAATTTGTGGTCTATTGTGCACGGCTCATTCTTTAGCTCACACACAGCGCCCACCTCACACGCACGCACTCGCGCGCAGCGCAGAATGTTCGGCCGGGAGCGAGAGTCTGTGAGGCTGAATGCAGACACCGTAAAACACATAGCTGTCTTTGTGTGCGATCGATGAGCCTAATATGCTGTTTCCTCAGCCTAAAATCTGTGTCTTGCCCCCCCACAGTCTCTCACAGCCAGATTACCCGGCTCTTTAGCAGGTTCACCAGCCTGGACAAGAGCGAAAATGGGGCTCTCAGGTAAGGCCGGGCAGGAGGCAGGGTTGGGGCCAGGCATGGCAGGGGCTGAGGGCAAGGCAGGGGCGATTGGATGGCATCGAGCTGGATAGGCAGTCGAATCTTGCTCAGACTGGCTGTTGGCTTGTTCATTCTGTGGAGCGAATGCGTTTAGAAAATATACATATAGAAATCCCAGAGATAGTTTATTGGAATGGAATGCGCACTCTCTCTCTGCTTACCTAATTCCAGAGAGGATTAGGCATAGGTTGGCAAGAGACAAGGCTTGGGGACCCCAGAGTGTGCATTGGGGTGACTGCTGGAGTCTAACCAACTAAAACCACATAGCTTGCCATTGAGAGAACTGCCTGGCAAGCGCTCCCACTGCTTGTCCAGCAAGTTGGGGCTTTGGCTTGCAGGGCGAACAGGAGGATTCCCTGATTGCAAGACCACCACACTGCAGTTGTGACCAGCCCTATATAGCTGGAGCTACATAACTCTGTATGTTTGCACCTCTTCTGTTATATTAAGACAGTAACGTGAACATACATATCTTGCAATGTTTCATAGTGATGGGCTTAGACTCCAAGCAAGGCAGAGGGGCAGAAAAGTAGGAGTAGAGGCGTGGCTGAAGTTTGAAAGTGGGATTTATAGTCGAACAGTGTGGCGGGGGGCTACTGGCTGCTGTTCTGGAGTAACCTCTGTCTGTCTGTCTGTCTGTAGCCGGGAAGATTTTCAGCGAATCCCAGAGCTGGCCATTAACCCTCTGGGTGACCGCATCATTAACGCTTTTTTCCCTGAAAGGTAAGAAGATGTGAGAGCCTCACAGATTCTCCTCTTACACTCGCAGCATTCCAGCACACACCACACCGGGGGGGAGGGGAAACTCACGATCTCGACCCATCCAGAAACCCATCGCCGTGCTTAAGCATATCCAAACCACACTGAGATTTCAGAGATAGATTGCTGGAATAGAATGCGCACTGTCTCCCTGAAGGAATGCTTCATGCTTAGCTAATTCCGGCGTAGGTTGGCAAAAGCCGAGGCTTGTGGAACCCAGAGTGGATATTGGGGTAGCTGCTGGAGACTAACCACATAGTTTGCAATTGATATTGCTGGCTGGCAATCTTTCCTGCTGCTTGTCCAGCTAGGATCACCCTACCCATTAAGGCTTTGACTTGCAGGGTTAACAGGAGCTGACTGGGATGATTCCCTGCCCCCAGTGACTGGTCTGCCGTTCCAGATCCTGCCGATGAGCCGGGCTGGGCTGTGCTGTTATCAGCCGTGCCCTGTAGTATTGCAGACCCGATTGGCTCAGGAACCGAACTAGAGACTGTCACAGAGGGTTGGCTCGATTCCAACATTCTGTTGCCAAACATGTCACCTTGGAGCCAGTTCAACTCCGAGGAGACCCCACTTTGCCCCCCCCAGAAGGACAGTAATCCCCCAAATAAACCTGGCCGCTTTATGGGTGTTTGTGAGACAATGCGTTATGTAAATTGATTTTCGTTTTTGCGACAAAATAAACAGTTACTGCACAAGAATGTGTACAGAGCGCTGAGTGAGTTTCCCTGTTTCTCCTCACGGCTCAGCGAGGATCAGGTGAACTTCCGGGGCTTTATGCGGACACTGGCCCATTTCCGGCCCATTGAGGACAACGAGAAGTCGAAAGACCCCAGGGAACCCGAGCCCCTCAACAGCCGCAACAACAAGCTGCTCTGTGAGTCCACGTGCCTCGCCCTCACATGTGCCCCTCCCTGAGCTCTGCCCCCAAACTCTTAACAATCGCTCTGTTTCTTCCAGTTGCTTTCAGACTGTATGATCTTGACAAGGATGACAAGATTTCCCGGGAGGAGTTGCTACAGGTAACAACCCTGCCCTTGGGACCTCATCCCCCCCCATCTACTGGAGTCCCCTCTGCCCACTTCCACAACGCCCCCTCCTGCTCACTGTCCCCACCTCACTCCACGCTCCCTGCTCCCTCGCCCTGCCCTCGCCCTGCCCTCCCTCGCCCTGCCCCCCCCGCTCCCTCCCCTGCCCCCCCCCCCTCCCCCCCCCGTCCCTCCCCTGCCCCCCCGTCCCTCCCCGCCCCCCCCGCTCCCTCCCCTGCCCCCCCCGCTCCCTCCCCTGCCCCCCCCCGCTCCCTCCCCTGCCCCCCCCCGCTCCCTCCCCTGCCCCCCCCGCTCCCCCCCTGCCCCCCCCGCTCCCTCCCCTGCCCCCCGCCCCCCCTGCCCCCCCCGCTCCCTCGCCCTGCCCCCCCCCCGCTCCTCGCCCTGCCCCCCCCCCGCTCCCTCGCCCTGCCCCCCCCCCCGCTCCCTCGCCCTGCCCCCCCCGCTCCCTCGCCCCGCTCCCCCGCCCCGCTCCCTCGCCCCGCCCCCTCGCCCCGCTCCCTCGCCCCGCTGCCCCGCCCCGCTCCCTCGCCCCGCCCCCCCGCTCCCTCGCCCTGCTTCCTCTTAGGCTCCCAGAACCTGGGGTCCACCCCCGCTCCCTGGCCTTGCCCGCTCCCTGGCCTCCCTATCCCTGCACCTGGCCCTACCCCCCCCTCCCCCATTTTCGCTCCCTGTTCCTGCCCCTGCACTCTCACCCTCTGCTCCACTCCAATGGCAGGTACTTCGGATGATGGTTGGAGTGAACATCTCTGATGAGCAGCTGGGCAGCATCGCCGACCGCACTATTCAGGAGGCCGACCAGGACGGGGACTCCTCTATCTCCTTCACCGAGTTCCAGAAGGTAGCACCCCGCTCTCCCCATGTCGCCATGTCTGTTACTGTGGTGTCTGTATGTGTGTCCCTGTTTCGCTTGCTCTATCTCTCTTGCCTCGCTCTCTGTCTCTCTCTCTCTGGGGCTCTCTCTCATACACTGCCTCTCTCATTTCAGGTTCTGGAGAAAGTCGATGTTGAGCAGAAGATGAGCATCCGTTTTCTTCACTGAGATTCTCTCCTCACCAGCACCCCCCACTCGCACACTGCGTACATCCCCCCCCCCCCCCCCGTCTCCGCTGGAGGCTGCCGGGACCTGGAACTGTGTGTGGAGGGAGCTGTTGCCTCTCCCCTTTGCGCTGGGCTGGGCTGCTTTACCTCCCCTATCTGGCCCAAGCCAACCTCTCTCTTCCCCCCCCCCCACCACCGCCCCCTCCGGCGGGTCCCTTCCTCCACCCCCTCCCATGGGTCCCTTCCCCCACCCCCTCCCGTGGGTCCCTTCCCCCACCCCCTCCCGCGGGTCCCTTCCCCGCCCCCTCCGGCGGGTCCCTTCCCCGCCCCCTCCCGAGGGTCCCTTCCCCCACCCCCTCCCGCGGGTCCCTTCCCCCACCCCCTCCCGCGGGTCCCTTCCCCCACCCCCTCCCGCGGGTCCCTTCCCCCACCCCCTCCCGCGGGTCCCTTCCCCCACCCCCTCCCGCGGGTCCCTTCCCCCACCCCCTCCCGCGGGTCCCTTCCCCCACCCCCTCCCGCGGGTCCCTTCCCCCACCCCCTCCGGCGGGTCCCTTCCCCGCCCCCTCCCGCGGGTCCCTTCCCCGCCCCTCCCGCGGGTCCCTTCCCGCCCCCTCCCGCGGGTCCCTTCCCCGCCCCCTCCGCGGGTCCCTTCCCCGCCCCCTCCGGCGGGTCCCTTCCCCGCCCCCTCCCGCGGTCCCTTCCCCGCCCCCTCCCGCGGGTCCCTTCCCCGCCCCTCCCGCGGGTCCCTTCCCCGCCCCCTCCGGCGGGTCCCTTCCCCGCCCCCTCCCGCGGGTCCCTCCCCCGCCCCCTCCGGCGGGTCCCTTCCCCGCCCCCTCCGGCGGGTCCCTTCCCCGCCCCCTCCGGCGGGTCCCTTCCCCGCCCCGGATGGTGATTGTGGGTTATTGATCACAGGTATTTATTGATGTGGTGAAGGATTGTGATTGCTGGTGTGTCTGAGCTCCTCACCCGGTGACGTCGCCTCTTTCCTGTCAGCTCTTCGGTCTCAATTTTCATCAATTAAAAAAAAAGTGTTGAATCTTCGTCACGTGCTCTTTGTGGGCGGGGCCCGGCCCGGCAGCTGACCAATGGGGAAGGTGGGGGGGGCGCGGGAGTGATGGCGCGGGCACTTCCGGTCGGACTGAGCGAGTGACGGGCCCGCGGACCAATCAGCTGCGCGCGGAGCGTGGGCCGGCGCTCAACTTCCGGCGGTGGCGGAGCGGAGCCAAGATGGCGGCGGGAGAGGACCGAGGCCTCGGGGGCGGCCCGGGAGGGACACTACCTGCCAGGATGGTAACCCCGCGCTCCCAACCCCGGGGACGGTAGCGGGTAGGGCGGCCCTGTCCGGGTCAGCAGCGGGAAAGCTCGCCAGGGAGAGCTCCCAACCGCCAGCGATGTGGGTATAGTGGGTTGGACTCCAGCAGTTGCCCCCAACACACACTCTGGGGGGAGGGGAGGGAGGGGGTCCCCCAGGTCTCGGCTCTTGTCAACCTGCGCCCAATCCTTTCTGGATTGAGGTAAACAGGATACGTCCCTCCGGAGAGGGGGAGAGGGAGAGAGAGAGAGAGAGAGAGAGCGCGTGTTCCATTCCAACCATCTGTCTCCGGGATTTCCATGTGTTGATGGGAATGTCTGGAGTTCTCGGTTTGGTTTGGATGCTCTTGAGCGACGGCGATGGGTTTAAACACAATCCCCATCCCCCCCCCCGCTCCCTCCGAACATGCCCCCGCCCCGCCCCCATCTTCCTTCACAGGGCCGGTGGTCCCCTCCCCTCCCCTCTCCTCCCCGGCAGCCCTCTCCGCGCCCTCTGCGCTTGCCGTCCTCCCCGACACTGTGCCGCGCTTCCCAGGACATTGTTGGATGTGACGGTCGCTGTGTTAAATGTGGCTGAACAAAGTCATCTGTTTCGTGGACGGCTGATTCATTCCAGCTCGTGCCGTTCCCTCTCTCTCTCTCTCTCTCTCTCCCAGTCTCCCTCTCTCACTCACTCTGTTATTGCACAGCCGGACATTACACAGCCCGGAACTACCCGTGTTTAAAGCTGAGGAGGAGACCCACCCCCCGCCCCGGTAGCTCCAGCGGCACCGTTATCGACCTCGTTCTCTCTGCACTCAGCACGTTGGAGCAGCGATGGGCAACCTGGGGTTGGAAGTGGCCCCCGGGGCCATCAAGCAGCGGCCCCTGGACATCCGCACGAGTCTCGGTCAGTCCGTGTTCAGTCATTTCTTGATTTAAGGCACTGTTGTCAGTGTGTGAGTATGACTTGTCAGGATGTCAAGCAGTCGGTGTGAGTGAGTCTGTCAGGGTGTGAGTGTGGCTGTCGATGTTATTGATTTTTCAGCTTGACACATGCGAAACCAAGCTGAGAATTACACAGATTGTTGAAATTGAATGTGCACTCTCTCCCTGGAGGGACGCATACTGCTCACCTACTTCTGGGAATGTATTAGGTGCAGGTTGACAAGAGCCAAGGCTTGGGGACCCCAGAGTGTACATTGTGGTAACTACTGGAGTCTTTCCACTGGCGGGTGGGTTGGTAACCCGAGGGCACCGATTTAAAATATTTGTTAAAAGAAACAGGTGAGGTAAGGAGAAATTTTTTCATACAGCGATTTGTTCAGATCTGGAATGCATTGCCTGAAAGGGTGGTGGAAGCCGATTCGATAACAACTTTTAAGAGAGAAGTAGATAGTTGTTTGGGGAGGACAAGTTTGCAGGACTATCGGGAGAAAACTGGGGCTGATTGAATTGGATAGCTCTTTTCAAAGAGCCGGTACAGACACGATGGGCCGTGTGATTCTATGATTAACCAGCTAAAACTGCATAGCTTGCCATTGATAGCACTGTCTGGCAAGCTTTCCCACTAGGACCACCCTACCAGTTAGGGCTTTGGCCTGCAGGGTTAACAGGAGCTGAGTGGGATGACTTCCTGCCCCCAGTGACTTGTCAGCCTTTCCAGACTTTGATTAGCCTGTGCTGTCAGCGGTGCCCTGCTAAATACTGCGGACATGCCAGTTCAGCTCCAAGGAGACCCGACTTAAGTGTGAGTGTGACTGACAATTATCAGGGTGTGAGTGTGACTCAGGGTGAGTGTGTCTGTCAGGGTTTCATTTGTGAGTGTGGCCACCATTTGCCCGCTGTGTAAAGTGCTGTGCTCTCTCTCAGGTTGGGGCTTGTGTTTGCTCTCTCTCTCAGGTTGGGGCGTATTGATGGTGTAGATGCCTGGGTCCCTGCGGCTCCCAGCTTCCTGCATTAGGCTGAGCTTTGCTGTTGATGTCCCGGGAGCTGCCACCACCGTCAGCTGTCATCAAAGCGATTTCCCGCGAAGCAGAGTGACCCTGGAGAGGCGGCTCCTCCCCCCCACCTGAGACTCGTCCCCTACCAAGGCTGTTCCCTCTGCCAAGGCTCCTCCCCACCCAAGGCTCCTACCCCATCTGAGGCCCCTTCCCTGCTGAAGTTCCTCCCCCTCACCAAGCTCCTCCCCTGGAGGCTGTTCCCCTCCCCCTGTTTGTCTGTCTGTGATGTGGGAGTGACAGTGAATAGAATTACTAAGTGACCAGAGGGCAGACCCCTCAGCAGGGTGTATATCAGTCTGCACAGCTCCGAGATGCTACCTGTGTGAAAGGCACTATATAAATGCATGTTGTTCTGTCTGTCTGCATGTGTCTCTGTCTGTGTCTCGTGTCTTTCAGTGTCTGTCTTTATTTGTTTCTGTCTGCTTCTCTGACTATCTATGTCTCTATGTCTGTCTATCTCTGTCTCTCTGTGTCTCTGTGTTGCTCACCTTCAGTACTTGGGCCTTTTACACTGAAGCTCAGCCTCACACCTCACCATCCCGACAGTCCATTAGATTCTGAACAAGTAGCAGCCACAAACAGCGACCCCTCCCTCACCCTCCACGCCCTCCAGTCTTATCCTCTTCCTCCCTGCCTCCCCTATCTATGTCCTTCTCCCTCCCCGACCCTCCCCATATCCTCTTCCTCCCCCCCCACCCCCAGTCAATGATTGAGTCACACAGGCGTGACAGTCTGTAATGTGGTGGCGAGTGGACTGGGAACAGGAGAGGGTTTGTGAGGAGACTAATCCTGGTCTTCCCCCCTCCCCCCCACCCCCTTTCCCTATGTGATCAGCACTGATACCATTACTCCCAATGCTCTTGTCTCAGTCTGTCCTGTGGTAACCAGGCTCTGCACTTCCAATTGTTCAGTCTTTGAAAATGACAGAGCCCAGGAAGGAGTGGGGGGGGGGGGTCTGTATTTCTGGAGGACGATCTCTGGGTGGGGGCAGGGAGCCCCAGAAATCCCTCCCCCCCACCCACCACCACCAGCGAGCTCTGAGCCAATCATATTGCTGTATATAGTGTTTTGCTCCCGCTGCGCGAGTGTTCCCTGATTTTGTTGACCCAGAAGCTTTACCTGTCATTTCACTAACCTTCGGGCTGTGCAATATTGTAACGTGTAAACAAGCCACGTCAAGTTTAAAAAAGAACAACAAAATCACAATGTCTTCCATTCGGAGATGTACAGATCCACGCCACGTTAGTGCTTAGTAGCAGCAACAGTAGTATCAAGTATAGAGCAGTGCATGAGGTTAGCAGAGCTTGTGACAAACATATTAAACTAGGCTAGAACCGGATTAATGAACTAATGACTTTGATAAGCCACCGAATGAGTGACTACAGCACATCCCAGCCTGGAACCATCGCCCCATCGCGTCTCATTTTCTCCTACTGTTTGTGTTGGCTTCAGTGCCGAGGCCCAGAGAGAGGGTGTGATTGTCTCTCGGGATGACAACTGTTGGAGCAGTGGGACGGGAGCAGAGTTCCCGAGCAGCAAATCTCTGGAAGGAAATGGATTTCAGCGAACCAGGAACCCGAGCAGCTGGTAACCAGCTGGAGTGAGGGGAGTGGGTGCTGCGCCCCAGAGACCTGCCGGTACTGACTGGAGAGGCAGAGGTGAATGTGGCAGTGATGGGGGGAGAGAGAGACGAGTGCCAGCCCCAGCTAAAACAACACCACTCTGTGCTCTGAGCCCCCACCTTGTGACTTTTCAAATCAACACCAATGTCAGCACCCCAACTGCAGAACTACACAGCATAGCCGCGCGGGGGGAGTGTGTGCTCATTCTCTGAAAGGCGTGTGCTTAGCGGAATAACTTAGCTTTGGATAAAATAACAAAATACCTCCTGAGTTTCTAAAGCCATAAAATATTAAGCATTACTAACTATTACTAGCAATAACTTTTTGTGCATGCATCAGTACTTTATGCTGTATAACAGAGGTGTAGAAGGAAGTGGCTGACTTATTTGGCCAAATAATCTTGATCTTAATCTAACCCTTAGGCACGGATTTAACTTAACAGCATTTGTTTTTTGTCTCTTAAAAAAAACTTTTTATCGTTTCTGAAGTACAAAATGGCCGACTTTTGGGGTCATTACCACTCAAAAGTCGCCATTTTATACATAAAAAATGATAATATTAACAAATGCTGATATTGTGTCAATCTTTTTATTTCAAAAAATTGAAAGCTGGTTACAGTAAGTAAGTGGGAACCGAGCCTCGGTGGACGCAGGCCTCAGATGGCTGGTTTGTTGGTTCAGGTCTGCCCCCAGGCCCGATCCCCACCTGTCACAGGAACCACAGCCAAACCAGCAGGTTACCATTCAACATGGTGTAAAGTGTGTTCGGTCAGGAGCTAGATGGAGGGAAAGTCAGGTTAATGTTCTAAGTCTGAGCATTCAGCAATAAGGATGCAATTTAGATTTCCTGCATCTTGCAGTCAATGGGAAACGGGTTGTGATATGGCCACTCTGTCCTTGACGTGACTCTGTAAACCTGCTCCCAGCGGTGGGGGTGGGGGTTGTTATTTCCTTGTGCGGTTGTGGGACTGGAAAATGTCGCATTAGAGTGGACGAGAGTCATTCTGAAGTTGGACTTGTTAGAGAACAGTGAAGAGGGAGCTTTACTCTGTGTGCAACCTGTGTTGCTGGAACTGGGTGCTCTGTACCTGGATGTGGATTAGCTGGTTAGTGATCGAGTAACTTGCTCTCACTGTTCGCATCCAAGAATTGAGGTGGCAGCTGAACCAGTTACTCTTTTTTGTGAGGAGGGGAGCTGAATCCTCTGGCTGCCCCGATCGGTGTGTTGTCAAGGCATATCCTGTCTGTAACCTGCTTTCTATATTATATTTTAATGGGGAGCGGAGTTAAAATGCAATGATTACAGTGCATGAGGCAGCTTGCATTAAACTATGCATTTCTGAGAGATGAGCAGGTTTGTGTGACTCATTCACTGTTGTAGAATGAGCTGTGGAGCAGTGATTGCTCTAACCTCACCTCTGTACAGAACAAACAGCAATAAAATACCCGAGTGCCAAGGGTCACTAGAGTTCAGTGTTTGTGCCTCAGCCTTTATTTGCTCCAAGATGGTACCCTGCCTGACGGCTGCTATATTACTGTAACTGCATGTTGTTAATTCTCTAAACCCTGGGCCGAGTGGAACATGGTACCCACACACAACTCCCAACTGATACCATAATCCTTTCAAGGGCATCTCAAAATGCTGCACACGATTCACTGCAGAGTGTAAAAACTGTTTGTGGGCAAACACGACAGCCAATTTACACACAGCAAAGTGGTGAAGTGAATGACCAATTTAATTTGGGGGAGCGTCAGTCACGGACACTGAGAAACCTTGTCTTTTGAAAGAGCATTACGGGTTTGAAGATTTCCACCCGATTTCCACCTTGGTTTCACCAAGGACGGCATCTCTGACAATGGGGCGGTCTCCCTGCACTGGAGGGTCCGCCTGAACTGGAGCTCAGATTCCTAATGTGGGGCTTGAATCTACAACCTTCAGACTCGAGACGAGAGTGCGGGAGACTTAGCCAGGCTGAGTGCAAATGTGAAACACTCCCTTCTTTAAATATACATCTTCAGACTTGGGTGTATTTGTGTCATGATCAGCTGCTCAGACAGCCATTGTTTGTGAGATGGGCAAGAAGTAGAGATCACTGAAAAGCCCACCCTGTCCTCACCCACCTACCGCTCAGGAAGGGGCGGCAGCCACTGGATAGCAATCAGGAGCAACATCTCCTGCTGATCTCTTCAGTTACACCCACACAGACTGATAACACACAGTCACATCTACAGTCACACAGTGTCTCTCACACCCACCGACAGCCACACACACAGTCACACACGCACACACAGTCACTGACACACACTCTCTCACACACTGACAGTCACTGACACACAGTCTCACACACACTGACAGTCACTGACACACAGTCACACACACACAGTCACTGACACACTCACACACTGACAGTCACTGACACACACACTCTCACACACTGACAGTCACTGACACACACTGACAGTCACTGACACACAGTCTCTCACACACTGACAGTCACTGACACACAGTCCCTCACACACTGACGGTCACTGACACACAGTCTCTCACACACTGACAGTCACTGACACACAGTCTCTCACACACTGACAGTCACTGACACACAGTCTCTCACACACTGACAGTCACTGACACACAGTCCCTCACACACTGACGGTCACTGACACAGTCTCTCACACACTGACAGTCACTGACACACAGTCTCTCACACAGTCACTGACACACAGTCTCACACAGTCACTGACACACAGTCTCTCACACACTGACAGTCACTGACACACAGTCACTGACACACAGTCTCACACACAGTCACTGACACACAGTCTCTCACACACTGACAGTCACTGACACACAGTCTCTCACACACTGACAGTCACTGACACACAGTCTCTCACACACTGACAGTCACTGACACACAGTCCCTCACACACTGACGGTCACTGACACACAGTCTCTCACACACTGACAGTCACTGACACACACTGACAGTCACTGACACACAGTCTCTCACACACTGACAGTCACTGACACACAGTCTCACACACACTGACAGTCACTGACACAGTCTCTCACACACTGACAGTCACTGACACACAGTCTCTCACACACTGACGGTCACTGACACACAGTCTCTCACACACTGACAGTCACTGACACACAGTCTCTCACACACTGACGGTCACTGACACACAGTCTCTCACACACTGACAGTCACTGACACACACTGACAGTCACTGACACACAGTCTCTCACACACTGACAGTCACTGACACACAGTCTCACACACTGACAGTCACTGACACAGTCTCTCACACACTGACAGTCACTGACACACAGTCTCTCACACACTGACGGTCACTGACACACAGTCTCTCACACACTGACAGTCACTGACACACAGTCTCTCACACACTGACGGTCACTGACACACAGTCTCTCACACACTGACAGTCACTGACACACACTGACAGTCACTGACACACAGTCTCTCACACACTGACGGTCACTGACACACAGTCTCTCACACACTGACAGTCACTGACACACAGTCTCTCACACACTGACGGTCACTGACACACAGTCTCTCACACACTGACAGTCACTGACACACACTGACAGTCACTGACACACAGTCTCACACACTGACAGTCACTGACACAGTCTCACACACACTGACAGTCACTGACACAGTCTCTCACACACTGACAGTCACTGACACACAGTCTCACACACTGACAGTCACTGACACACAGTCTCTCACACACTGACAGTCACTGACACACAGTCTCTGACACTCCCGGAAGTGACGCGGCGGTGCTGGAGGCCCCCGGAAGTTGGCATGTGGTGGCCGCGGTGGTGCCGGGCGCTGCGCCTGGAGATGAAGATGAGCGAGAAGGCGGCGGCGGCGGCGGCGGGAGGAGGAAAGAGGAAGGAGGCCGAGGCCGGGACCGGGGAGCAGCCGCCGCCCGTGAAGAGGCCGCGCGGGACCGGGGCCCGAGTGGTGCCGCCTCCCGTCAAGAGGAAAGCCGGGTTCAGCCTCCAGCAGCTGTCAGGTCAGAGCTCCCTCCTCACTCACTCACTCACTCACACTCCCTCACTCACTCACTCACTCACTCACTCACTCACACTCCCTCACTCACTCACCCTCACTCACTCACTCACTCACACACACACTCACTCACTCACACTCCCTCACTCACTCACTCCCTCCTCACTCACTCACTCACTCACCCTCACTCACTCACCCTCACTCACTCACACTCACTCACTCACACTCACTCACTCACTCACCCACACTCACTCCCTCACTCACTCACTCACTCCTCACTCACTCACTCCCTCACTCACTCACTCACTCACTCACTCACTCACTCACACCCTCACTCACACTCACTCACTCACTCACACGCACTCCCTCACACTCACTCACTCCCTCACACTCACTCACTCACTCACTCCATCCCTCCCTCCTCCCTCTATCACACTCACTCCCTCACACTCACTCACTCACTCACACTCACTCCATCCCTCCCTCCCTCCTCCCTCCTCACACTCACTCACTCCATCCCTCCCTCCTCCCTCACACTCACTCCATCCCTCCCTCCTCCTCCCTCCCTCACACTCACTCCATCCCTCCCTCTCACACTCACTCCATCCCTCCCTCTCACACTCACTCCATCCCTCCCTCTCACACTCACTCCATCCCTCCCTCCCTCCCTCCGCCCTCTCACACTCCCTCCATCCCTCCCTCGCTCGCTCACTCACTCTCACTCACACACTCCCTCCCTCACTCACACACTCACTCACTCACTCACTCACTCACACTCCCTCACTCACTCACACTCACTCACACACTCACTCACTCACTCTCACTCACACTCACTCACACCCTCACTCACACTCACTCACTCACACTCACTCCCTCACACTCACTCACTCCCTCACACTCACTCACTCACTCACTCACTCCATCCCTCCCTCCTCCCTCTATCACACTCACTCCCTCACACTCACTCACTCACTCACACTCACTCCATCCCTCCCTCCCTCCCTCCCTCCTCCCTCCCTCACACTCACTCACTCCATCCCTCCCTCCTCCCTCACACTGACTCCATCCCTCCCTCCTCCTCCCTCCCTCACACTCACTCCATCCCTCCCTCATCCCTCACACTCACTCCATCCCTCCCTCACACTCACTCCATCCCTCCTCCTCACACTCACTCCATCCCTCCCTCCCTCCGCCCTCACACTCACTCCATCCCTCTCCCTCACACTCACACCATCCCTCACTCACTCCATCCCTCCCTCCTCCCTCACACTCACTCCATCCCTCACACTCACTCCATCCCTCACACTCACTCCATCCCTCACACTCACTCCATCCCTCCCTCACACTCACTCCATTCCTCCCTCACACTCACACCATCCCTCCCTCCTCCCTCACACTCACACCACCCCTCCCTCCTCCCTCACACTCACACCACCTCTCCCTCCTCCCTCACACTCACACCATCTCTCTCTCTCCTCCCTCCCTCCCTCCCTCCCTCCCTCCACTCTCTCTCTATCCATGACATTCTCAGCTCGGTTTGGAGATTGTGAATCATGGCGATGGGTTTCCACCTGTGCCAAGACCCCCTGTTGGCTGAGCCATCACCAGGCTTCACAGCCTCCAAACCACAAGGGGATGAGAAGTCCCTGTGTCCCTGTGTCTACACATGGAAATCCCAAAGAGAGATTGTTGGAATGGAACGCGCGCTCTCTCTCTCTCTCTCTCTCCTTCTCCCTCCCTCCCTCCCTCCCTCGCTGGAGAGACACAATCATCAACAACAACAACAACAACAACAAGATTGCATTGATAGAGCGCCTTTCACGTCGGGAGGACGTCCCAAGGCGCTGGACAGTTGGGTCAGGACCCGAGCATTGGGGGGAAATGGTCAGGGGGAGGGAAGGGAGGGAGCGAGGAGGGGGGAAATGGTCAGGGTGAGGGGGGGGGGAGAGTGGAGAGGGGAGCTGAAGGCTCGGTCAAAGAGAAAGGTCTTGAGACCGGCCTTGAAGGAAGAAAGGGAGGAGGCGGCGAAGGCACTTGGGGATGGAGTTCCAGAGCCTCGGGGCTGAGAGGCTGAAGGCCCGACCACCGATGGTAGGGCGGTTGGGGCGGGGGATGTGGAGCAGACCGGAGCCAGAGGAACGGAGGGTACAGGCAGGTAGGTAGGGGGATAGTATTAGGGCTGAGGTCGGCGAGAGCCAAGGCTCGGGGTTTGGGGGGACGACCCCAGAGTAGGTGTTGGGGTAACCGCTGGTGTCTAACCAGCTAAAACCACATCACTTGCCATTGATATCACTGTCTGCCGAGCTTTCCCGCTGCTCGTCCAGCGAGGACCACCCGACGTGTTAGGGCTTACAGGGTTAACAGGAGCTGAGTGGGAGGATTCCCCGCCCCCAGTGACTGGTCTGCCCGTCCAGGTCCTGCCGATCAGCCGGGCTGGGCTGTCATCAGACAATACTGCAGACACACCTGGCTCAAGGAACCAGACTGGAGACAGTCACAGAGACGTGGCTCAGTTCTGACATTCTGCTGCTAAACATGTCACCTTGGAGCCAGTTCAGCTCCAAGGAGTCCGCACTTACCTGTCCCCCAAGAAGGATTGTGACTAGTTGGTCACTCGACACCTGACAAGCGCAGGTGTTAGCCCTCACTCGGTGGATGGTAGGTACCAGGAACTCCCTGCGAGCTTCCAAGTGGGCAACACAGCTCAGCATGAAATGCGTGAGAACATTGCCACCATCTTCTCACTCTCACTTGCCGTTTCTCTTCTCACTTCTTCTTTCTCACTTTTCTCACACTCTCTGTTTCCTCCCTCTCTTCTCTCACTCTTTTCTCACCCTCTGTCTCTTTTCTCATAATTCCTTCTCTTCCTCTCTCTCTTTTCTCATTCCATCTCTCTTACTTTTTCTTTCACCCTGTTTTCTCACTCTCTCTTTCTCTGTGTCTCAGAGACCCGCTCGTACCTGGAGGGTGGGCTGCGGAAGGTGGAGCCCTATTACTTTGATTTCTGTTCTCACTGTAAGGGCCGCTGGGTCGGCCAGTCTTTGCTCCACGTTTTCTCCAACGAATTCCGGGCGGAGCCCATCGAGTATTACCATCAGGCGGCCGCCGCCGGACGCATCCGGCTCAACGAGCAGCCGGCAGACCTCAGCACCATCTTACAGGTAATATAACCCCAACACACACATACCCTTCCCCCCCCCATATACCCCACCAACACACCATATACCACCCTGAGACACCCGCCCAACTCACACATAAACAAATTACATTTGTATAGTGCCTCACACCCTATGACTGTTACGGGGGTGTGGGGAGGGGGGGAGAGAAACCATGAAAGGTTTTGTTTGGTGGAGCCTGTGAGGGTGGGTGGGTCAGGGCTCACTGGAGATGGTGGGGGCTCCGGTCACGCCCTCTCGTCCTCTCCACAGAACAACGATTTCATGAGGAACACGGTTCACCGGCACGAGCCGCCGGTCACTGCTGAGCCCATCCGGCTCCTGGCCAACACGGAGCAGGTGGTGGTGGTGGACAAGCCGGCCTCGCTGCCTGTGCACCCCTGCGGCCGCTTCCGGCACAACAGCGTCATCTTCATCCTGGCCAAGGAGCACGGACTGAGCGGTCTCCACACCATCCACCGCCTCGACCGCCTCACCTCCGGGGTCCTCATCTTCGCCAAAACCCTCGCCGTCTCCAAGAAACTCGACCAGCAGGTTCGCGATAGACAGGTGAGCGTTCCGCCCAGCCCCCAACCCATCCCGCAACCTAGCCCCCCAGCTCGCAACCCAGTTCCCAAATCCCTGAGGATGGGGTAGCCGAGCTACTGCAGGTGGACACGTATCTGATGAGTGCAGCTAATATAATCCCCCACCCCCAATATACCCCAACACACACATAACTTTGAGACGTCTTGAAGATATAAGGTGCTATATCAAATTCTATGATTATAGTATTATTATAAATACCCTTATTCCCCCCCCCACTCTAAATACAGAGTTGTCTTACAGGTAATATATATTACCCCAGATTTACTCTCCAGACACTCCCCAAGCACCCCACATACACCAACAACAAATTACATTTCTATAGCACCTTTCATGTCAGGGCGTCCTCAGGCCCAGCCCCGCCCCGCCCCCAGGCTGACTCGCTTAACCACGCTCTCTCTCCCTCTCAGGTTCATAAGGAGTATGTGTGCCGAGTGGAGGGAAAGTTCCCGGAGGGTGAGATCACCTGTGAGGAGCCAATCCTGGTCGTCTCCTACAAGCTGGGCGTGTGCCGTGTCGACCCCAAGGGCAAGCGCTCGAGGACTGTATTCCGGCTGGTGTGTCATAGCGGGAGCTCCAGCCTGGTACGCTGTTTCCCCATCACCGGCCGCACTCACCAGATTCGTGTCCACCTGCAGTACCTTGGCCACCCCATCCTCAGTGACCCTGTGTACAACAGCCCTGCCTGGGGGCCCGACCGAGCGCGCGGAGGACACAGGGACAAGAGCGACTCCGAACTGCTGGAGGCCCTGATAGCAGCTCAGCGTGAGAAAGAGGGGCTCGACCTCCTGGGAGAGGGGGGGCTGTGGGGCGAACAGGGGAGCGGGGGGCTGGCGGGGAGTGAGGGGGTGGGAAAGAGTGGGGTTGTGCCTGGAAGCGAGGGGGCTGGGAACGAGGGGGCGGGGGCTGGGAGCGAGAGGGCGGGGGCTGGGAGCGAGAGGGCGGGGGCTGGGAGAGAGGGAGTGGGGGCTGGGAGCGAGGGGGTGGGGAGCAGACCGCAGGGGGTTAAGGACCCACTGTGTGGGGAATGTAAGCTGGTCAGGACGGACCCCTCCCCCGGGGACCTGATGATGTACCTACATGCCCTGAGGTACAAAACACCCGACTGGGAATACGCCACCGAGCTGCCCTCCTGGGCTCGAGAGGACTGGCCCGGGGACTGACCCTCACCACCCATCCCCCACATTCTCCACCCCTGCCAGGGCCACAGGACTGACGCCTCTCCCCCCCCCCCCCCACCCCACCCCACCGCTCTTTACACCAATATCAACAACTTTCATAAAGGGTTAATGTAAACCGGCTGGAGCTGCTTCCTGTGCTGGTACCGAGGCCAGTCAATCAGTGCCGGTCGGTCAATTAATGCCAGTCGGTCAATTAGTGCCAGTCAGCCTGTCAGTCAGGCCGCCGCCGGTGTCAGTGTGGGGATGTCTCGGCTCCGAGGCCGAGTGTTGTTGATGTAATAAAGCCTCACGTTTATGATTTGCTCCTTTGTCACAGAAATTTACATTCCAGAAACAGGCCATTCAGGCCAACCCGTCTGTGCCGCCCTCTCCCTGCTCTTGGGAGGAGGTGGAATCCGCACTGTGAGGGCAAATTAATCCTGAGTTCCTAAAAGCTGCTCAGTGGGGTGGAGGGGCGAGGGAGGAGATGGAGAATGGTGAGGCTAAACCAGGAACCTCTGACTCGCCTTGGAGCTGCCTTCCTAGTGCTGGTCAGCAGGACTATCTGAGGCTCGTCAGTGGTCCAGAGTGCAAACAACGGTGGTTTCTATCCACAGGAAAGTGGACCCTAGTGAGACTGAGAACCTACAGGCCCAGGAGCTCTAGTCCAGCGCCAGACACACAGTCATCACAGAGCCCGGCCAGCCCTCCCCCACCCACCCCAACAGCGGAACTGACCTCAGTCAGGGCTCCCTGCTCAGGATCTCTCTAAACATCCCAAAAGACAGTCGTGGTTGTAAATCAAGTTACACAGACCTGTCACTGAGAACACCATCACCAGCCGGAACCAATCTGACCCGTTAGCAATTTGGCTTACAGACATGACAACAATTTACATTTACACAGCGCCTTGCACGTCAGGAGAACGCCCCAAGGTGCTGGGACAGTCGATGGTTTGTACCCGAGCTGGGGGTTGGGATCAAGAGAGTGGGTGGGGTGTGAGGATGAATGACTGGAGTCCTGCAGCTCAGTGGTTAGAGCACTCGCTTTGCAAGCGAGAGACCTGAGATCAATCCCCGGGGGGTCAGGGCGAAACCTTGGGCAAGTTTCCTTACTCCACACAGAGCCTAATAATAATCCCTCCAAAACCAAAAACAATAATAAATTGGTCATTTTCAATCTATGACTGTTTGTGGGACATTGCTGTGCGCAATTGGCTGCCGCGTTTGCCCACAAATATACAGTCAATTCACTTTACAGTATATTCTGTGAAGCGCTTTGGGACGTCCTCCTGACGTGAAAAGCGCTATATCAAATGCAAGGATTATTATTATTATTTATTAAGGTGCGGGGATTGGTGGGGGGAGGGATTCTGACCACAACCAGCAAATCAGGTTATAATTTATTAAACAACACAGATATTAACAAGACTCACAAAGTGGCCAGTGAGTGAAACACGGGAGTGTGAGCACAGCACAGCGGCCCGGGGCCCAGGGACAGTCAGACACGCCTGGCCCAGGCCAGCGAGACAGCGGGTTCCCTGGGATTGGGCCGTGTGAGCTACAGTAACAGCAATCGCTGCACTCACTGCGGTGTGGGACAGAGTCGCCACCCCATGAAAAAGAACGAGAAAGAGACAAGAGTGAGTGACAGTAAGTGAGAGAGACAGAGTGAGAGGTGGAAATGAGAGACGGGAGAGAATGAGAGACGGAGAGAATGAGAGACGGGAGAGAATGAGAGACGGAGAGAATGACAGACGGAAACGGAATGAGTGAGAGGGAGAGAGGCACAGTGAGAAAGACACAGAGAGAAAAACACAGTGAGAGAGAAGTGTAGTCGCTGCTTGTGATGGGCAGGTGACCAGGTATAAAGTGACAAGAGTTAAATCCACAATTGTAAACAGTTGTACATGCTCTGCCTCCCCCTGGAGTGGGCTTGACCAGCCGCTTCCTACTCCCCCCTCTCGCCAGGTTGCGCCACCCGCTGCCTCCTGACATCATCACGACAAGAGTGGGGAGGGGGGTCGGGGGGTGGGTGTGGGGGGGCCGCTCACGTCTCGGCAGGACATGCAGTCCGGTCCTTGCAGCAGAAATAGTGAACGACCACAGCGTTGGGGTAACGAGCAAACGCACTGTGGAGAGAGAGAAAGAGAGTGTCAACACACTGCCACCCGCATCCACTCCGCGGGTCAGGGACAGGGGGTGCCAGGGTCAGGGGTGGGTGCGTGTGGGGATCAGGGGTCAGGACGTACCTGTTTCCGATCTTCTTTTTACAGACCCGACATATTTTCTCCTCGGTGATGATGCATTTCACCTCCTGATGGTAAATCCTCTCCTCCTGGATCTGTGTCACACACAGCGTCACTTACAACAGCTCCCCCACACACATGTATACCCCCCACACACCCCAACCGCCATATATTTACCTCCCACATATATACCCCACTCCACACACACACATTCCTCATGTCCAAATGACATGCCCCCCCACCCCCCACCACCCCACCTCCACCAACGAGAGACGAACCCGGAGAAACTCGGCTTGCAGCAGACTCTTGAGGATCTGGTTATATCTGCGCCGCTGAGCGTTGGCTTCCAGAACATTCTCCAGGAACAGACGAATTTCCTGGATATGAGTGTTGGCGGGGAGAAGGTTTAACGTCTGGGGGATGAGAGTGAGAGAAAGAGGGAGTCAGTGAGAGTGTGTGGGGGCAGGGTGCGGGGACGGGGCTGGGAGGCAGGGCTGGGGGTGAGGTGGGTACCTTGCTGGTGTCCAGCTTGCTGTATTGAAGAGCCAGTACGCTCAGGGCTGCTGGTAGGTTGGGCTGAGGCTCGGCCACCTCCACCCGCACAGGGCCTACACACTGCGGCTCGGGGGGAGACAGGTACATCCTCAATAGCGACAGGTATACCTGAGAGAGAGAGAGAGAGAGAGAGCATCATACCGTGTACATGCTGCCTACACACATCAACCTGAGAGAGAACATCACACCATAAACACGCAGGGTCACTGTGTGTACACGCACTTGCGCAGGGTGATTGTAAACACACAGGATCACTACACACAAACACACACTGCACACAGACCCACCGCTGTCCTCACAGTCCCTCGGCTTCACTTACGTCACGGTTTGTATCGTCGTTCACGTCGTAGTGCTTGTGGCAGTAACTGCGGAGAGCGAGAGAGGGAGGGTTACACACGGCGCTGTACCCCGGGGGGGAGGCACCTGGGGGTGGGGGAGGGAGGGGTACAGTACCTATTCCTCAGCCAGGCGGGTGTTGTGTATGGGGTGGGTGTTGTGTGTGTGGGGGGGGGGGGGCAAGGGGGCTGTGGTGGTGGGAGGGCGTGTGGGTGGCATTTAGTGTGTGTGCATGGGAGAGGGGTGGGGAGAGGGTGTGCGAGGGGGTTACTCACTCCTCGGCCAGGCGGGTGTTGTGGAGGATGTGGACATAGATGAAGAGCGCCTGCTCGTGCAGCCCCATGCGGCCGAGTAACAGCGCTCGCTCCTCCAGCAACCCTGTAATACAGGCAGGTTAGCCCAGCCCCTAGCTCAGCCCCTCCGCACCCCCCACACCCCCCCCCACCACCAGCTCAGCCCCAACCCAGGTCAGTCCTCGTCACCTCACACAAACACCCCCACCCTCGCTACGAGTAACAAGGTCAGCGACAGACACTCTTTTACGAGCCCCCACCTCGCTCATAGCTCCCTTCAACCTGATCAGCACTGAGCACCAAGGTTAGCCCTCCCCGCACCCCCACCCACCACCCACCACCACCCCACCCCCAGCTCAGCCCCTTCACACAACTCCCTGCTCCCCCCGGTGCACACACACGTGGGGAAGTGGCTTACCATCGAAGGGGAAGTCCGTGATGAGCCTGCTGGGCTGGTAATGTGTGGAGATCTCCAGGAAGCTGAGCAGTTTGTTCCTGTACTCGCCGAGCTCACCTTCCTCATCTCCTGCACTCACAGCACTCTGCCCTGTGAGAACCACACACACACACTCACAGCACTCTGCCCTGTGAGAGATATACACACTCACACACACACTCACAACACTCTGCCCTGTGAGAACCACACACACTCACAGCACTCTGCCCTGTGAGAGACACACACACACACACACACACTCACAGCACTCTGCCCTGTGAGAGACACACACACACACTCACAGCACTCTGCCCTGTGAGAGATATACACACTCACACACACACTCACAACACTCTGCCCTGTGAGAGACACACACACACACACACACTCACAGCACTCTGCCTTGTGAGACACACACACTCACAGCACTCTGCCCTGTGAGAGACACACACACACACACACACTCACAGCACTCTGCCCTGTGAGAGACACACACACACACTCACAGCACTCTGCCCTGTGAGAGACACACACACACACACACACACACTCACAGCACTCTGCCCTGTGAGAACCACACACACACACTCACAGCACTCTGCCCTGTGAGAGACACACACACACACTCACAGCACTCTGCCCTGTGAGAGACACTCACACACACACTCACAACACTCTGCCCTGTGAGAGACAAACACACACTCATAGCCCTGTAGCCGCAGCCCTGCGCACACAGCGCAGGGAGGGGATGGCGTGGGGCAGGGAATGGGAGGAGATCGCTGAGGGGATGGGAATGGGAGAGAGGGGAGTTTGAGCAGGCTCACCCTGTGGCAGTGAACACAGATATTCCCTCATGAGCGTCTGCACTCTCTCGCGGAGCAGCTGGATCAGCCAGTTGTGGAAGCACGGGCCTGTCTCGTCCCACTGGTGGATGATGTGTTCCTGGGGGTATGGAGGGAGAGAATAGAGGTCACAGGTCAGTCAGGAGGGCAGCCGGAGGGAAATGTCAGAGGAGTGAGGGGTATGAGACGGGGGGGGGGCGGAGTGGGGGGAGTGAGGGGTATGAGACGAGGCGGTGGTTGTGGCTGGCACATGTTCTCACCAGGTAAGGAATGGCCAGCTCCTTACAGTTGTCCCTCAGGAATTCCAGCACCTTGTCTCGAGGCAGATTCTCCACCTCAATCAGGTCCTCAGTGAAGATCTGTAACAGAGACGAACATAGGAACATAGGAACAGGAGGCGGCCATTCAGCCCTTTGAGCCTGTTCCGCCATTTAATTGGATCATAGCTGATCTGCACCTCAACTAATCCTTTCAATTCCAATTTCCTGCTTTCTCCCCATATCTTTTATGGAAATGAGAGAGAAGGAGACTCTGAGACTGAGGGAGTGAGACAGAGTGAGCGAGTGAGACAGACACAGAGTCAAGAGAGAGAGAGTGTGAGAGGGAGGCTGAGAGAAAGAGAGTGAGCGAGATCACTGAGAGAGACAGAGAGATGAGGAATGTAGACCAGGTTACAGTGAGAGACGGAGACAGACAGTGAGAGACAGAGATACACAGAGAGAGAGATGAGGGAGTGCAGACCAGGTTACACAGAATTGGCAGCACGGAGAGGGGAAGTTTACCTTCAGCCCATCCTCAGGGCAGGCCTTCAGCACCCAGAGCGAGAACTCAAATATCACACTCAGGCTCTCCTTCCCTGCCAGAGCAAAGAGCACACAGCACACTGTCAGGGTGGAAGGTGCAAGGGTGGGGGTGGTAATGGGGGGGGGGGGGGCGGAAGAGGAGGGTGGGGGAAAGAATAGGCAGGTGGGAGGAGTAGGCGGGGAGGGCATGCAGGGCAGGAGGGGTGGGAGGTATAGGAGTGACAGGGGCATGGGGTGAGTGGGTGGGGCGGTGACAAGGGCAGGGGGAGGGTAGGCGGGTGTCTTACCCAGTTGCTGTAAGTAATGGATGGTGAGGAAGAGGCTGGGGGCTGGCGGGGGTGGTGTCGAGGGAAGGGGGGGGTGTTTCTTACCCAGCTGCTGTAGGTACTGGATGGTCCGCTCGTGTCCTTTCAGGGGGGAGTTGGCTTTGGTGGCCTGATCCAGTAACACCAGCAATGCTGCCGGGAGAGAGCGACAGTGAGGAAGAACAACAACAATACCAACCACAGTGAGAACAGCAGCAACAACAGGAGGGGCTGAGATGGCTGAGCGTCAGCTTATGGATAGACAAGCAGAGGGACAGAGCCCTGAGCAACATGACAGGTCACCTTCAAGGGTATTCCTCAGAGCTCCATTCCTGCCTGTCACAATCCACACACCCCCTCCTGCCCCACACCCACTGCTCCAGCCCCTTCCCCCGCTGCCCCGTGCAACCCCACCTTTCTCATGCAGCCCCTTCTTCTCGTACAGGATGATGAGCTCGCTGTACTTGTGAGCTTTCTTCAGTATGTGCTCGCTCTCCTCGATGTGACAGTGATTGTTCTCCAACCGCAACAGCGGGGCCACCAACGCCACATTCGTCTGTAACAGCAATAGCCAGAGGCTCAGCGAGGAGGCAGCGGGGTCCTGGGGACAAGGGTGGGTGGGTTCGTGCTGTGTGTGTGTGGCGGGGGGAGAGGACGTTGCTATCCTGTATGCGGGGCGGAGAGGGTTCGGGGGTGTGCTGTGTGTTTGGGGGTGCAGTGTGTGGGTGCAGTGTGTGAAGGGGGGGATGCTGTGTGTATGTGTATGTGTGTGGGGGGGTGGAGGGTTCTCGCTGTGTGGGGGGGGATCTGACTTACGTGAAGGTAACACTTGAGTAAGGTGGTGTCGATAATCTGCAGCAGTTTTTTTTTGGACTTGATGGTGGGCGTCCCCTCCACCAGGGGCGAGGTGCTGGAGGGCTCCGAGTCGTGCAGCTGCTTCACCAGGTGGGCACGTTTCTAGGGAGAAGGGAGGGAGTAAGCACCGTACACATGCAAATCTGTCACACTCACATTCACACCATCACACATGCAAATCAGTCACACTCACACCAACGCACGCACACTAACTCTGGGGCAGGGAACTTATCAGAGCGAGGGAGGTGTGGTACCTGGGGCAGGTAGTCCATCAGAGAGGATGTTACCTGGGTAAGGTAGTCTATCAGCGCGAGGTGAGCTTTCTCCAGCTCGGCAGTGGAGAGCGTGGGCAGAGGGTTGGGGTATTGCAGCTGTTTCCTGTAGTCCGCAGGCAGCAGGTCTGGGTACAGCCCGATTACGTGCGTGGGGTCTGAGGAGGAGTCACACGGCAGAGAATCAGAACATAATAATCTTACATTAGATACAGCACCTTTCAGATCAGGAGGAGGTCTCAAAACACCGCATAGGATTTAGTGGAAAGTGTAGTGTCTGTGTGTTTTGTTGCCGAACGAGGCAGCCAATTTGTGCACAGCAATGTCCCACAATCAGCCAAAGAGTGAGTTACCAATTTTATTGCAGGATTGTTGGCCAGGACACCGGAAGAGAGAAACTTCCCTCTCTTTTCCAATAGCGTCACGAGACCTTTAATGTGCAAATGAACAGGCAGACGGGACCTCACCTGAAGGAAGGAACCTCTGCATTCCCCCAGCACTGCGAGCTCAAAGTCTCCTATAATAATAATAATCCTTGCATTTGACAGAGCGCCTTATCACATCTTTGAGATGTCTCAAAGCGCTTCACAGAATATACTGGGTTGAGTGACCAAAGTATTATTATTTTTTAATTTTTCTTGAACACACAACCTTCTGACTCAGAAGGTGTGATTCTCTCACAAATACAGAACTACAAAGGCATTGTGTCTCTCCCCATCGTGTCTGTGCTGGTGCTCGCTCCCCCACTGGAGCTCTCTACTCTAACCTCATTCCCCGCTCTCTCTCTCTCTCCCCATCGTGTCTGTGATGTGTGCGTGGGAGTGCTGGTTGATGAGGTACTGACCTATGGGAGGTGGCACTGACTGACCTGTGCCCAGTTTGGTGAAGACCTGCATGGAATCGTCAAAGCGTTTCTGACAGAAGAGGTTGAAGGCGAAGAGGTTCTGGATGTGGTGAATCTGCTGCCATTTGTCACTGTCTGTGTCATCCTTCATTCTCTGTGTGACAGAGAGAGTGTGTGTGATAGAAAGACAGAGAGAGAGAGACTGTGTAACACAGAGAGTCATAGGCAAAGTGAGAGTGATAAGAGTGTGAGTGAGAGTGACAGAGTGTGAGTGAGAGTGGTAGAGTGTGAGTGGTAGAGTGTGAGTGAGAGTGGTAGAGTGTGAAAGTGATAGAGTGTAAGAGTGATAGAGTGAGAGTGACAGAGAGAGAGGGTGCAGGCGTGGTCTTACCGCCAGTTGCAGTGCCAGTTCAAACTGCTTGTCTGGGAGCAGCTGTCGGATCTGAGCGGCGATGGAGACCGGAACCAGGCGCCACACAAAGTGATTACTGGCCACGTACACAATATTCATCCTGAGAGAGAGAGAGAGAGAGAGAGGAAGGGAGAGAGTAAAAATTTGCGAGAGTGAGAGAGACTAAGTGAGAGAGAATGAGGGAGAGGGAGTGCGAGAGCGAGGGAGAAAGTGGGAGAATGTGTGAAATCGAGTCGGTGAGAGAGCGTTAGGGAGAGATGAGAGAAAGTACACTTACCCCCCCGACGTGATGAAGCGGGGTCTCTGAAGCTCTACACTCTGGACCAGGAGTCGGGGATCGATGGTGCGAATCTCCACATAGCGCGGCAGCACAGCAATGATGTATGGTGCCTGGTGCTCTGTAACACACACATACACAGTCACACACACGCACTGAAACACACACACACTCTCCCACCCACCCACCCACTCACTCACTCACTCACTCAGATCGAGCACACACACACACACACACACACGCACGCACTGAAACACACACACGCTGTCAAGACACCCAGATAAACAAGCAGTGCCTCCTTTGGACACCACAGGGGTAGTTATCAGTACTACCCCCCACCCACCCAACACCCAGACATACCCATGGCGATGGGGATGTCAGTCCAGTTGAGGGCACACTTGGTGAGGACGCCCATTTCGCTCAGCACCACGGTCAAGTCATCCTGTCCCACTGCAACCTTCCCTTCCCCCAGCGACGTCACCAGCGGCTCCAGCTGCTTCCCCGTCGGGAACAACTCCTTAATGGAACCTTTGCCATCCAGCTGTGTGGGGAGAGAGAGGGGGAGGGAGTATGAGCGAATGAGTGTGTGAGAAAGGGAGAGTGAGAGAGTGTTTGTGAGAGAGTGAGGTGGGAATGAGAGAGAATGAGAGAGAGAGAGATTGAGAGAGAAAAAGAGAGTCAGGCTGGTATAGAAAGGCATCGCTGAGGAGCAGAATGGGGGTCAGAAAAAGAGGGGGAAGAAGAGACGGACAAGAGGGGGTCACAGACACACAGACAGTGTGAGATGGGAGGGTAGGGGGGGTGCGGTGTGTGAACTTACCCGGATCAAGTAATAATCTCTCTTGAAGCCAACACAGATAGAGCTCTCACACCAAGCCATAGACTTGGGCACATCGGGAACACTGAAATCAGCCTGTAACAAACAGACACTGTACATCACAGCCCGTAACACACAACCATACATCACAGCCCGTAACACACACACACACATCACAATGTGTAACACACACACACACATCACAGCCCGTAACACACACACACATCACAGTGTGTAACACATACATCACAGCCCGTAATACACACACATCACATCACAGTGTGTAACACATACATCACAGCCCGTAACACACACACATCATAGTGCGTAACACACACGTACACATACATCACAGCCTGTAACACACCACCATACATCACAGCCCATAACACACACACACACACATACATCAGTGCGTAACACACACACATATCACAGCCCATAACACACACATCACAGCCCCTAACACACACACATACATCACAGCCCATAACACACACACACACACACACATACATACATCACAGCCCGTAACACACATACGTACATCAGCCCATAATACACAAACATACATCACAGCCCATAACACACACATACTGTACATCAGTCTGTAACACACTGAGAGAGATAGAGAGAAACAGAGAGAAAAACACAGAGAGAAATACACACACACAAACATAGACAGAGAGACATCCAGATAGAGACACAGAGAGAGAAAGACATATACATACACACAGACACACAGAGTCAACCCCAAGCCTGACCTGAACATCATGAAACTCCCGATCTTTCCAGTAATAAAGCTGTAGCTTCTTCTTCACAGCCACACACATCCTCAGCTGGGCGTCCTCGCCGCCAGCGCTCTGTAACACACCACATGTGTGACCAGGGAGCACAGTAACAACACACGTGTGACTGGGGAGCGCAGTAACAGCACATGTGTCAGCAATGCCGGAACGCAAGACGTGTATCACTGGGGAAACAGAGACAAACATACACACACATAGGGACACAGACAGACGCACGCACACACACACAGGGACACAGACACAGACAGATGCACGCATGTGCACATAAACACAAAGGGACACACACACACACTCTTACCTGCACGTTACAGGAGAAGAGGCTGCTGCCCTTGGCCTTGGTAACCATGGTGATTTGTTGGAAGGTGAGCAAGTCATGGACATAAATATTATTTTCTGGAAGGAAAGAAAGACTTTCCTGTATCTGTCACAGGGCAAACGCCAACAACCCATCTCCTCAACACAATTCCCTCAATACAGCCAGACACAGGTATGATAACAGAATGTCAGAACCAAGCCCATCCTCTGTGATGGTCTCCAGTCCGGTTCCTGAGCCAGGAGGGTCCGCAGTATTCCAGGGCACTGCTGATGGAAGGGCAGACCAGTCACTGGGGCAAGGAATCGTCCCACTCAACTCCTGTTAACCCTGCGAGTCAACATCCTAATGGGTAGTGTGATCCTAGTTGGACAAGCAGCGGGAAAGCTTGCCAGGTAGTGCTCTCAATGGCAAGCTCTGCGGTTTTCGCTGGTTGGACTCGAGCAGTTACCCCAACGCACACTCTGGGGTCCCAGAGCCTTGGTTTTCGAGGTGAGCAAAGGGAGTGCGTATTGCTTTCCAGACACAGGAATTTCCGTGTGTAAGTGACAGACATATGCAAACTCTATGGTTCGAAAGCACAGAGATGGGTTTTGTGCGCGTGTCAGACACCCGCCTGATCACGGTGATGGGTTTCTGTGTGTGTGTTAAGGCACACGTCTGATCACGGTGATTGGTTCAATTTCAGAACCAACAGTGACACTGAAGCAGACGGGGAGAAGTTCAGCCGCTTGGTGTTAATCACAGTCTGACTGACATACACACACTGCCATTGGAGAGAGCTGAGGAGCAGGCAGTCTGGCTGATCTACCCTGGCTAATCTGGCCTGAGATCACTGACCAGCATACAGTGGGGATGTGCCTGGAATGGTGATGGGATCTGGGCATCAGTATGTGACAGGGGTGACTGCAGCCCAAAGCACAACACACAACAACAACAACAACAAGATTTCATTTATAGAGCGCCTTTCACGTCGGGAGGACGTCCCGAGGCGCTGGACAGTTGGGTCAGGACCCCAGCAGTGGAGAAATGGTGAGGGGAGGGAAGGGAGGGAGCGAGGAGGGGGTAGAGAGTCGAGAGGGGAGCTGAAGGCACGGTCGAAGAGAAAGGTCTTGAGACCGGCCTTGAAGTCTCCGACAAATCAAAGCTCCCCCAGCTCTGCACTGGAGTGTAAGACTAGATCTCCCACCCCCCCCACCCCCACCCAGACACACAGTGACTTACCCAGGAGAGAAACCAGGATTTTATACTGTGGCACCACACACAGCTGTAAAACAGAGACACACACATCATCAGTACGCAACTCCTCACATTCACACACAGCCGCACGCACACACACATTCTCTCTCCCCTGAACTCACACAGCCCCCTCCCCACACACACAGCCCCTGCACAATCTCATAGCATCCCCCCCACCCCGCAAACTCACACAAACACACAGAGCAGTGGGGGACGGCTTGGGGTTAGGCAGTGGGGAGGGGGCTGGTGGTAGCGAAAGGGCCGGATTGGGGGCTGGACGGTGGGGATGGGGCTGATGGAAGGGGAGGGTGGTGGGGGAGGGGTTGGGTAGTGGATGAAGGGCTGGGCAGTGCGGGAGGGTCAGAGGATGGTGGGTAAGGGCCAGGGGAAGTGGGGGGGGAGCTAATCACACCTGTTGAATTTTCTTCGAGAAGTTTTTGTGGGATTTCTCCAGTAAAACTTCAAATCTGTTGGACCCTGTGAGAGAAAGGAGATTAGTGATGCCTCACAGCTCCCACCTCATCCCCCCACTCAACCACCACCTCACCTTCATCCTCCCTCTCCCACTATAATAAATAATCATCCTTGCATTTGATATCGTGCCTTATCACGTCGTCGAGACGTCTCAAAGCACTTTACAGGATATACTGTAAAGTGAATTGACTGCAAATTTTGTGGGTGAAACGCAACAGCCTATTGAGCACAGCAGTGTCCCACAAACAGTCATGGATTGAAGTGACAAATTTATTATCTTTTTGGAAGCAATTATTACCCCCGGAAAAGTGATCCGCCAATCGAGTAACAATTGGGTTTCTATTTAGTGCTCCGTAAACAGAGGTGTGTGGAGTAAGGAAACTTGCCCAACATTTCGCCGTCGGGAATAGAAACCAGGTATCTCGCTTGCAAGGTGAGTGCTCTAGCACAAATGTTCCCTCTCACCCCCCTCACGCTGCCCACCCATTGCATCATTCCCTACCCACCTCAGCCCCCTCCACCGCAACTGTTTCCACCCCACCCCTCCCAAAGCACCATCTCACCACTAGCCCCGACCTCAGCCCCACACACCTGGCTCCTTCTTGATCCTGTAGAGCAGGAGGTGGCCGGGTTTCGTGCCAACGAGAAGCCAATCATCTGAGAGACAGGAAGAAAGTGTCAGTCACTACACCTACAATCAGCACCAAGAAGTTTACACCCAGGACCAGCACCAGGAAAATAAGCTCCTGAAAGAGTTGTCATGTGTAGTTATAGTTTTTGTAAGAAACCACAGCTCTCACCCCCCCCAGGATGGGACACACAGACAGAGGTGTCTCTCTGTATTGGGGGGGGGGGGGGGGGTCAGACACACAGAGGGCGAGCTGCTACAGACTCCGTCACAGACCAGGGAGATCTTTAAACTCTGTGAGTGTCAGACACCGGCTGATCACGGTGATGGGTTTGTGTGTGTGTCAGACACCGGCTGATCACGGTGATGGGTTTGTATGTGTGTGTCAGACACCGGCTGATCACGGTGATGGGTTTGTGTGTGTGTCAGACACCGGCTGATCACGGTGATGGGTTTGTGTGTGTGTCAGACACCAGCTGATCATGGTGATGGGTTTGTGTGTGTCAGACACCGGCTGATCACGGTGATGGGTTTGTGTGTGTGTCAGACACCGGCTGATCACAGTGATGGGTTTGTGTGTGTGTGTCAGGACACCGGCTGATCATGGTGATGGGTTTGTGTGTGTGTGTCAGGACACCGGCTGATCATGGTGATGGGTTTGTGTGTGTGTGTGTCAGGACACCGGCTGATCATGGTGATGGGTTTGTGTGTGTGTGTCAGACACCGGCTGATCATGGTGATGGGTTTGTGTGTGTGTCGGACACCGGCTGATCACGGTGATGGGTTTGTGTGTGTGTGTCAGACACCGGCTGATCACGGTGATGGGTTTGTGTGTGTGTCGGACACCGGCTGATCACGGTGATGGGTTTGTGTGTGTGTCGGACACCGGCTGATCATGGTGATGGGTTTGTGTGTGTGTCGGACACCGACTGATCACGGTGATGGGTTTCTACGCCCTTTTATATATCAGAGAGACACCTCTGTCTGTACACGGACGGTGTCAGAGACTTCACACCAGACATAGAGTTCTCCATCTCCTGCATCAGGTCAGTGTGGGCAGGGCAGGGCTGGGCCGGGCAGGGCTGGGCCAGGCAGGGCAGGGGGCCAGGCAGGGCAGGGCCAGGCAGGGCAGGGCCAGGCAGGGCTGGGCAGAGCTGGGTTGGGCAGGGCAAGGCAGGGCAGGGGGCAGGGCAGGGCAGGGCCGGGCAGGGGGCAGGGCTGGGCAGGGGGCAGGGCAGGGTAGGGCAGGGTTGGGCAGTGCTGGGCAGGGCAGGGCAGGGTTGGGCAGTGCTGGGCAGGGGGCAGGGCAGGGCTGGGCTGGGCCGGGGGCAGGGGGTAGGGCAGGGCTGGGCAGGGGGCAGGGCAGGGGGCAGGGTAGGGCAGGGCTGGGGCAGGGCTGGGCCGGGCTGGGCAGGGCTGGGGGCAGGGCAGGGGGCAGGGCTGGGCAGGGCCGGGCCAGGCAGGGCTGGGCAGGGCCAGGCAGGGCTGGGCAGGGCTGGGCAGGGCCAGGCAGGGCTGGGCAGGGCAGGGGGCAGGGCAGGGGACTGGGCAGGGCAGGGCAGGGGGCAGGGCTGGGCAGGGCAGGGCTGGGCAGGGCAGGGCTGGGCAGGGCCAGGCAGGGCAGGGCAGGGGGCAGGGCTGGGCAGGGCAGGGCCGGGCAGGGGGCAGGGCAGGGGACTGCGCAGGGCAGGGCAGGGGGCAGGGCTGGGCAGGGCAGGGCCAGGCAGGGCTGTGCAGGGCTGGGCAGGGCAGGGGGCAGGGCAGGGGGCAGGGCTGGGCAGGGCAGGGGGCAGGGCTGGGCAGGGCCGGGCAGGGCCGGGCAGGGCAGGGGGCAGGGCTGGGCAGGGCCGGGCAGGGCAGGGCAGGGGGCAGGGCAGGGGGCAGGGCAGGGGGCAGGGCAGGGCCGGGCAGGGGGCAGGGGGCAGGGCAGGGGGCAGGGCAGGGGGCAGGGCAGGGGGCCGGGCCGGGCTGCCCAAGGCTGGGCTGTCACCAGCAATGCCCTGCAGTACCGCAGCCCCGCCGGGGGAACAGGACTGGAGACCGCCGCAGCCGCTCCCTAGGCCCCGGGCTCTGTCCGTCGCTCTCTCCCCGCCCTCCCGCTGACCCCGGGCTCCGGTCCCGCGGCCCCGCTCCGCCCCGCCCCCCCCTCCCCGCTCACCCCAGGCCGCCAGACAGTCGATCTGAAGCGGCAGCTTCTCCAGGATGGGCAGCGGCTCAAAGGCGTCATGCATCACGGCCTCACGTACTGCGCCTGCGCCGCCCGCCGCCTGCTGGGAACTCGCGGGGGCGACACAAAGGGCGGGGCTTATACCAGGGGCGGGGCTTACACCGGGCGCGGGGCCGACACAAGGGGCGGGGCTTACACCGGGGGGCGTGGCCGACACGGGGGGCGTGGCTTGTGCGGGGGCGGGGCTTAGGCAAACTGGGAGGTACCCCCAGTGTGTGTCTGTGTTCACAGGGCAGAGAGGGGGAGTGTGTGTGTGAGTGAGTGACCGCTAGAGGGCGGGTGTGGTGGAGGCTGTGCGGCCGCTGTGGGGGGGAGTGTTGTTCGGTGTTTTTCTGTCACCGTTTCAGTGACTCTTTTGAGCGTCTCTCAGTCCCGGGGCCCCGGGAGGCGCCGCCCCGCCCGCCGCCCGCCCGCCCCCCGCCCTCCCGCCCGCCATGAGCACCATCCTGGATGAGTACGAGGACTCGGTGGCCCGGGCTCGGGCCGGTCTGCACCACCAGCAGCAGCAGCACCGCGGGGGGGCGCCCGGCATCGGCCTGACAGGTAGGCCATGGCGGGGAGGCCTCCGGGGCCTGACAGCGGGGGGGGGGGGCTCTCCTGTGGGGGGAGAGGGTTTGGGGTTTGGGGTGGGGGGGGTGAGGGGAGGGGGTGTGAGGGGAGGGGGGTGTGGGGGGTTTGGGGAGGGGGGGGTGAGGGGAGGGTGATGGGGGGAAAGCAGAGGAGGTCGAAGAGGAGGGTCTTGAGATGGGTCTTGAAGGGAGGGGGCGGAGGGTCTGTGGGATGGAGCTCCAGAGGGTGGGGGGGCGGAGAGGTAGTGGGGCGAGCGAGGCGGGGGACGTGAACAGCCCGAGGGTGGGAGGGAGGGAGGGAGGGAGGGGGATGATTCTGGATGGTCCGCAGCCTGTGTGGGGGGGCGGTGGAGGGGGTGTGTGGGGGGCGGTGGAGGGGGTGTGTGGGGGGCGGTGGAGGGGGTGTGTGGGGGGCGGTGGAGGGGGTGTGTGGGGGGCGGTGGAGGGGGTGTGGGGATGCAGCGCCTTATCACGTCTTCGAGGCGTCTCAAAGCACTTCACAGATTATACTGTAAAGTGCAGTGACTGTGTATTTTGTGGGCGAAACGGTGACAGCACAGCCGGCCCGGCTCCCCGGCTCCCCGGCAGGACCCGGCCCGGCTCCGCGGCAGGACCCGGCCCGGCTCCCGGCAGGACCCGGCTCCCCGGCAGGACCCGGCTCCCCGGCAGGACCCGGCCCGGCTCCCCGGCAGGACCCGGCCCGGCTCCCCGGCAGGACCCGGCTCCCCGGCAGGACCCGGCTCCCCGGCAGGACCTGGCCCGGCTCCCCGGCAGGACCCGGCCCGGCTCCCCGGCAGGACCCGGCTCCCCGGCAGGACCTGGCCCGGCTCCCCGGCAGGACCCGGCCCGGCTCCCCGGCAGGACCCGGCTCCCCGGCAGGACCCGGCCCGGCTGCCCGGCAGGACCCGGCCCGGCTGCCCGGGAGGACCCGGCCCGGCTCCCCGGCAGGACCCGGCCCGGCTCCCCGGGAGGACCCGGCCCGGCTGCCCGGCAGGACCCGGCCCGGCTCCCCGGCAGGACCCGGCCCGGCTGCCCGGGAGGACCCGGCTCGCACTGGTTTGATGGGGGGCTGCAGTGGTTACTGTAGGTGAGTGAGTATTGCGGGCGGTGGAGCTTTGTAACGCTCTCCGTGTCCCCCCCCCCCCACCCGCTGTAACGCTATGTATTCCCTCCCCCCCACACACAGGTTATGTCAGCGCGCGGCTGGAGGAGGAGAAGCCCATCTTCTCCAAACAGAGGATTGACTTCACACCCCCAGACGCCATCACTCACCTGGTGGTGTGTAACAACCAGCTTTGTCTGAGCCTGGGCAAGGACACGCTGCTCAGGTATGGTGGGCGTGGGGTGGGGGGAGTGCTTTGAGTGGTGTCTTTGGGTGTCAAGAAGGGTGGGGAGTGCCTGGGGGTGGGAAGGGGAAGCTGTTCTCTTTGTCAGTGAGTCGGGATCTCGCTGTTTGTGTGTCAGTGCCCGGGATCTGTCTGCCAGTGTGTGTGTGTGTGTGTGGGGGGGTGGGGAGTGATGGGTCTGTCTGTCTGTTAGTGACCATTTTGTGTGTGTGTGTCAGTGACTGGGGTCTATTTGCCAGTGTGTGTAAAGGTGACGGGTCTGGCTCTGTCCATCCGTCCATCCTTCTGTCTGTATTAGTAACCGTGGTCTGTGTAGTCTGTGTATGTGACGGGTCTGTGTGTGTGAGAGAGAATGACCGCAGTCTGTGCGTGTGAGTGTCCGCAGGTTGTGTGTGTGTGAGTGACGGGGTCTATCTGTGTGAGTGTGTGTCAATGGCCGGGGTCTGTATGCGTTTGGGTGTGTGAGTGCCTGGGGTCTGTCCGTGTCTCTCACCCTGTGTGTGTGTGTGTGTGTGTGCAGGATTGACCTGGGGAAACCGGAGCAGCCAAACCAGATTGAACTCAGCAGAAAGGACGATGCCAGGATTCACAAACTCTTTCTGGATTCTACAGGTATGTATGGTGTGTGGGTGGGGTGGATGAGGAGGAGTGAGTGTGAGGGATGGTGCTATGTTGAGGTGTGATGGTGAGTTCGAGTCCTGCTTCGCCCCCATTTCTGCTTGTCTGTCAGACATCAGGACCTGGATAAGCACAAACTTCCTGCAGCTGAACGTCAACAAGAGGGAAGCCATATTCCTTGGCCCTCAATGTCCTGCAGCTCTGACCTCCTTAATCTCCCCGGCCTTTCCCTAAGACTTACTAAAGCTGTACGTAATTGGTCCCTAACCAAGACCACTTCCCTCCACCTCCGTCACGTTGCCCAAGCGTACCTCACCCCCAATGCAGCCGAAACCCTTGCTCAAGCCTTCGTCACCTCCCTCCTCGACTACAATGCCCTCCTCTGCGGTCTCTCCAACTCCACTTGCCACAAGTACTACTGATTAAGAACCCCCCCACCCATTTTCTCACACACATTGAACTCCATACCCCCATCACACCAGTCCTCGCCAGGCTCCACATCCACTGTCAATTTCACGATCTTCACACTCGTACACAAATCCCTTCATGCCCTGGCACCTCACTACCTCTGCAGCAACTACCTGCTGCCTCCGCTCGGCCCAGCTCCCACCTGCTGCTTGTCCCTCGTCCCCTCCATTCCACGATCGGCGGCCGCGCTTTCAGCCACCAGTCCTGAAACTTTGGACTCTTCCCCTCTATCCCTCTGTCTTGCCCCCCCCTCTCCCCCTTTTTTAGATCGCCTCCTCCCTCCCTCAGCTCGGCGTCATGCTCAGCCACTGTTAAGCGCTCCGAGACACTGCCCTGCGTGAAGGGCGCCGAGTAAATGCAAGTGATAGTTGTTGTTGATTGCGTCTCTCTCTCCGTCCTCAGGATCACACCTGCTGATCAGCCTGACGACCAGCGAGTGCCTGTACCTGAACAGGAACACTCAGAAGGTGCGGAGCCTGTCGCGCTGGCGGGGACACCTGATCGAGAGCGTGGGCTGGAACAAGGTGGCGGGCACGGAGGCGAGCACAGGGCCCATCCTGGTGGGTACCAGCCAGGGCCACGTGTTCCAGGCGGAGCTGTTGGCCAGCGAGGAGCGCTTGTTCACATCCAGCCCTGACCAGTACTTCCGGGTGGTGTACAGCCTGGAGGAGGAGGGGCTGCCCACCCCAGTCTGCAGCCTGGAGATCGAGAAGGGCATCGACGGCCGCTTCTTCATCATCGTCACCACGCGCAAGCGGCTCTACCAGTTTGTGGGCCGTCCCCTGGAGCCCACTGAGCAGATGGTGTTTCAGCCGATCTTCAGCCAGTACGCGGACGCCCCTCCCAGCTTCCAGGAGTTTCCCGTCAGCCTGGGCTACAGCGACGTCTCCTTCTACACCCCCCGGCTGCGCTCATCGCCGCGCTGCTTTGCCTGGATGATGGGGAACGGGGTGCTGTACGGGACCCTGGACTACACCAGGCCCGACTCCCTGCTGAGTGAGGTGCAGGTGTGGGAATATCCCCCCGAGCTGGAGCTTCACACACAGCCGCCCAGCGCCATCGTGCTCACTCAATTCCACTTTGTGCTGCTCCTGCCTGATCGGCTGAAGGCCGTGTGCACGCTGAATGGGCAGCCGGTGCACGAGGACATCTTCCCCGACAAGCAGGGCCGGCTGGTAGGCCTGGTCAAGGACCCGGTGTCCGGGCTGATCTGGGTTTACACCGATCGCGCCGTCTTCCGCTACCACATCCAGCGCGAGGCCCGGCACGTGTGGCAGATGTACATGGACATGGACAGGTTCGACCTGGCCAAAGAATACTGCAGGGACCGGCCCGAATGCCTGGACGTGGTGCTGGGCAGAGAGGCCGACTACAGCTTCCACAAGCAGCGCTACCTGGAGAGTGCCCGGGCCTATGCCCTGACACACCGGCACTTTGAGGAGATTGCGCTCAAATTCATCGAGGTGGAGCAGGAGGCGGCGCTCAGGGAGTTCCTGCTCAGGAAACTGGGAACCCTGAAGGCTGAGGACAGGACCCAGAGGATACTGCTGATCACCTGGTTGGTGGAGATCTACCTGAACAAGCTGGGGGAGCTGGAAGGGCGCGGGGCAGGGGAGCTCCAGGCCACTCGGGAGGAATTCCGGGCTTTCCTGAGCAACCCGCGGAATCGGGAATGCCTGCAGGAGAGCCGTGCCACCCTGTACCAGCTGCTGGCCAGCCACGGCGCCCGCGAGGACGCCCTGTTCTTCGCGGTCATCATGCAGGACTACGAGCGGGTGGTCGCCCACCACTGCCAACACGAGGACTACAGCGCTGCCCTGGAGTGCTGAGTCGCTATCGCCACCCGGGCCTCTTCTACAAGTTCTCCCCCCTCCTGATGCAGCACCTCCCCCGTCAGGTGGTGGATGCCTGGATCCAAATGAGGAAACAGCTGGATCCCAAGAGCCTGATCCCGGCCCTGGTCAACTACAGCCAGCTGGGAGGCTGGGAGCAGGAATGCCAGGCTGTGCGTTACCTGGAGTTCTGTGTGTGTGAGCTGGAGGTGACGGACCAGGCCATCCACAACTACCTGTTGTCGCTTTACGCCAAGTACCAGCCCTCAGCCCTGCTCAGCTACCTCCAGCAGGCCGGCCCGGCCCCCAGCCCCGGCTCCACCCCCGGCTCTGCCCCCGCCGGCCTGCACTACGATGTCAAATACGCCCTGAGGCTGTGTGCCGAAAGCGGCCATCACCGGGCCTGTGTCCACATCTACAGCATCATGGGCCTGTACGAGGAGGCCGTGGGCCTGGCCCTGCAGGTACTTCACCCAGGGTGGGGCGGGGGGAGGGGTAGGGGGGCGGGGGCGGGGGGGAAGGCACACACTGCAGGTACCTCACCCCGGGTGGGATGGAGACACACACACTCCAAGGCTTGGGGACCCACGACTGTGCGTTAGAGTAACTGTTTGGGAGTCTAACCAGCTAAAACCACACGGCTTGCTATTGAGAGCTGTGTCTGACGAGCTTTCCCGCTGCTTGTCCAGCTAGGACCACCCTATCTGTTAGGACTTTGGCTCGCAGGGTTAACAGGAGCGGAGTGGGAGGATTCGCTACCCCCAGCGACTGGTCTGCCCTTCCAGGTCCTGAGCCAGGCTGGGCTGTGCTGTCATCAGCTGTGCCATGAAACTTATAAATAGATGTTTGACAAGTCCGGCTTTGCACCCAAGCAGAGGCTTGTAGCCAAGTGTTTCACCTGGCAGCCAACTCAGCCCAGGGAGAACCGCTGCTGAATGCCTGACCTCTCCCACGCTCGCTGATCCCCCGCCCCCTCCCCCTGTGCCCCTCACTGAGCCCCTGTTGCTGTCTCTTTGAAGGTGGATGTGGACTTGGCCAAGGCGTGTGCGGACCTGCCTGAGGAGGACGAGGAGCTGAGGAAGAAGCTGTGGTTGACGATTGCGCGTCACGTGGTGCAGGAAGAGGAGGATGTGAAGAAGGCCATGGTGTGTGTGAGCAGCTGTCACCTGCTGAAGATCGAGGACATCCTGCCGTTCTTCCCCAACTTTGTCACCATCGACCACTTCAAGGAGGCCATCTGCACCTCTCTGGAGGAGTATAACCAGCACATCACTGAGCTCAAGCAGGAGATGGAGGAGGCCACAGAGAGCGCCCGGCGCATCCGCGAGGACATCCAGGAGATGAGGAACAAGTACGGGGTGGTGGAATCCCAGGAGAAGTGCGCAGCCTGTGACTTTCCTCTCCTCAACCGCTCCTTCTACCTCTTCCTGTGCGGCCACATGTTCCACGCTGACTGCCTGCTGCACGAGGTCCTGTCCCACCTCTCGAGCACCAAGAAAACACGGCTGGAGGAGCTGCAGCGCTTGCTGGTAGCCATGGCACAGCCCAAGGCTCGGCTCCGCTCCAGGCCCGAGGAGGGGGCCCCGGAGACCGGATCGGAACCACCCTCCCGAGAGACGATCAAGAGCAAAATCGATGAGGAAATCGCGAGGGAGTGTGTGTACTGCGGGGAGCTGATGGTCCGCTCCATCGATAAACCCTTCATTGATCCCCTGCGCGATGAGGAGGAGAGGCGCAGTTGGCTGTGAGAGAGGCCACAGCCTGTGTGTTGTGTTTGTGTGAGAGAGCGGACGCAGCCTGTGTGTGTTTGCGTGTGTGTGAGAGAGAGAGAGACCATAGCCTGCGTGTGTTTGTGTGAGAGCGCGGCCGCAGCCTGTGTGTGTTTGCGTGTGTGTGTGAGAGAGAGACCACAGCCTGTGAGAGCGCGGCCGCAGCCTGTGTGTGTGTGTGTGTGTGTGAGAGAGAGAGAGACGAGGTGGGAGATGGTGTCTTCCCGAGGCTGAGAACTGCTGGAAATGTGTCTACTGTCCGCCCCCCACGACAAATTGCTTGTATATTGTTGTTGTGTCTGAGCATAAAATGTCACAAAACCTCTCATCGTTAGCGTGTGGCCTTTATGTGGGAAAGGAATGAACTCCCGCGAGCCCATCCCAATTTCTTTCTGTCCACCAGCACAGTTCCCATCCCCTTCAAAACAGCCACCAACACCCCCAGCCTCAAAAGGTGTGGGAGCGGGTGGGAGGAGGAGGGTGGGGAGGAGGAGAGGTGGGTGCGTGAGGGGGAGAAGGTGGGTGTGGGAGCTGGTGGTTGTGGGAGCGGGTGGGCGTGGGCGTGGGAGCAGGAGTGGGAATGGGGGTGCGAGCGTGTGAGTGTCACAGACGAGGACAGGTGGTGTGTGCTGACAGCGAGTGGTTTATTGTAAACAGACATTGCTGCCGATGCGTCAGCCGTGACGGCAGATTCCTGCAGAGTCACCGAGACGGTGGCTCCACTGGTTACGGTAGCTCCTGAGGTACTCGTCGCGAGCGAGTGAGCGAGCGCTCCTGCCGAGGCGATGTGGTGATCAGTCTGAGGTCTGGGTGTTCAGTGTGAGGTAATAACCAGGCACAGGAGAGAGAGAGAGAGAGAGAGGGGTGGGAGTGGGGGGGGGGAAGCACAGAGCAGCCTTCGCTCCACACACCTGGGTTCTTCATGCATACATGGTGAGCTGCAACCACTGTGGATAGAACACCGGGGATGAGGAAGAGCGAGGGTTGACGCGGTGGGTTGACGTGAGGACAGACATTGATATCACTGACTGGCAAGCTTTCCCGCGGCTTGTCCGGCACGGTCACCCCAGCGTTTAAGGCTATGGCTTGCGGGGTTCACAGGAGCTGAGTGGGACGATTCCCTGCAATGCTGCAGACGCACAGACTCTGCTCCTTTTAAGTGTCATTCCGTAACCAATCCTGTAAAATTCCTGTCTCACCTCCTCCACAGCGGCACCTGATTGTGGATAAAACCCCCAAACTAAAGGAGAAGTTGCTCACCCCCACTCCTCTCCCCCTCTCCCTCTCCCCCTGCTTCCCTCCCCTCGGAGCTCAGTGTAATGACAGTAAAGGGCCGCCTACCTCCAGGACACTGAGTTTAATGATTCCGTCTCCATCTTTGTCGAACGCTTGGAAAGCTCCTGTAAAGTTCAGAGTGACAATCAGTGCACATCACCCCTCGTAACCCCCAGTTTAACCCCACCCCCTCACTCCCTCATTCTCCCCTCATTCACCCCCAATCTAACCTGTCTCCCCTCGCCCCCCCATTCTCCCCTTGTTCCCAGTCTCCCCTCGCCCCATTCTCCCCATTCCTCCAGTCTCCCCACGCACCCCCCCTCACTCTCCCCTCATTCCCCGTCTCCCATCGCTCCCCCTGCTCCCCCACCATCCCTTCATTCACCTTGTCTCCCCTTGCTCCCCCAGTCTAACTCCACTCCGCAATCTAACCCATCTCCCCTTGCTCCCCCACTCTCTTCATTCCCCCCCCCCCCAGTCTCTCCTCGTTCCCCCACTAATTGAAAGACAAGGAGAAAGGCACAGGGAGACACACTCAGTTGGAGACTGAGTGACATGAGCAGGAGCTGTGGCTGGATGTTGCTGGTGGCTGAGCTTAGGGGCTGAGCGGGGAGTGACTTACTGAACATGCCCTCCAGCCTGACCAGGCAGCAGATAAAGCTGTCAAAGCTCAGGTTCATGTCCTCGTCTGCGTAGCGCATGGAGATGATCTGATACAGCTGGTTATTGAGATGGAAACCTGGGAACAGACAGAACAACAACACATTACATTCACAGAGGACCGAGGCACTGGACAGACAGGGATTTGGATCTGAGCTGGGGGTTGGGATCAGAGAGCAGCACTGTCACCTCAACACAGCCTTCGCCCAACGGCCGAACATCGCAGGACCGGGGGCCAGGGCAGGGGAGAGGCCAGAGATCAGGGCAGGGCCAGCGAAGTGCGAATCGAGGCAGAGAGAATAATTGGACACAATAAATATATTTTTTAAGTTTTCCAGTGCTTCCCAGGATATACTGTAAACTGCAGCGGCTGTGTATTTTGGGCAAAGCGCGGCAGCCATTTTGCACGCAGAGGTGTCCCACAACCAGCCACGGAGAGAGTGAGTTGGCCAGGACGTCGGAAGAAACTCCCTCCTGTTTTTGAATAGTGCCCACGGAATCTTTAACGTCCACCTGAACGGGTACAGATGGGACCTCGGTGTAACATCTCATCCGAGGCACGGCAACTCTGGCAATACGACGTTCCCCCCGGCTCTGTGCTAGAGTCAGCCTGGTCTGTGGGGCTGATGTGGGGCTCGAACTCATGACCTCCTGACTCAGAGGGTAGAGTTGTCAGCACAGGAGTCGCTGACCCCTTCCCCCACCCCACTGACCTGCAGCGTTCACTGCCGTCCGCATCTCATAGCTGTTGATGGTTCCTGTCTTGTCCTTGTCGTATTCCCGAAAGATTCCCTGCGAAAGGCAACAGGAGAGAGTGAGAGCAACGGGAGAGAGAGGGCAATGGCAGAAGGGAGAGCAGGGGTGGGGCAGGGGGTGAAAATATTCTTTGAGGTGGGGGGGCTGAGTAAAACCCAGTTAAAAGGATCAGTCCCCTTTAAGACAGGCCTGACTGATAGATCCATTGGCCATCAGAGGTGAGTACTCCCGCCGAGCAACCCATTGGACAACGAATGGCAGAGAGGCAAGAGGGTCCCATGGGTGCCGTGGGTTGGGGTCTGCTCAGACGACTGGCTTCCCCCTCCCAGCTCCCCTTAAAAAGTTGATGGTGGGTGCTGACTCCTCCAGCCTCATCCGTCCGCTGTCACCGCGAGGTAAGGAGGAGAGCAGGGGATGGGGCCAGGGGTCGGTCCTGGAATGTTCTGCAAGGTGTAGAGTTGCCGGTCACCTGCCACTGTTTAATCTTGTTCCACAGATGTTGGAATTCCATCAGGTTGAGTTTTCCCGTTCCGTCGGTCTGAGATCAGGGTGTTAAGGAATATTACAATGGATTCAGGTCCCCAACTGCCCACCCACTCTTAGAGCTGTTGCTCACTCAGTCTCTGCCTCTTCTCTCCATCTCTCCTCTTCACAATATCAGTCCAGATGAAGAAGAACCTTCGACCCATCCAATCTCCTCCCTCCAGAACACCCACCGGACCGTCCACCCCACCCCTATCACAGCATGGAGCTGCTGTTTCAATGAGTCCCAGTGTCCTGACCTCAACCTCCCTTCCTGGTAACCTGTTTATTACCAGTACTCACCAGTAAAGTCCTGGCTGAGAGTTTAGTTCAGCTCGAGCTCCAGTTGAACGCACTGAGCCAGTGTCCTGTTCAATACTTAACCATCCTTTAAACCACACATCCATGCCATGACCTGTTCTGCCTTCCCCACCTCCTCAACATTGCCCGAATCCGCCACTGCCTCTCCCCTCAGGCCACCGAGACCCCTGTTTACGTATTCATAACATCCAGGCTTGATGATGCTAGCTCCCAGCTTGCCGGACTTCCTATCTCTTCCCTTCACAGGCTGCGGGTCCTGACCCAACTGTACAGCGCCTTGGGACATCCTCCCGACGTGAAAGGTGCTCTATAAATGGAATCTTGTTGTTGTTGTTGCAAATCATTCCGAACTCTGCAGCTCATGTCCTCTCCCGCACCAGGCTCCGTGTCCCCATCACCCCCACTCTCACCCGGCTCCAGTGGCTCCCTGTCCTCCAGAGAATAGTTCAAAATCCTCATCCTCGCCTTCAAAGCTCTCCACTTTGCTCCTCCCTACTTTTCGGACCTACTAAACCTTTACCAACCCTCACGGGCATTGGCCTGCTCCACGTCTCCCGCCCTGCCCTGTGGGCGAGGGGTGGGGCCCGACGTGTGAGGGGCGGGGTCCAGACGGGAGGATACATCCATCAGGGCGACCATACTGCGGCAGGACTCCAGCGTGAAGCCTTCGGTCTTCATGTTGTCTGTGAGGAGATGGTATCAGTCAGCGGATCCGTTGCTCCGTGAGCTTGCCTGGCTTCACTGGCTCCCTCTACCTTCTATCCCAGATCTCACTCCCCCTCTCCTGATCTCACTGCCCGATGTCGCTCCCACTCCACTCGCACCCTGCACTGGGCTACGCCTGGTTTGCTACACGCCCTCTCCCTACCCCGAGCCACCATCAGCGACAAGAGCTTTCAGTTATGTAGCTCCTCACTTCTGGAACTCCCTCCCTCTCTGCATCTCGCCCCTCTCTAAGGCGTTGGCTACGGCCCCCTCCTCCCACTCTCAACCGGAAGTGCAGATACTTACACTTCTTCACCACACGGTTCAGGATGGACATTAGCTCTGCAGCTGTGATCTGCATATCCTGGGGCAAAAAGAGAGTGAAGTGAGTAATGGTGGGAGAGAGGGAGGGAGGGAAGTGAGCAGTGGAGGGAGGGCGTGACTGCTCACTCATTATATGTACCATGACAGAGTCACTCACCTCCCCTGCGATCTGCTGGAAGATTTTCTGGAACTGTTTGTCCTCCTCATTGTTTTGTGTGTCTGTGACCGGCTGGGGCTGCCCGGGAGAAACGGTGCTCAGCGTTATATGGAGTCACAACCAACTCCCAAGAGCATGCTTCAAAACACAATCTAAACACGAGGCCTCGCGAACGCTGGATAGTCCATTGGACAGGAAGGACGGAGTCCTGTAGCTCAGTGGTTAGAGCACTCGCTTTGCAAGCCAGAGACCTGAGTTCAATTCCAGGCAGAGGGCGAAACCTTGGGCAAGTTTCCTTACTCCACACAGAGCCTAATAATAATCCCTCCAAAACCAAAAACAATAATAAATTGATCATTTTCAATCTACGACTGTTTGTGGGACATTGCTGTGCGCAATTGGCTGCCGCGTTCGCCCACAAATATACAGTCAATTCACTTTACAGTGTGTTCTGTGAAGCGCTTTGGGACGTCCTCCCGACGTGAAAAGCGCTATATCAAATGCAAGGATTATTATTATTATTAAGGTAACCTCACACACAGCCTGGTCAGGAGGTCTCACGCACAGCCGGCTCACATACAAACTGGCCAGAAGGCCTTACACCACAGCCTGCTCACATAGGCAGTACTCCATGCAGCGGCATAGCTGTTAGGAGCATGTTTGGAGTAAGCTGCAGAGTAACATTGCTTTAATGAAACCGACACGTCTCTCTGCTCGAGAAGCATCCCTCCTCAGCCACTGACAACATGAACTCTGCCTCTCTCCCGCGATGAGGCTCGGGCTGAAGCCCCCACCCAGCAACATGCAGGCTGCAATCCTCAAAAACAGGCAAAGCCTTTACTCAAGAGTCCAGCCCGTCAGCGATAGCCTGAGGCAGACACACACAGACATAGCGGCCCACCACGGAGGGTCCTTGCAGGTGGACGATGACTGTCTACAACACTGAGAGATGGCAGCAATTCCGCCGTCCAGACGAAGCAATCACTGGGTAAATACAGAGCTAGACACGGCCTCACAACACCCGCCTGTATGGTCACCTCAACCTCGTCTCTCTCCTTCTGTGCCCCTCACTCTCTTGCCACTGCCCTCTGTCTCTGATCTGCGACTCTCTTTCTCTTCCACGCTCCCTCTTGCCCACTGCTCTCCCTCTTTCTGTCTCTCTCTTCCACCTGAACGCTCTCTGGCGCTCTCTCTGTGCCTCTCACTCTCCGTGCCCATCTCTCGCTATGCCTCTCTCTCTTTCTGTGCCCCGCTTTCTCTCCCTTGGGACTGCGATGGACGCTGGCAACAGTACAGTGCAGCTGAAGCATGCAAGCGGGCTGAGAGTGAAGGGGAGACCTGGCCGGGCCCCTTGTCCTCGCTCTTGGTGCTGCCGGCATCTATGAGGACCTTACCACGGCCTCTATCAGATATAAAGATGATTGGCTGAGGGAGAGAGAGTGCGGTTAGACAGGCGGCACGGCAGAGCCCGGCACCAGCACCGGGGGTAACGCCATCCTCTCTCTCTCTCTCTGTGATCAGGGTTCCCTCTGCCTCCTCATCCTCCTGGTCCTCTCTGCCACGTTCGCCAGTCAATCACTCCATCCTCCTCCACCGCCTCACCTCCCACATCCACTTCAGTGGGACTGCTACAGCCTGGTTCGAGTCCTACTTCAACAAACCGCCTCCACTTTGTCTCTTCAAATAGTTTCTCCTCCCGCCCCCCGCCAGCCCTGTACCCCAGGGGTCCATCCATGGCCCCATCCACTTCCTCATCTGCATGCTCCCTCCTGGCAATGTCATCCGCAGACACTGGGCAAACTTCCACATGTATGCAGATGACATACAAAAGTACTTCTCCTCCTCCAGCTGCGACTCCTGTCCTGCCTACTGTCCTGGTTCAGCCCCTAACCAGGACAGCTTTTCTCCACCTCCGACCGTATCTTACCCCAAACGCAGCTGAAACACTCGTCCATGCATTTGTCACCTCCCGCCTCGACTACTCAAACGCCGTCCTCGCTGGTCTCCCCAGTTCCACCATCCTCAAAATCCAGTTAATCCAAAACTCATGTACTCACTCGCACAGAATTCTGACCCACATCACACCAGTTCTAACCAGGGTCCACTGGTTCCCTATCACCAAACAGATCGATTTGAAGAACCTCACGCGACTTCAAATCTTTTCACGCCCTGGTACCTCCCTACCTCTCGGACCTACTTACTCCTCCAGCTTTCCCTCGTGCCCTCCGTTCCACCATTAGTGGCCGCCCTTTCAGCCACTATGCCCCGAAACTCTGGAACACTCTCTCTCTATCCCTCCACCTGCCCCATCCTTCCCTATTGTCAGTTTGCGCCTGAAGACTTCCTCTTCTTCCATGTCTACTTTCATCTCCTCCCGGCCCCTACCACCACCCCCACAGCTCAGAGTCATGCACCGCCACTGTCAGGAGCCCTGGAACGCTATCCTGCGAGTGTGAGTGGGGGCCGAGTGTGAGCGGGGGGCAGGTGGGAGTGGGGGGGGAGTGAGAGCGGGGGCCGAATGTGAGCGGGGGGCGACTGTGAGTGGGGAGCGAGTGTGAGGAGGGAGCGATTGTGAGGGGGGGCTGAGTGTGAGCGGGGGGGCTGAGTGTGAGCGGGGGTCGAGTGTGAGCGGGGGGCAAGTTTAACCGGGGAGTGAGTGTGAATGGCACCTTGGACCCTCCCTCCCTGCCGCCCACCCAAGACCATCAACACACAGAGACAGACACTCACACACCTGCTGCTCCCAGGCCAGCACCGAGAAGAGAGAGAGAGACATGGAGAGGGAAGGAGAGAAAGCCATGGGGGGTTGGGGGGGGGAGTGAGAGAGAGAATGAGAGGGAGAGAGAGAGAGAGACGAGGGAGAGAAAGGGGGAGGGAGAGAGATATTACTATACAAATGGATATTGTGACACAGACATCCACGCAAACACAAACATACTCACACACACACAGACACACACACAGACTCATATACAGACATATACCCCCCAAACATACTTACACACACAGATGCACTCAGACCACACAGACAGACACACACACAGACTCATATACAGACATACACACAAACGTACTTACACACACACACAGATACACTCAGACGCATACAACAACAACAACAACAACAACAAGATTCCATTTATAGAGCGCCTTTCACGTCAGGAGGACGTCCCAAGGCGCTGCACAGTTGGGTCATGACCCGAGCATTGGGGGGAAATGGTCAGGGTGAGGGGAGGGAAGGGAGGGAGCGAGGAGGGGGGAAATGGTCAGGGTGAGGGGAGGGAAGGGAGGGAGAGAGGAGGGGGGAAATGGTCAGGGTGAGGGGAGGGAAGGGAGGGAGCGAGGAGGGGGTAGAGAGTCGAGAGGGGAGCTGAAGGCACGGTCAAAGAGAAAGGTTTTGAGACCGGCCTTGAAGGAGGAAAGGGAGGAAGCGGCGAAGGCACTGGGGATAGAGTTCCAGAGCCTCGGGGCTGAGAGGCTGAAGGCCCGACCACCGATAGTAGGGCGGTTGGGGCGGGGGACGTGGAGCAGACCGGAGCCAGAGGAACGGAGGGTACGGGCAGGTAGGTAGGGGGATAGTAGGTTGGAGAGGTAGGAGGGAGCAAGGCCGTGAATGGCCTTGTAGGTGAGGATGAGGATCTTGAAATCAATCCTCTGGGGGATGGGGAGCCAGTGGAGGCGAGCGAGGGTAGGAGTGATGTGGTCCCGAAGCCTGGTGCGGGACAGTACACGAGCTGCAGAGTTCTGAATGACCTGCAGCTTGTGGAGGGAGGTGGCGGGAAGGCCGGCGAGGAGAGAGTTCCCATAGTCCAGCCTTGAGGTGACAAAGGCGTGAACCAGGGTTTCAGCAGCGTGAGGGGTGAGGTAGTGCCGTAATCTGGCGATATTCCGGAGGTGATGGAAGGCGGTGCCAGTTGTGGTGCGGATGTGAGGGAGAAAGGACAGCTCAGGGTCGAACAAAAAGAAAGGACAGCTCAGGGTCGAACAAACCCGGACACAGACTCACATGCAGACATACACACACACATATCCGCACAGATACACACACAGATGCACATAGACACAGATAATCAGACACACACACACGAACCTCGGGGTGGTCAGCCACGATCTGATTCTCCAGTTCTCTGAAATACACAAGTAAATCAGGCCTAGAATGATTATTATCACAGCCGCTGGCAGACGTGGGGGTCAGAGTGAGGGTGGGAGGCGAGGGGAGGGATACTCGAGGTGGGATGGTGAGCAAAAAGTCTTAGTTCGGGGTAAAGATCTTGGGAGGCTCCTGAGGCAGCGGTCTTGGGGGAAGAGATAGGGTATGAGTGTGAGCTGTCTGGGGAGGAGGGGGCCAGGGCTCGAGGGGGTCTCGGGAGGGCGAGTTGGGTGGGGGGTTGTTAGGAGCTGACTTACTCTGATAAGTTCTGTTTCTCAGAGAAGACCCTGAGGATGAAGTCTCCCTCCTGGTGTGGCTCGTACGTGGAGGGGACGATGACGTACTCCCCAGGCGCCAGGCGGAATCTCTGGGACACCTCCCGCAGGTTAATGTAGGATTTGCTGCGCGTCTTGGACGCCTGGTGCAGGAAGAAGTCCTTCGGCAGGTGTTGTTTGCTGCCCTGTAGCTGGTCAGAGGAGCCATCAGAGCTTCGTAACCCCTCACCAATAACGTCACCCCCTCCCTTCACCCACTTATCAGTAACATGACCCCCTCCCCAATAACATCACCCCCTCCCCGTCAAACCCCCTCCCTCCCTCCTTCCCCATCACCCCTCCTCTCGTCACTCCCTCCCCCCTCCTCTTCCCTCCCCACAAATCTACTTCTCTTCCAGCTTCAACTCCAAGTGTTCTGTCAACTCATTTGTCTGACATCTGGGCCTGGATGAGCACAAGCTTCCTTGGCTCTCATCAACGTCTTCTCTCCTGCAGCTCTGACCACCTCAGCCTCCCCGGGCTTTCCCTACGACTTACCAAATGTAGGGAAAGATGCGCTAACCTTGTGTGTCAGGTTCGACCCCCAGCTGTCCTTCATCCCCCATATCCAGTCCCTGATCAAGACCGCTTTTCTCCACCACTATTGCCCGCCTCTGACCGTACCTCACCCCCAACCCAGCCGAGATCCTCGTCCAAACCTTCGTTGGTCTCCCCAGGTTCACTACTCACCAACTACAACCGATTCAGAACCCCGACGCCCACATGCAAACCCACACTAAGCTCTGTATCCCCATCATACCAGTCCTCGCCAGGCTACACTGGCTCAATATTGCACATTAAACTCCTTACCCCCATCATACCAGTCCTTGCCAGACTCTACTGGCTCCCCATCACACATACTAAACTCCGTACTCCCATCACACTAAGCTCTGTATCCCCATCACACCAGTCCTCACTAGGCTCCACTGCCTCCCTATCACTGAATCGATCGATTTCAAGATCCTCACACTCGGCTTCAAATCCCTTCACGCCCAGGCACTCTAACTCTCCGACCTGCTTACTCCCCAACCCACTACCAGCTGCTTCCAGTCGGTTGGCTCTGGCCTCCTGCTTGTCCCTCGTGCCCTCCGCTCCAGCATCACCGGCCGCACTTTCAGCCATTACGCCCCGAAACTCTCATTCAATCCTTGCCCCCTCCTTCCCCTTTTTCGATCACATCTGAAGACCTTCCTGTTTGACCAAGAGACCTCTGACTCTCACCTCCTTTGGGACCTGGAATAAAAAGACAAAAACATTTACATTGAAAGTGGGGGATCCCTGCCCGACCTCTGGCCCCCGCGGCCCCGCCTGATCTCTGACCTGATAGATGGCGAAGCCGATGGTGAAGAAGCTGGCGCCCTGGCGACGCTCTCGCCGGCGGTGTTTCTGCATTAACGCAACCACGAAGGTGCAGAGCACCGCGGGGTCATCGGGGTCATCATCCTCTTCCAGCAACTTCAACCAGAACTGAGGGTTTGTCCAGAATGTCTCTGAGAGAGAGAGAGAGAGAGAGAGTGTGAGTGAGTGAGTGAATGAGAGAGAGAGAGAGCACAAGTGAGAGGGTGAGTGAGCGAGTGAGTGAGAGAGCGAAAGGGAGCGAGTGAGCAAGAGAGAGTTAGTGAGCAAGAGAGTGAGCAAGAAAGAGCGCGTGAGAGTGAGCAAGAGAAAGAGTGAGCAAGCGAGATAGTGCGAGAGAAAAAGCGAGTGAGCTAGAGAGTGAGCGAGAGAAAGTGAGTGAGTGACAGAGGGAGTGAGTGAGAGAGCGAGAGAGAGTGAGAGAGAGACACAAAGGAAGAGTGAGAGAGACACAGACAAAGAAAGAGAGAGAGAGAGAGAGAGTGTGTGTGTGAGAGAGAGAGAGGTGGGATGGAGGAGCAGGTACTGGGGTAGTTACCAGATTAGTTACCAGTTGGTTAGTGGGTGTTTACCAGGGTGGTGACCAGTTGGTTACTGGGTAGTTACCGGGGTAGTTGCGGCAGCCGCCGGCAGAGCAGCCCCGCAGCCAGCGGCCCTCGTTGATGGATACCGTCCACTTGTGCAGTTTGTCGTCCTCCAGCGCATCCGGCGTCAGGTTACAGATCTCCAGCTTAGTGAAGCTCTTCTTAAAGTCATCAAATGACATCCTGGGGGAGAGAGCCCGACAGAGAGACTGACAGACCCAAAGAGAGAGAGAGAGAGAGAGAGAGAGAGCGAGAGAGACGCTGACAGACCACGAGCGAGAGACTGAGACTGAGAGAGCGCGCGCGAGAGAGAGATTAACAGACCCCGAGAGAGAGAGAGACACACGGACAGACCCCCGAGAGAGACAGAGACACTGACAGATCCTGAGAGAGACGCACTGATAGACCCCAAGAGAGAGACACAGACACTGACAGACCTCAGGAGAGAGAGAGAGAGACACACACACACACACACACACACACACTCTTACCAGAACTCCCCATCCTCCTTTTTCAGGTGTTGCAGTCTCTGTTTGTCCGGCTTCTCGATGCCCGCCCACTCCCGGGAGCTGAGGGAGCAAACAGCGGGTGTGAATCCGTCTCAGCCTCCCTCCCTCCCTCCCTCCCTCCCTCCCTCCCTCCTTCCCTTGCTCACCCCGTTGTCTCGTGCAGTGTTCCTCAGGACTCTCCTCGGTGCTACTCCTCTTCAACCTGTACATGCTCCCTCTTGGTGACATCAACCACATACAAATATAATTTTGAGCTGCTGCTGTTCAAATGGTCATCCTGGCCTCACACCTCATTCCTGGTAACCTGTTCCAGTCATAAGTTATCCTCTGGGTAAAGACACACTTCCTTGTGTCTGTCTAGAAATTGCCCCTTTTCAACTCTAACCTTTGGTCGTTCTCCCACCTCTCTGCTTTCCCTCATCCCTACACCCCCCCTCCCCCCCATGCTCGGGCCCCAACACCTGACTGTTCAGCGCTTTGGGACGTCCTCCCGGGCGTGAAAGGCGCTCTATAAATGTAATTTTGTTGTTGTTGCTGTAATTCTCTGCCCTCGTTCTCCTGCCGTGATACACCCGAAAGGCGTGATCTGGGTTTACTTTTTACAATTTTGCACAGCTCGAAAAGGTTGTCTTCTCTCAAGACTGAAGAGCCCGAGTGTGTCTAATCGTAGCTCACAGCTCATTCCTCTAAAACTGGGATAGCCTTGTTGTTCTCCTCTGCACTGTCTCATGCCGCGGTGACCAGAACTGTCTGCAGCATTGAATCTGTGGTGTCCTCTAGCCTCACCCTCTCCCTCACGACGGAGGCTGCCCGTCACTCCAGCCCCGTCCGCTGGGCTCGTCACTCACAGGTGACCTCACCTGTCACTCCAGGGCCCTGTCCACTCCACTTGTCCCCAGGGATTCCGCAAACGGACTATCTTTATCTTTTGGTTCTTGTAGGTGACCTGGAGATCAAGGAGTAAGTGTTACTGTCCCCCACACTAGACGCACAGATTCCTCCACCCCCAACAAGCTCAACCCCTGGGATTCACCCCACTCCGATCCCCTCTTGTGCCCCACCCTCCGGGTTTCCCCTCGTGACCCCTCCCAGGACTTCCCCCCCACTCCCCTCTCCGCGATCCACACCTCCTGGGACCCTCCTCCAATCCCCACCTCACAGATTCTCCCACCCCACAGATTCCAGAATTAGATTCCAGCCTGTACCTCACTCCTGGGCAGGTGTATGTGGTAGTCTTTTGGCTGCTCTATTTTGGTCACTAACCTCCCCCCATCCCCGACATACCTCCTCCAAGCCGGTGACGGAGTAAGCGTGACCTTTCACCAGCCCACTGGCCGTACGAGTCTCAAACAGCACCGGGACATACCCCTGTTACAGAGACACAGAGAGAGAGTGTCAGAGAGAGGGTTAGAGAAAGTGTGACAAGAGTCTGTCAGAGAGAATGACAGAGAGTGTGAGAGAGTGACCAAGAGTGTGTCAGAGAGTGTCGGAGAGAGTGAGTGTGTCAGAGAGAGAGGGACAGAGAGAGTGTCAGTGAGAGAGTGACACATGCGGAAACCCATCACCACGCTTAAGGGTATCCAAACCAATTTCATGCATCCCACCTAAAAATCCGAGAGATAAGATTGTTGGAATGGAATGTACACTCACTCCCTGGAGGGATGCGTCCTGCTTACTTAATTCCAAAGAGTATTAAGCACAGGCGAGCAAGCGATAAGGCTTGAGGACGCCAGTGTGTGCATTGGTGTACTGCTGGAGTCTAACCGTTAAAACCACATAGCTTGCCATTGATAGCACTGTTTGTCCAGCTTCTCACTGCTTGTCCAGATAAGACCACCTGTACCCATTAGGGCTTTGGTTTACAGTGGCTGGGTGTGAAGAATCCCTACCCCCAGCGCCTTGCCCCTCCCTTCCACACGCTGCCGGTGAGCCAGGCTGACTGTCCTGCTAGCAGTGCCCTGGAATACTGCACACTATCCTGGCTCAGGAACAGAACTGGAGACCGTCGCAGAGGGCCGGCTCGATTGTGACATTCCGTTGCCAAACTTGTCACCTTGGGGCCAATTCAGCTCCAAGGAGACGCCACTTACCCCCACTCCTTCCCCCAGGAGGATAGTCACAACTTGGTCATTTGATATCCAACAAATAAGAGTTTGAGCCCTCACTAGGTGGAGGGTAGGTACCAGAGATCTCCCTGCAAGCTTCTTGGTGGGCAGCACAGCTCAGCATGAAACTCGTGAAAGCTTTGCCACCATCTTCCTGTCCGCATCTTGGGCGCACGTCACTTCCCTTTGAGCCATGGTCCCTTTGAGCCATGAGGTACAGAGTTTAAGAACCAGCTGCTTGCATCTCTGCAAATCAATCAAGGTGGACTCCAGGCACTGGATGTACAAACGTGTGTACACAGATTCAGACTCCAGGTAATGCCATCCAGCAGCTGTCACCCTAAGCCTCAGAGTTTCCTCATCAGCTATCTGGCTGACATCTGCCTTCAGCGTAGTGGGGCGACCTTCACAGGACAGCTTGTGCCTCTCCATTGCATCTGCAGAAATTCGGATCCATAAAGAAGGATAGTTTAAACGTAGATTTTATATGCCACAAGCTTGACCTGCTTTGGGATCCTGCTGTCCCTGAAGTCTCACTCCCTCAGTCTCTCTCTGCCTCACATACCATCAACCGAATACCTATACCTGCCCATCAACACAGGAACTGCACCTGCCAATCAACACAGCCCCTGTACCTGCCCATCACACACAGGAACTGTACCTGTACATCACACACAGGACCTGCCCATCACACACAGGACCTGTACCTGTACATCACACACAGGACCTGTACCTGTACATCACACACAGGACCTGTACCTGTACATCACACACAGGACCTGTACCTGTACATCACACACAGGAATTGTATCTGTACATCACTCACAGGACCTGTTTGCCCCACACAGCGGGGGGAGGGAATGCCTATCACATGCAAGCATGGTCAGGCTGTGGTTTGCATGCAGCTCACATCGTGCAGCGACATACAAACCCTGGTAGGCAGGTCCGTGGGCTGTCCCTGGGACTGAGCCCTGGCCCCGGACTCCCCCTGATCAGCTGGCCTCACATTCCGAGCCAGGAACCGCTGGATCTGCGACTGGGGCGTCATTCCCTCCCCAAAGGATATGCCATCCTGCAACAGACATAGTTTGAGAAAGCACACAGCAACCGCACACACAGCACACAGTGAGAGCACACACAGCACACAGTGAGAGCACACACAGCACACAGCAATAGCACACACAATACGCAGTGAGAGCACCCACAGCACACAGCAACAGCACACACAACACAGTGAGAGCACACACAGCACAGTGAGAGCACACACAGCACACAGTGAGAGCACACACAGCACAGTGAGAGCACACACAACACAGTGAGAGCACACACAGCACACAGTGAGAGCACACACAGCACACAGTGAGAGCACACACAGCACACAGTGAGAGCACACACAGCACACAGCAACAGCACACACAGCACACAGCAACAGCACACACAACACACAGTGAGAGCACACATAGCAACAGCACACACAGCACACAGCAACAGCACACACAACACAGTGGGAATACACAACACAGTGAGAGCACACACAGCACAGTGAGAGCACACACAGCACAGTGAGAGCACACACAGCACAGTGAGAGCACACACTACATACACAACACACAGTGAGAGCACACTCAGCGCACACAACACAGTGGGAACACACAACAAACACACAGTGAGCACACACAGCACACACAACACAGTGGGAACACACAACAAACACACAGTGGGAGCACACACAACACAGGGATGAGTTGAGGTGAATGTCAGCGTGAGGATAGAGTTGGGAGAGAATCAGGGTGAGGATGGGGAGCAAGGGGAGTGAGGGAGGGGTTGAGGGTAGGGAACGAGTGGAGTGAGGGATGGGTGGGTTGGGGTTAGGGTGTGAGGGTTGGAGGGGGCTGGGTTGATCACCTCTATGGAGCAGCCCATCAGTGAGCCTCTCTGATTGGCTTTCCTCATGATCTTGAAGAGCTCCCGCGGGGCTGTCTTAATCTCAATAAACTCGGTCACTCCCCCCGTGAAGTCCTCCATCGCCTCTGTCGTGTTGCCCCCCTTCAGCGCCTCGTACGAGCCATGCACCCTGCAGGACACTGAGAGTGACACAGAGAACAACAAAGAGAGTGACACAGAGAGTGACACAGCGATACAAAGAGGGTGATACAAAGAGCGACACGGAGACTGACACAAGAGAAATACAGTGACAGAGACTAACACAACACAGAGATTGGCAAAGAATGATAGAGAGCGACAGAAGTGTGACACAGAGAATAACAGAGTGACACACAGGGCGACACAGAGTGACAAAGAGTAACACAGAGTGACAGAGACACATAGAGTGACACACAGTGTGACACAGAGATTGATCTCCCTCCGGCCCCCCTCACTTGGCGTAGGCCTTCTCCAGCAGTGCGCTCCAGAACTCATTGCGCTCAGCAGATTTGGTGAAGACGAGCTGATTGTTGTAAGTCGGCAGCCGGTCATCGATGATCACATCCACCCAGTCACCAAACCTCCAGAACTACAGAGAGACACAGCGGCAGTGATCAGCACAGTGAGAGTGACTACAGTGAGAGTGACCGGCACAGTGAGAGTGACCGGCACACAGTGAGAGTGACCGGCACAGTGAGAGTGACCGGCACAGTGAGAGTGACCGGCACAGTGAGAGTGACCGGCACAGTGAGAGTGACCGGCACAGTGAGAGTGACTGGCACAGAGAGTGACAGGCAGTGAGAGTGACCACAGTGAGAGTGACCGGCACAGTGAGAGTGACCGGCACAGTGAGAGTGACCGGCACACAGCGAGAGTGACCAGCACACAGTGAGAGTGACCGGCACAGTGAGAGTGACTGGCACAGAGAGTGACAGGCAGTGAGAGTGACCACAGTGAGAGTGACCGGCACAGTGAGAGTGACCGGCACAGAGAGTGACCAGCACAGTGAGAGTGACCGGCACAGTGAGAGTGACCGGCGCAGAGAGTGACCACAGTGAGAGTGACCGGCACAGAGAGAGTGACCGCAGTGAGAGTGACCGGCACAGTGAGAGTGACCGCAGTGAGAGTGACTAATTTGTGACAAGGCCTCAGTGCCGTGCCTGGTGGGGGCATCAGGGCCGGATTAACCAATAAGCCAGGTAAACCATGGCGACTGGAAGAGGGCAGTAGGTAGTCAGTCCTCCAGGAGGTCAGACCAGGTAAGAGGCAGCTGGAGAGCAGGAGCAGGTTGGCAGGGCCAGTTGCCCAGGCTGGTTGTCATGGCTGGTTGCTGGCGCAGGTACCTGGAAGTGGAAGATTCCAGCGTAGTTGTCGGTGAAGCTCTGGTCTTTCGGGATGACTCGGTAAAGCAGCTTCTCGTTCAGAGTCAGACAGGCGATGGCGGCCAGGAACCAGCAGTCACCTGTAACGCAGCCAGGCTCTATCACTGCCTCTCAGCGCAGAGCCCATCCCCACCACCGTGAACCCCATCCCCCCTCCCCCCACCCCAATGTGGCAAGGGAGAGATGAAGGGTTTGGCCACATGGTGATGTAACCAGGTGAGACGGTGACTTGGAGAGACACTCACCTAAATCTCCCTGACATATATCAGTCCGCGAAGCTCCGCCAATGATGAACTGCGGATTCTCACAGATCTCCTGCAACAAGAACAAGAGTCAGCCATGACCTGCCCCCAGAAACCCCCTTCCACATCAACCCCTAATCTCAGCCCAAACCCAACCCCACCGCTACCCCCAACTGACCTCACCCCAACCTCACACTGACCGCAACCTCACCCTCACCCCCCCACCTCGACCTCAAGCACGATCTCAGTCTGATATTAACAGTGACACCAATATATAGTCTGATATTAATAGTGACACCTCTATATACAGTGGAAGCTGCTTAAGATGGTGACATCAGGAACCGAAGTTCCCCAACCTCTTCCCGCCCTACAGAGGAGGGGCGGCACCTCCTCCCTCAGGTTGCCGTTCCCACTCGGCGTAAAAGGGACCAATTAGCGGCAGCTCCGAGGTGATTGACAGCCTGAAGCTGCTTGTGCTTTGAAGGAGGCACGGGATGGAGGAAGATGAAGGGCCTGTAAGATGGAGTTCCAAAGGATGGGGACAGAGAAGCTGAAGGCATGACCCACAATGGTGGGGTGGGCTGGGTGGGGGACGTGGAGCAGGCCAGAGCCTGCTGATCGGACGGAGCGGACAGGTTGATAAGGGGTTAGGAACAACAACAACAAGATTACGTTTGTATAGCGCCTCTCATATCGGGAGGACATCCCAGGTCACAGAGGTAGGAAGGAGCAAGGCCGTGGAGGGCCTTGAAGGCGAGGACGAGGATTTTCAACTCTATCCTCTGGGAGATGGGGAGCCAGTGGAGCCAGGCCAGGGTGATAGGGTCACATAGTCTGGTGTGGAAGAGGACATAAGCTGCAAAGTTCGGGATGATCTGCAGCTTGTGGAGGATACAAGCTGCAGATACAAATATATGGAAATTTGAGAGATGTTTATTGCAATGGAATGCGCACTCTCTGCCTGGAGGGAAGCATCCTGCTTACCTAATTCCGGAAAGTATTTCGCACAGGTTAGCAAGAGCCGAGGATTTTCCTCGGGGTAATTGCTGGAGTCTAACCTCCCGACGTGAAAGGCACTCTACAAATGTAATCTTCATTGCTGTTGTTGTTGTAAACCACATTGTTTACCAATGAGCACACCGTCTGGCGAGCCAAGTGGGAAGAGTCCCTGCCCCGAGTGACTGGACTGCCCCTCCAAGACCTGCCGATAAGTCGTGGTGGCTGGTCTGTCACCAGAAGTGCCTTGGAGTACTGAGGTCCCGCCTGGCTCAGGAACTCGACTGGAGTCCACCACAGACGGCGAACTAGATTCCAACATTCCATTGTTAAACATGTGGAGTCCTGTCGCTCAGTGGTTAGAGCACTCGCTTTGCAAGCGAGAGACCTGAGTTCAATTCCAGGCAGAGGGCGAAACCTTGGGCAAGTTTCCTTACCCCACACAGAACCTAATAATCCCTTCAAAACCAAAAACAATAATAAATTGGTCATTTTCAATCTACGACTGTTTGTGGGACATTGCTGTGCGCAATTGGCTGCCGCGTTCGCCCACAAATATACAGTCAATTCACTTTACAGTGTGTTCTGTGAAGCGCTTTGGGACGTCCTCCTGACGTGAAAGGCACTATATCAAATGCAAGGATTATTATTATTATTATTATGTTACCTTGGGGCCAATTCAGCATCAAGAAGACCCCACTCACCTCCCCTCACCAGGACGATAGTCACTAGATGGTCATTTGACATCCAACAAGCACGGGTTTGAGCCCTCATTAGGTGGATGGTAGGTACCAGGAACTCCTTGCAAGCTTCTTGGTGGACAACACAGCTCAGCATAAAATGAGTGGGAGCATTGCCACCATTCTCATTGCCACAGCTCGGACACATGTCCCTTCCCATTGAGGGATGGTTCCACCAGTTGGAGGTGCGGAGCTTAAGCAGCAGCTGCCTGCCTCTCTGTAAACCAATCAAGGTGGTCTCCAGGCACTGGGCATTCACAAACTCGGACACCAGGTAATGGCTTCCAGCAGTGGTCGCCCTAAGCCTCAGAGTTTCCTCATTAGCTATCGGGTGGACATCTGCCTTCAGTGTGATGGGAGGACCTTTACAGCACAGCTTGTGATGTGTCAGCCACCTTGATGTTCTCAATGTCCAAGTGCAATGCTGCATACCAAGGCTTACTCAACACTAGCTGCTTAATTCAGGTTGTCATACGAAGGGCCTTGGCAAATAGACGTGCCCCACTATGAAACCGACTCCATCTCCAGGGTGCTCAGCGAAAGGTCAGTGTAGGCTGCAGCCCTCTCTCCTTGCAGTCCCGTGTTTGCCACAAATCCACCTCACTGCTTGATCCTGGACTTTGCAAATGGGTCAGTGGAAGCGTCTCCACTGCATCCTCAGGAGGTTGGATACATAAAGGAAGACTGTTTCCACACAGGTCTTGTGTGCCACAAACTTGACCTGCATTGGGGCCTTGCTGTCCTTGAAGAGGGATAAGCATAACCAGAGTACCCTTTCCTTCTTCTCTGCGCAGTTCTTCAGGAGAGTGCCCAAGCAAAAATTGATATCGACCTTAACCCTCAGAGGTTTTTCTCTTTTCGATGGCTACAACTCCCCCACCACCACATATTATTATAATAATATAATCCCTCAAGGAAAAAACAATAATAATTTGGTTACTCGATCCAAGACTGTGGGACACTGCTGTGCGCAATTGGCTGCTGCGTTTCACCTACAAAATATACAGTCAATTCACTTTATCATCTATTCTATGAAGAGCTTTGAGACATCTAGAAGACGTGAAAAGCGCTATATCAAATGCAAGTATTATTATTATTATATACACGAATCTTGGAGAAAGAATACACATTGCGAATAAAATCCAAGATTTAGCCATGTATTCCCATGGGTTCCAGTTTCATCATGAGAGCTTCATGAGGCACTAGATAGAAAGCCTTGTGGAAATCAATGCATGTAGGCAAGTGGGTATCATAGCCTTATGGCATTCCACAATCTCATATAGAACTACAATCTGACCCTCACATTTCTCATCAGAACGGAAGCCGGTTTGCTCCTTCCTGATCAAACCACAAGCCTCCAATGTGTGCAATACCCAAAGTTTCACTTTAACAGCCACTGGACTCAATGAAATATCTCACTAGGGTCACCCTTCTTGTGGATAGAAACACAATATCATTCTGGAAAATTCATGGAGGTGTACCCCAGAGAGCATCCTACTGACTAGAGCTAGGCCAGCAGCTCCAAGGCGAGTTGGAGGTTCCCAGCTTGGATATATAAGATCCTCACTGTTCTCTGTTTCACCCCCATTCCCCTCAGAGCAGCTTTTAGGAACTCAGCTTTCAGGAACTTAGCTTTTAGGAACTCCGCTTTCAGAAACTCCACAGCACGGAATCCACCTCCTCCCAACAGACTGGGTCATTAAGGTCTTCAATCTGTCCCACGGCTCCCACCAACTTTTCCACTCTCAATGCAGATGGATTTCTGATATGAAGTGGCATCTCTCTACAGTCTGATATTAAAAGTGTATAACACGTAACTATATAGCCTTATATTCACAGTCCCACTCTACATACCCTAATATTAGCAGTGATTTGATATTGCATCATCACATCATCAAAATGTCTCAAAGTGCTTTACAGGATTTACTGTAAAGTATAGTGACTGTGTGTTTTGTAGGAGAATGCAGCAGCTAATTTACGCACAGCAACGTCCTTTCAAACAGCCATGAAGTGAATGACTGATTTTATCCGGGGAGGCTTGTTGGTCAGGATACCGGAAGAAACTCTTCTTGGTTTAACATCTCACGTCTGAAAGACAGCACCTCTGACAATGCAGTGCGCACCCACCTAGCACTGCACTTAAGTGTCAGCCTTGACTGTGAGCTCAAAGTCCCGATGTCGGACTTAAACCCACGACTTCTTGCCTTTGTGGTGACAATAAAATACACTCCTGACCCCGCGACCCCCCTTCCACTAGCACTGGCCATGGAAACCTTTGACCTCCTACCTTGGGCCTTTTCCACCCGATGTTCTTGATTTTCCCGGATTTCTGGCTGAGCTCCTTGTACCCGAGAGACTCTGCCGAGGCTGGGAAGGTGCTATCCTCAAACAGGAGCTTCCTGGTCAGATGTTCGCGTCGCAGGGTGGAGAACTCCTGCTCCGCAAACTTCACCGGCTTCAGGATAGAGCCTTCCCCGTCCCGCCTCTGCCGCTCCTGCATCAGGCGGTCACAGAAATAGCCCGAGGGCGTGTACGGCATCTTACCAAACACGTGGCTCTCTCTCACACTCTTTCGCTTGCTCTATTGCCTCACTCTCGCTCTCTGTCTCTCGTTCTATCTCTCGTCCTCGCTTTCGCCCTCTATCTCTCTATCTTTCTCTCTCTCTATCTATCTGTCGCTCTATCAGTCCCTTTGTTTCGCTCTCTATCTCACTCTATCTCTGACTCGCTCTATCTCGCTCTGTCGCTCTCTGCTATTGATGAGCCGTGGTCGGACACATACAATAGATCAGCGTCCGACAGGGTCTGGCATAAATCCAAGACGGCGGCCAATCAGTGCCAGGAGCTCAAACCTGGCCCTTTGGGAGGAAAGGAGGCAAAGGACCGGCCTCTGTGATTGGCCCCGGTCAGCGGAGTCTGGGCGGTTGGCCAGAGCATTGACAGAGGGGCTCTGGTTGGGATAAAGCCGGAAACACACACATAAACACTTTCTCTCCTAAAGAAGTGTATCTGCCTCAGCAAATGGTATTCAGGTCTAAACCTGCTGTGAATGGCGAGTGTGTGCAGCACTCTATAGACCCTAATCCTATAGAGACACAGGCTCATTGAGCACACACAGCCTGATGTGCAGCTCAGTCTAAAGTCCTCTCGTCAATGAGCCTCTCCAATTCCTTTCATACAAGCCACAGACTCAGATAACAGCTCCATTCCCCCCTCTCTCCCCACCCCAAATAACTGGTCTCACCCCTGGCCCCTCACTCTTCTATTCAACTTTTTCTCTCCGTCTCTCACAAGCTCGCCTGACTTCCTGGGTTTAAGCCACCATCTCAGGGCTTTGAGTTCAGTCCAGACTGACTGTCCTCCAAGGTCTGCCCCAGAACTTAGTCTGGTTTGGATATTCTTAAGCATGGTGATGGGTTTCCGCATGTATCAGACACTTCACTGATCATGGTGATGGGGTTCCAAGTGTGCACCGACCGCTGCATTGTCAAAGCTGCTATCGTTCAGATGAAACATTTAGCCATGGTCCCATCTGCTCCTTTTCACATGGAATCCTATGGGACTATTCAAAAATGAAGGGACTTTCTCTTTTTCTGTGTTCTGGCCAACAATTTGGGAGACAAAATGAGTCACTCACTTCATGGTTGTTTGTGTATTGACATTGCTGTGTGCAAATTGGCTGCTTAATGGCTTAATGGTAGCGCTCTCGCTTCTGAGTCAGAAGTTCCATCTGCGGGTTTAGGTGGACGTTAATGATCCCATGGCACTATTCAACAAGAAAAGAGAGTTTCTACCAGTGTCCTGGCCAACAATCCTCCATGGCTGTTTGTGGAACATTGCTGTGCACAAATTGGCTGCCACGTTTCACTCACAAAATATATAGTCACTGCACTTTACAGTATATGCTGTGAAGTACTTTGATATATCTTGACAACATAAGTCACTATATCAAATGCAAAAATTATTATTAAATACACAGTCACTACACTTTACAACACCACCATAAATTATATTTATATAGCACCTTTCACGGCAGGAGAACATCCCAATACACTGGACAGTCTAGGGTTTACACCCGAGCTGGGAGTTGGATTCGAAATAGGTGAGGGCCAAGGAAGTTGGGTTGATAAATGCACAGATAAAGGGCTTATTTTATAGTAAATCCTGTGAAGATGTTTAAACAACGTGATAATTCTATAATCACGTGCAAGATTATTATAATCATGCTAAATCCAGTCATTAGTATTTGTGCTGATGCTCGCTCCCCACTGACACTCTCTACTCCACTTGCTACCTTTATACCCTTTAACATCCCTCCTCTTCAAGCCTCTTGCCAATTCTATTTAAAAGACCTGACGGATTCTGTCTGAACGTTAGTTTGTGGCAGAGATTCCCACATTCTCCGTGGAAGGATAAGACTCATGACCTTCAGGTGTCAGTCTGGCTCAGTCTCTCACAATCTCGCCTCATAGTCTAAGCTGATGCTCCAACATAGCTCTGCGTGTGTTGCATTGTTGGAGGTGCCGTCCTTCGGATAAGACGTTAAATCAACGTCCCTCTATACCTGTTCAGGTGGATGTTAAAGATCCCACAGTAACAAGTGAAGAGAGTTTTTTCCTCCTGATGCCTTGGCCAACAATCCCCCAAATAAAAATTGATCACTGCCTGAATGGCTGTATGTGGGACATCACTATTTGCCACCTGCTGCAACGTTTCATCCAGAAAACATACAGTCACTACACTTTACAGACAATCCTGTGAAGCATTTTGAGACATCCTCCTGACATGAAAGTCGCTATATCTAATGTATGATTATTATTATATACAACCCCGTTTAATTTCTGCAATGAATTTGTTAACCTGCCAATCTGTTTTCACAGACTCCTTTGTAAAACCTGCTGGAAGCGTGTGTGGCCTCGCCCCAGAGTCGAGTCCCCATTTCTAGCAAAGTCACTCACCGGGGGTCTCATCCATTTCAGGGTAAAGGGCAACGGCTGTGTGGCAAAGAGAGAGGAGTCGTCTGCAGGGAATTCAGGGTCCTGGTACAGAGAGCTGCTCCTCACACACTCCGCCTTCAGCTGCTGAAAGGCCTCGCTCCTGCTCTGTGCCACTTTCTTATTGCGGCTGATGATGGGGTACATGCCGTCCATCTTGAGGGGCTGTGGCTGTGTCTCCGTTGTTTTACGAGCCACTCCACAAGGTTTCTGCATTGTTACTGATTTCACAATCCCTGAAATAAACCACAGATCACAGCCTCAGCACAGCCCATGTACAGTGCAGCAAACATTGCTGTGTCTGCTGCGAGCTTCCTGCCCTCCCGGGAGCAGTGAGAGCCTGGCTAAGCACAGGCCACCTGCCAATGCCTGGCAATCAGCAGATAGAGGAGCGTGGCATTGCCTGGCACCACATGGTATGTTGCCGAGGGACCAGATGGATAGGCAATGGCCTCACTCAGTGGCCGACCACAGCGTCCCCAGCTAAAAGAAATTAAAAATCTTTTGACAAACATCAACTCACTCACTGTGAGTTCTGATTGAAATCTCCAAATATGTTTCTCTCTCTCGCCCACTCTCTCGCCTCCACCCAGCCTCTCAGCTGTGGTTACAGCTGCTCACTCTGTGCAAAAATGAAACCAACATAATTTCAAGGTTAAAAATAACCCTACTCAGATCTTCTGCCTCTAATGGCTCAGGTTATTAATTACAGATTCCTTGTCCTGCAGCATGTATAGGTCATCTAGAGTGTAGGGAGCGTGTGCCCAGTTTGGGAGTGTGTGTCCAGTGAAGGGACTGGGCACACACTCCACGCACTGGGCACACACTCCACGCACTGGGCACACACTCCACGCAGTGGGCACACACTCCACGCACTGGGCACACACTCCACGCACTGGGCACACACTCCACGCACTGGGCACACACTCCACGCACTGGGCACACACTCCACGCACTGGGCACACACTCCACGCACTGGGCACACACTCCACGCACTGGGCACACACTCCACGCACTGGGCACACACACACCTTACATTGTGCCCCTTGTAGTGAGTGTGTTCCCAGTAACTGGTGAATCCTTCAAGAGGAAACACGCAATTAACTGGGAACCAATAAAAGAAGACCAGTAAGTATTATGATGGGAATGTTTTGAGCTGAGAATTAAGTAGGTGCATGATACATTTGTGTTGTGAGAATCACAACACGGAGTCAGAAGTGAAACTGAACTTGGGTTGCGACAGACTACGAGATTGAACACGAACGATAAAGAAACAAAGGATTCACCAGTTCACTCACTGCTCCCGGGAAATGGATGCCTTACCAAGGTAAGTGCGAATTCTGTGACCATTACAATTAACAGGTAATTCAAGTCACAACGGGCAGTGAGATTTTGAAATATTTACAACCGCATCAATTGTGTTGCAACTGCTGCAAATGTAACTATAAATACACGTTCCTGAATGTGGCAGGGGAAGATACAAGAAATGATTTTGCAACTCTGGGGAGAGGTGTGAATGTGCCATTGGATGATGTAATGACTATTATGTGGGCGCAAAGTTGTGGTCAAAACAATGTCACAATCGACAGGTACAAATTCGGGGCAAGGAAGCAAGAGCTGACGGAATAATTTCACCAATACGGTGAAGGATTACCATTGTTAAGCAAAGCATAACAATTACGGATCTTTAAAAGAGGAAATGATCAGGGACCAGATTGTAATTGGAATAAAAGATAACAAAATACGCAGGAAGCTCTTGATGCTGCAAAACAGCTTTACCGATAGTACGTGTGGAAGAGATGCCTAAAATACACGAGGCCTTGAGAAAGACGCAGAAAACTGGTTCGAAGAAGCTGGAATGGTTCGGGTGAGGAATATGGAGTGCAAAGGATTTACAAGTGGTGTATTTATCTTTACATACGGTGGCCTAATATAAAGGATACCTGTGAGAAATGTGGATTAGCACAGCCTTTAAGGAGATGTCAAGCACAAAATTCAACTCCGTAAATTCACTGACACAACATCCGTAAACCATAGAAGACAAAACCGAGGAAAGTTTTGCCCAGTATGGAATACCAATGCAAGTAATTAGTGTTAATGGCCACTATTTACGAGCATTGAGCATAAGACATTCACGGGGAAGTGGAGAATAGAGCACAAAACAACTTCCCCGGGGAAAACCCAGAGCAATGGTATGGTAAAGCAGGCAATGCAAAAGAAAATTTGGGAGAAGCCAGATAAACACCAAACAGAACTGGCTTACAGGAACACGCCAAGACAACAAGGGGCAGTCACCAGCACAAATACTGATGTCACGATGGTTGAGAGACTTGTTAATCATGGAAGACAAGACATTGAGGCAATAGGCACAGCACAACAGATATGAAGGGAAATCATGGAATGAACCGGGGAAGGAGAAAACTTTCACAAGAGGGGAAAGAATTTGATTCAACAAGATTCCATTTATAGAGCGCCTTTCACGTCAGGAGGACGTCCCAAGGCGCTGTACAGTTGGGTCAGGACCCGAGCATTGGGGGGAAATGGTCAGGGTGAGGGAAGGGAGGAGCGAGGAGGGGGGAAATGGTCAGGGTGAGGGGAGGGAAGGGAGGGGCGAGGAGGGGGGGGAAATGGTCAGGGTGAGGGAAGGGAGGAGCGAGGGGGGGAAATGGTCAGGGTGAGGGGAGGGAAGGGGGGAGCGAGGAGGGGGAAATGGTCAGGGTGAGGGGAGGGAAGGGAGGGAGCGAGGAGGGGGTAGAGAGTCGAGAGGGGAGCTCAAGGCACGGTCAAAGAAAGGTCTTGAGACCGGCCTTGAAGGAGGAAAGGGAGGAGGCGGCGAAGGCACTGGCGATAGAGTTCCAGAGCCTCGGGGCTGAGAGGCTGAAGGCCCGACCACCGATGGTAGGGCGGTTAATGCGGGGGATGTGGAGCAGACTGGAGCCAGAGGAACGGGGGGTACGGGCAGGTAGGTAGATTCAGAAAGAAAGACCTAACAATCGAGGGTTCGACAAACGGAGAACTGTGGAAAGCGGAAAAAAATTCAAGGTCATATTGGGTTAAAGGTAGAAAAAATATATTGAAGAAAGTCGTGGGAGATCTGACAAAGAAGGGTGGAGGAAGAAAAAGAAGAGCCGAAGGAATATCAGGGGATGGCAGACACATCAAAAATCACCAGGTCAGGAAGAGCAGTAAAGCACGTGGAGTGTTGTATTTTGTTGCCATTGCGTGTGAAGTGTTGTCCCCAACGACTGCAGGGGGTGAGTGGGGGGATCTCAATGATTCGGGTGTATTTCCCAATCCAGGTCAAGCTTGTAGAATATTTCACAGTTCCGAGCTCCCGGGGATGCAGTGGATGGAGTGAGGTGGATTTGTGGCAAAACAAGGGAAGCGGCGAGAGAGAGAGCTCCGGCCTACACTGACCTGTCGCTAAGTACCCCGGAGGTGGAGTAGGTTTCCCAGCGGCCATGTCCATTTGCCAGAGCCCCTCGCACGAGGACCTGGATTTAAGCAGCTGGAGCTGAGTAAGCCTGGCCCGCAGCATTGGACTTGAACCTCGAGAACATCAAGGCGGCTGGCACGTCGCAAGCTGTCCCGCGAAGGTCCTCCCAGCACGCTGAAGACAGATGTCCGTCAGAAAGATCACAAGATTGGTCTGGATGAAGAAGAAGACTCTTCGGCCCATCTGATCTCATCCATCCAGAACATCCACCCTACCGTTCCCTCAGCCCAGCGTCAAGTGTCCTGGCCTCAACCACCATACCTAGAAATAGAAAATGGGAGCCCACGGGCGGGAGGCTTCGCAGAATTCGCGAAAAAAGTCGCCTCCCCTGAAAATACCCTGCTCCCCCTACCCCCCCCCCCGCAAATACCCTGCTTCCCCCCCCTGCAAATACCCTGCCCCCCCCTGCAAATACCCTGCTTCCCCCCCCTGCAAATACCCTGCTTCCCCTCCAGCAAATACCCTGCTTTCCCCCCCTGCAAATACCCTGCTTCCCCTCCAGCAAATACCCTGCTTTCCCCCCCCTGCAAATACCCTGCTTTCCCCCCCCCTGCAAATACCCTGCTTCCCCCCCCTGCAAATACCCTGCTTCCCCCCCTGCAAATACCCTGCTTCCCCTCCAGCAAATACCCTGCTTTCCCCCCCCTGCAAATACCCTGCTTTCCCCCCCCATGCAAATACCCTGCTTCCCCCCCTGCAAATACCCTGCCCCCCCCCTGCAAATACCCTGCTTCCCCCCCACACAAATACCCTACTTCCCCCCCACACTGTCACGCCCTCGGGGGGGGGGGGGGGGGGGTGTGTCTGGGTGTGTGTCTCTGGGTGTGTGTGTGTGTGTGCTGGGCCCCGAGAGGCAGGAGGTGGTAACCTGTAGCCCCGCAGTCAGACCACTGGTGATCACGGCGAGAGCAGTGCTGGTGTTCTACGGATCTCCAGACCTTCAAATTCAGTGTGGGGTGAAACCGGAGCGTTTAGCCCTTTGGTCTGTGCTTCTGTTTTTGCCCCAAAGTGGGCTACCCCAGTTTTCGTTAAAGGAGCATTAATTTTTGTTTGCAATCTATGTTTAGTTTTTTTTTCTTCATTGTGTTCTTCGTGTTTAGTTTTGGTCAATAAAGTGACAAAATGTGCTTCTCAGTAGCATTAATGAACTCTCCGCAAAAATTTTCTGCAAAATCTGTCAAATTTCCCCTCAATTTCCTGCAAAATGACCAGAGCTGGACACAGTATTCCAGGTGCGGCCAGACCCGAGCTGTGGAGTGATTTCAGATTGGGAAAGAAAAGCTTTAGAAAGGAGATTTGAGGAAGCTCTCTGTGCTGTGAGAGGAAAACCTTTGTGGAGACTTTTAACCAATTCGGTTCATGACACACAACTGACGAGAGGCTCTTATGAAATGGACAGAGGAAGGACAGTGACTGGGCAGCAAGTCCCACAAAGACAACGACACCTTTCGTTTATAAATTGCCCTTCACGTGGAGTAGTGTCTCGGAGCCCTGAGCTCGACAGGGCCTGCAAATCAGCTGAGGATTGGCAAATTCAATTTAATACAGAAAAATGCAAGGTGCGACATATAGCAGGTAAGAAACATTCCCCTGTGCGAAGGGGACTATGTCAGGCTAGCTCAGACTGAGCACTCGTTTCGGAGTCAGAATGCTGCGGGTTCAAATCCGTCAGGACTTGAACTCGCATAGTGTAAGCTCACACTTCAATGCTGGGGTGTTGCGTCGTCAGAGGTGCCGTCCTTCGGATGAGATGTTAAACCGAGGTCGCATCTGCTTGTCCATGTGGATGTTAAAGATCCTGCGGCTCTATTTGAAAAAAGAAGGGAGTTTCTCCCGGGGTCCGAGCTGACAATTCCCCAAATAAAATTGATCTCTGGCATATTGCTGTGCGCAACTGGCTGCTGTGTTTCACCCGCAAAATACGCTTCACAGCATATCCTGTGTGACTCTTTCAGACATCTCGATGACATGATAAGGCGCTGTATCAAATGCAAGGATTATTTATTAATAAATAGTGACTACACTTTTACAACAACAACAAATTACATTTAATTAGCACCTTTCGCATTAGAGGACATCCCAAGGAGCTGGACATTATTATATAAATGCAAGTAGATGTTAAGAAACAAGTACTCCCAAAGATAGGTTAGAACTTGACAAGGGGGAACCTGAAAGAGATCTACGGGTGAGTTAATGCGTCACTCGCTTAAGTCATAGCAGTGTGAGGCAGCAATACACGAGGCAAACACAAAACGTCTCATCAAATGCAATGAATTATTAAAAATTTTGGTGTCCATTTTCTGAACATGCTGGACATTTGTTATGTAAACAACAGAACAACCCTATCCAAGGCACTGACTTTCCATAAACTGCACACAATATTCCAGCAACATACAGAACGAATTACACTTAAACCTTCGCCGGGTCTCCAAACACTTTATAAAGACTGAGTATGAGCCCAGCTGGACGGGGGAGGTGGGGAGTACAGGAGAGCTGTCTAAAGGGATCAAATTTTGGAAAGGGGGAGGGGGGTGGTTACAACCAACATCATATAGATTCGTCATCGCCTCTACTGTGTATAGTGGGAGAGCGAGCATCAGACAGACCCAACGGGGAGATAGCAGGGAATGGGATTAAAGTGGGGAGTGAGCACCAGCACAGACACAATGGGGAGCGTGTGGGGAGTGGGATGAATAAAGAGTGACTTAAACAATGTGGAGTGCGAGCGACAGGCTGGGCTGTTGTTGATAAGGATGGACTCTGAACCCTGTGGGGCCCCAGCTTAGTCTTTGTGAAGCATCATCACTGACAAACTGCTGAGCTGTCGTTTCTATAGACTGCTTGTTGCTCCCTGGATATCCGATCATCACAACATGCGCGGCTCTTCCATATAACACACATTCTCCCCTTTCTTCGTTATCTTGCAGCTAAACTGCATCTGCCACCGCTTTGCCCAGCTTGGCAAGGATTGCAACTCTTCCTCTGACCACACTCACGCTTGGTTCTTACCAAATGTTCTGATTTCCAAATCCATCTTTCCAACTACGTTGTGCTTCTAAATCGTTTCCCAGGAGCTGGTCGCAGCTTCCTGTCCTGGGGGCGGGTGGGCGGTAGGGGGGGGGGGGGGGGAGTGGGAGGAGGGGTTGTGTGTGGAGCGAGCCGATCTGAGACTGGGGGTGTTCAATGCCAAGGAGTAAGCGTGCCGCGGCGTGTGCGCTGTGTTGCAGATGCACGTGCTGTTTGTTCCGCAGTGCGTGTAAGTGGAGTGATGGGTGTGACAGAGCGGTGAGTACGACTGAGCAGTGAGTGCGAATGAGCGGAGGGTGTGAGGTATCGGCGGGGCTCAGTGATGGAGGCTGAGGGACCAGTCGCTGCCGGAGGGAAGGGCTAAGTTGCTGATGGTTAAGAAGGAAGTCAGAAGCTCGTAGGTAAAATTGACCGAGTTCGTGGGACCATCTGTTTGGGGATGGGGGGGGAGGAGGGGGAAAGCACATGGTCAGAACTGCACCCAACATTGTAACCTAGCACCTCCGCCACCCCCCACCCCGGCCAGTGTGACTGACCCTCATACACAGTGTGACTGACGCCCCCCATCGCTCCCACACTCACAGTGTGACTGACGACCCCCACCGCCCCCACACTCACATTGTGACTGACCCCCCCCACCGCCCCCACACTCACATTGTGACTGACCCCACACACAGTGTGACTGACCCCAGCAAAGAGTGATATCATGGCTACTGCAGTAAATCCATACATCCTAATCGCAACTCTGCTCTCTCCTTGACCCTCCGAATCCCCCTCCCTCCCCGTCCTGAATCCTCTGAAGAGCTTTGAGACGTCCGACCGAAGTCCTCCGATAAGATTCTTGGAATGAATTGACTGTTCCTGACCTTGGGCAGCGCCTGTTCGGCAGGTCACTCGCCTGTAGAGGGCGTCACAGCCGAGCTGGCCTCTCCCCACCCGCAACCAGCAGAATGAGTTGTAGGGGGACCAGGAGCACGAGCCCCAGCTATCCTCACGCTGACCATGGGAAATGGGAATGTCAGGAACAATTCAGCCGGGGTGGGGAGTGGGGGGGGGGGGGGGGGAGAGGGTGGCGCTGCTGGTGTGGGAGCTGTGTGACCTGGCCTGGGTGGAAAGGGGTGGGGTGTTCCGTGACCGCCTGGAGTCTGCGGCTCAGCCACGGGTTGAAGCCGAGCCAATGAGTCACCGGACATTTCTGTCTTTGAAAATGTACTTGTGATGTTGGCGTGTGGACTCACTGCCTTACCTGGGATGTTGGCCGTCACAGAGTAAGGCTGGGCTACACCCACAATAACCACAACCTCCACAGCACAGCCACAGTAGAAGTCACCCCGCGTGTCCGCACACCTAGCCAAGAGCACACAGCACGCATTACACCCAGCAATAACGCACACTTACACTGTCAGCTCTCACTCACTCACTCACTCACTCACTCAATCTCGTCTACGGGGGGTTGTGGGTTCAAGCCCCACACCAGGACATTGAGCTCACGGTCCAAGCTGGCGCTCCAGTACAGCGCTGGGAAAGGTGCCATCCTTTGGACCAAAGTCCCATCTGCCTATTCAGGTGGAAGTTAAAGATCCCGCAGCACAATTGGTGACAAGAGAAGAGCATTTTCTCTCTTGTGGTGTCTTGTCCAAAAATCCCCTGAATAATTTTGGTCGCTCCCTTCCATCGTTGTTTTGGGTCATTGTTTTGCGCAAACCAGCTGTTATTTACCCTGTAGTGAGGAAGGTATTTTCCCTACAGTGAAGGGGTGGGATATTTACCCTGTGGTGAGTAGGGTATTCACCCTGCAGTGAGGGAGTTTTCACCCTGCAGTGAGGGGGTATTCACCCTACAACGAACGGGGTATTTATACTGTGGTGAGTGGGTATTTACCCAGCAGTTAAGGGGGTGACTTACCTTGCAGTGAGCGAGCTGCTGGCGGAGCCGGTGAGATAGGTGAAGCTGCGGTGACAATATTGTTGCTGGTTGCGGTAGGCAAACGAGTGACCGTCATCAACATACAGCTGGCCCCTCGCCGAGCCCTGCAACAGCAACAGCCATCAGCACCAGGACTCACCGCAGACACAGCGCGCCACTGTCACCACACCCACCTCACACATCCCAACATCACCACACACACCCCACCGCATACTAGTCTGCACTCCTCTGTCATTCCCTGCTAATGTGGAGGTTACCTGTGTGTCGAGGGCCACATACAGGGCATAGGGTGAGGTCCAAAGCTCTTCGGTTGATCTCCCGATACAGATTTTCCTTGGAATGATTGTTCCTCCTCGCTGGAACACTGGCACCTACAGGGTGTGTGACAAGGTGTGCGTGTGACAGGGTGTGGAGGTAACTATGTGTGTGTGAGACGATGTGTGTGTGTGTATGTGTGAGATGGGGAGGGTGATTTTCTCACTGGTTCCATGGTGACAGTGTGTGTCCGTGTGTGACAATGTGTATAATGGTGTGTGTATAATGTGTGCGTGTGATGGTGTGCGCGTGTGAAGGTGTGCGCGTGTGTGAGACGGTGTCCGTGTGTGTAACGGTGTGCGGGTGTGTGACCATGCGTGTGTGTGACGGTGTGTGTGTGTGACGATGTGTGTGTGACATGGAGGGGGATGTACTCACTGTCTCTATGGTGACAGGCAGACGCAGTTTGTACGCCCCCGGGAAGCGCTGGTTGGTGCTGAGTTGGTACCAAACCTGGAGCAGAGACAATCACCAAGAAAAACATGTGGCTGCATTTTATTACAAGGGGGGTACGGGGGGAAGGTACCGGGGACAGGGCAGTTTCAGAGGGTCCAGGGTGGGGCTGGGTGTACAGTCAGGAGTTACACAAAGCAACAACAACAACTTGCATTAATACAGCGCCCTTCACACTGGGTAGGGTCGTGTTCGCTGGTCACACGTCAGGGGCAGAGAGGCCAAACCAGACCAGGGACAGGGAGGTGTGTTATGGCAGAGCAAAATAAATATAATTGACATTAATATAAGGAGGATTAGAGCGTGATCAGAGAATTATACAGCACAGAAGGAGGCTGTTCGGCCCATCGTGTCTGTGCCGGCATTTTGAAAAGAGCTTTTCCAATTCAATCCCACTCCCCGGCTCTCTCCTCACAGCCCTGCAAACTTGTTCTCCCCAAATAATTATCTACACTCTTAAAATTTGTTATCGAATCTTCTATTAAGCCTCCTCGTAACCTTCCCTGCTTCAAGGAGAATAATCCCAGCTTCTCCTGATAACTGGTACCATCCTGGTAAATCTCCTTTGCATTCTTTCCAATGCCTTGACATCCTTTCTAGAGTGTGGGGTCCAGAACTGAACACAGTCTCTCGCTGAGGCCTAACCAGTATTTTATAAAGGCCCATCATAATTTCCTGACCTTTGTATTCTATGCCCCTATTTATAAAGCCCAGTATCCCGTATGCTTTTTTAACAGCTTTATCTACCTGTCCTGCCCCCTTCAAAGATTTACTCATATGAACCCCCAGGTCTCTCTGTTCCTTCACCCCTTTAAGATTGTACCATCTATCTTATGATGAATGGACTCACCTCACCGTCACCAGGTAAGAGCAACTCCACGTCCGCCAGCGCTCGGTCAGTAATGGGGTGAACAAGCAGAGCCTCACCTGCCACAGACACACATCACTGTCACTGGCCTGCTCCAGCTCCCACACCCGGCCTGCTCCACGCCCACGCCCGGCCTGCTCCACGCCCCACGCCCGGCCTGCTCCACGCCCCACACCCGGCCTGCTCCACCTCCCACACCCGGCCTGCTCCAGCTCCCACACCCGGCCTGCTCCACGCCCCACGCCCGGCCTGCTCCACGCCCCACGCCCGGCCTGCTCCACGCCCCACACCCGGCCTGCTCCACCTCCCACACCCGGCCTGCTCCACGCCCCACGCCCGGCCTGCTCCACGCCCCACGCCCGGCCTGCTCCACGCCCGGCCTGCTCCACGCCCCACGCCCGGCCTGCTCCACGCCCCACGCCCGGCCTGCTCCACGCCCCACGCCCGGCCTGCTCCACGCCCCACGCCCGGCCTGCTCCACGCCCCACGCCCGGCCTGCTCCACGCCCCACGCCCGGCCTGCTCCACGCCCCTGCCCGGCCTACTCCACGCCCCTGCCCGGCCTGCTCCACGCCCCTGCCCGGCCTGCTCCACGCCCCTGCCGGCCTGCTCCACGCCCCTGCCCGGCCTGCTCCACGCCCCTGCCCGGCCTGCTCCACGCCCAGCCTGCTCCACGCCCCTGCCGGGCCTGCTCCACGCCCCTGCCGGGCCTGCTCCACGCCCCTGCCGGGCCTGCTCCACGCCCCTGCCCGGCCTGCTCCACGCCCCTGCCCGGCCTGCTCCACGCCCCTGCCCGGCCTGCTCCACGCCCCTGCCCGGCCTGCTCCACGCCCCACGCCCGGCCTGCTCCACGCCCCTGCCCGGCCTGCTCCACGCCCCTGCCCGGCCTGCTCCACGCCCCTGCTCGGCCTGCTCCACGCCCCAGCCCGGCCTGCTCCACGCCCCACGCCCGGCCTGCTCCACGCCCCTGCCCGGCCTGCTCCACGCCCCTGCCCGGCCTGCTCCACGCCCCTGCCCGGCCTGCTCCACGCCCCTGCCCGGCCTGCTCCACGCCCCACGCCCGGCCTGCTCCACGCCCCTGCCCGGCCTGCTCCACGCCCACCGCCCTGCAGTGATACATACGTACCCAGCATGTACGTGTCATCAATCAGGAAGGTGTTTGTCTCCCCCGGAAACTCCATCCACAGAGGCCTGTTGAGGGGAGCGTAGACAACATTACTGATACAGCGCAGCAAGGCAGCCCACCCACACCCCCACCCCCACCCCAGGCACTGACCCTAGGCCGGCACAACCCCACACACACCGTGTGACTGCTCCCCCACACTCCCGCCACACACACAGTGTGACTGACGCCCACCCCCCACACACGCACCCACACACACAAGTGTGATTGACCCCCCCCAACCCATACACACACACAGTGCGACTGATCCCCTCCCCACCCAAACACACACACAGAGTATGACTCACCCCCCACCCCCATAGTGTGACTGAACCCCTCCCCACCCAGACACACACTGTGACTGACACCCTCCCCACCCAGACACACCGTGTGACTGACCCCCCCCAACCCCACACACACGCACAATGACACCCTGGAGGTACCTGATGACAGGCTGTGCTGTGGTGTGGGCAATGTAGAACAGTGAGTACCAGTACGGCAGCAGGCTGTAGCGCAGGTGGATGGCATTCCTGATCAGTGCCGTCGCTGTATCCCCGAACAGCCAGGGCTCGCGCCGCTCCATGCGGATGTGGGAATGTCCCCGGAAAAAGGGCTGGAATGCCGCTGCCTGGTACCAGCGCACCAGCAGCTCCCAATCCGGGTTCCCAATAAACCCTCCCACATCCGCTGCCGAGAGAGAGAGGGACGGTCACATTCACAGCGTCTCACACAGACGCGCAGCCTCTCACACAGACGCGCAGCCTCTCACACAGACGCGCAGCCTCTCACACAGACGCGCAGCCTCTCACACGCGCGCAGCCTCTCACACACATACACACAGCATCTCACAAACACACACAGCATGCTCACACACACAGCATCTCTCACACCCACATACACAGCATCTCACACACACACACGTGCCCAGCGTCTTACAAACACGCTCACACACGCGGAGCTGTAATGTGAATGTGCTGGAGAAGGTTGTTACCTCCACACAAAGAGAGGCCAGTGATGCTGAGACACAGTAACATGGGGATGGAGATCTTCAGGTAGCTCCAGTCAGCTACATTGTCGCCCGTCCACACCGCTCCTGCCACACAGTCACCGAGAGACACACAGTCACCAAGAGACAGAGACACAAACCCATCACAGTGCAACCCATCCCAACCCACGGCATCCCAGTCTGCCCACCCACCTGTCCCCCTCTCGTCCCCACCGACCTACCACTCAGTCCTACCCACCCACTCCGCTCCCCCTCCGCCCACCTGCCCAGCCCTGCCCCACCTGCCCAGCCCTGCCCCACCCGACACTGCAGTCACTGACCAAACCTCTGGGATCCGGCAAAGAATGACCTTGTCAGCACGAAGGGACGCTCAGCTCCTCCCGACCGGCGCAGCAGCCCCTCAGCCGTGGCCCAGTGCTGAGAGACAGAAAACAGAGGTCACCAGCAACGCGGCCCCTCAGCCCCCCTCCCCCAGCACCCCCCCGTCGTAAACACCCCATTCCCCCAGCCCCCTGACACCCCGTCACAGACACCCTGGGGCCCGGTGTGCCGGTGAGAGCCCTGTGATCCCCGGTTACCTGGTAGAAGCCGTACAGGTTGTGGAGGTGCCGGTGTTGCCAGCTGCCCCAGTGCACGGCGTCTCTGGGTATGGTGAGCTCCGGCCCGCTGAACACCGAGGGTTCGTTCATGTCATTCCACACAAAGAGGATATCCGTGGATCCCTGCCCGAGACAGCGTCGAACACGCTCCAACATGGTTCAAACATGGCTGCCCAGCCCCACCCACCTGCCCTGCTCAGCCCGTATGATCATGTGGGAGCCATGTTTGTGAGATGTGGGTGTGTCGCTGACATGCGTGTGAGAAACGGGCAGCGATTGCGTTTGGACCCACCTGGTACTGGTCCAGGGCGTGTTTGCTGGCGTACCAGTCCCGCACGGCGGGGTTCGTGAAATCCAGATACGCGGACAGACCTAGAGACAGATTGTCATGTCTGAGTGTGACACAGTGACAAATATCTTATATATAAATATATATTGATGATATACATCATAAAACCATTAAAAAAATAATAAAGCTCACGTGATTACATTACATTTAGCACTTAATAATAATAAAGCGATCCGCCACTCAACTAACAACTGGGTTCTTATTTACTGCAAGGTAAACAGGCTTGTTAAGTGAGGAAACATGCCTAAGGTTTCGCCCCGTCTGGGAGCCAAACCCAGGTCCTCTCGCTTGCGAGGCAAGTGCTCTAACCGCTGAGCTACAGAGGAAGGAGGGGAGGGAGCTGCTCACCTGGCCAGCACAGGCCCTGGTACTCGCAACCCTTGTTGTCCTTCACGAAGTAGCCGTTGGCGTTGGCCTGAGAGTACAGCGGGTACTCACTGTCCACCTTAATGTGAGGGTCACTGATCACCACCAGCTGCCAAACAACACAGTCAGTGTCAGCGGGCACCAACTACCACCCAGCCTGTCCCCCTGCACAGCCTGTCCCTCCTCCCACAACCTGTTCCCCCCCACAGCCTGTTCCCCCCCCCCACAGCCTGTCTCCAGGCCCCAGCTTGTTTCCCCCCACCCCACCCAACGGCCATCACCCCCCCACCCACAGCCTATCCCCCCAGACTGTACCCCCTGAGCCCCCACCACCTTGCGCTTCTGGCACCGCAGGTGTTGCTGTAGCCGCTGTGGCGTGGGGAAGGTCAGGGGATCCCAGGTGAGGTAGCGCCTGCCCGCTGTGTGCTCGATGTCCAGCCAGATGGCATCGTAGGGAATGTGGTGAGCGTCGAAGCCGGCGTCCACCTTCTCCACCTCCTCCTCGTCGCGGTAATTCCACCGGCTCTGGTGATAGCCCAGCGCGAAGAGCGGCGGCAACATAGGGAAACCTGCACAGGAGAGCAACGTGCGTGACTGTGTGTGCGCGTGTCACACTGTGCACGTGTATAGGTGATGTGTGTTTATGTAGATTTGTGTGTATGTAGGTGTGTGTGTATAGGTGTGTGTAAATAGGCGATGTGTGGGTCTATAGATGTATGTGTGTATAAGTGTGTATGTGTACATAGGAGTACGTGTGCATAGGTGTGTGTGTGTGTAAGCGTGTATGAGGTCCACACCTCAGGTGCTGACAGCATCACCATCCATGGTTGCACATTCCACCTTACTAAGCCAGTGCTTGGCATCTAACCCTCAACTATCCTTTCTACCCCACATCTGTGCCATGACCCGCTCTGCCTTCCCCCACCTCCGCGACATCGCCCGCCTCCGCCGCTGTCTCACACCTCAGGCCACCGAAACCCTCATACACGCTTTCATTACATCGAGGCTCGACCTCGCAAACTCCTTGCTTGTCGGCCTCCCCAACTCCTCCCTCCATAGGCTGCAGATCATCCAGAAATCTGCAGCCCTTGTCCTCTCCCGCTCTAGGCTGAGACCCTATCACCCCCATCCTTGCCCGACTCCACTGGCTTCCCACCACACAGAGGATACAGTTCAAGATGCTGGTCTGTACCTTCAAAGCCCTTCATGGTCTTGCTCCCCCCTACCTCTGCGACCTCCTAAACCCCTACCATCCCGCACTCTCCCTCCGTTCAGTGGGCTCCGGCCTGCTTCACATCCCCCACCTCGCTCACCCCACGATTGGCGGGAGGGCCTTCTGCCACTCTGCCCCCACCCTCCCACAATCCCTCCACATGGCCCCCTCCCTGACCCATCTCAAGACCCTCCTCTTCGACCATGCTTTCGATCACCCTGCTTCCCCACCCCGCCCTCTACCCTCCCCGATCCTGACCCCCAGCTCGGGTCCGAAACTCTGACTGTCCAGCGCCTTGGCATCCTCCCGATGTGAAAGGCGCTGTACAAATGTAATACTGTTGTTGTAGTAGGTGTGTATGTGTATGTAGGTGTATGTGTGTATAGGTATGTGTATGTATAGGTGTATAGGTATGTGTATGTATATAGGTCTACGTGTCTATGTATATAGGTCTACGTGTGTATGTATATAGGTGTGTGTGTATATAGGTGTGTGTGTATAGGTGTGTATGTGTATGTAGGTGTATATGGGTATATAGGTATGTATGTGTATATAGGCGTGTTTGTGTACATAGGTGTGTGTGTGGATATAGGTGTGTGTGTGGATATAGGTGGGTGTGTATAGGTGTGGTGGGCAGGGTTCGGGTACCTGTCAGCCTGGCATACTGCGCACACACCTCCCCCGCTGTGGGTCCCAACAGCATGTACACATCGATGACTCCACTCTCAGACATCCAACGCGCATCAGTGCCAGGCTTCACAGCCTGCGCTCCAGCCTGTACACACAGCACAGCAGTTACACACCAGTCAGTCACACACCATCACAGCAGGTCACACTCTCTCTCATACACTCACCCCCTCTCTCACATTCACCTCTGCCTCTCACTCACTCTCTCAATCTCTCTTTTCCGCTTCTCACACTCCCCACACCCACTCCCTCTCTCACTCCCCCTCTTTCTCTCTCCATATACACTCACCTGACTCTCTCTCTCTCACTCCCTTTCTTACCACCTCTCCCCCCCTCTCTCTCTCACACACACACACACACACCTGTTGCCCCTCCTGGGGCTGGGGGCTGATGTGGATCAGTGTGTCGGAGGCGTTGAGCCAAAGCAGGCCAAGGCTGCTGTGAGGTTTGTGAGCGAGGAGGAGAGGCACCGAGCCATACAGCCCCATCCTGCTGTGCAGCTCACAGGCAAACACGTCCAGGTTATACAGGCGGTAAGGCTCCCCCTGGCTACAAGCAACAACACACTTACTGACAGCCCGCTTACCCTCCACAACACTGTGTCACTGACTGCGTATGTCCTCTACAAGTGTGTACCTGACTGTATATGCGTTGTAACAGAGACCCTTTATACGTGTCTCTTTACACGTGTATACCTGACTGTATGTGCATTGTAACAGGGACCCATTATACCTGTGTGTGTATATAGGTGTGTGTGTGTGTGTATATAGTTATATATGTCTATATAGGTACGTGGAGTCCTGTAGCTCAGTGGTTAGAGCACTCACTTTGCAAGCGAGAGACCCGAGTTCAATTCCAGGCAGGTCAGGGCGAAACCTTGGGCAAGTTCTTTACTCCACACGTCTAATAATAATCCCTCCAAAAACAATAAATTGGTCATTTTCAATCTACGACTGTTTGTGGGACATTGCTGTGCGCAATTGGCTGCCGCGTTCGCCCACAAATATACAGTCAATTCACTTTACAGTGTGTTCTGTGAAGCGCTTTGGGACATCCTCCGACGTGAAAAGCGCTATATCAAATGCAAGGATTATTATTATTATGTGTGTGTATAGTGTGTACCTGACTGTAAGTACCCTGTAACATAGGCCCTTTGCATGCGTGTACCTGACTGTATGTGCTGTGTATCGAGTCCCTTTAATAATAATAATCCTTGCATTTGATATAGCGCTTTTCACGTCTTCTGGATGTCCCAAAGCGCTTCACAGAATATACTGTAAAGTGAATTGACTGTATATTTGTGGGCGAACGCGGCAGCCAATTGCGCACAGCAATGTCCCACAAAGCGTCGTAGATTGAAAATGACCAATTTATTATTGGGTTTTTTTTGGAGGGATTATTATTAGGCTCTGTGTGGAGTAAGGAAACTTGCCCAAGGTTTCACCCTGACCTGCCTGGAATTGAACTCAGGTCTCTTGCTTGCAAAGCGAGTGCTCTAACCACTGAGCTACAGGACTCCACTTTACACACGTGTACCTGATTGGCGTGTGCTGTGTACCTGGTGTTGTCCAGAGGCAGGTGGCCCGTGTGCTGGGGAATCCCGTATACGTGATGGTAACCGTGAAGAGAGAAATCCAATCCAACCGAGCAGGGCCCTGTAACACACAGTGTACATAAATAGAAGTACACACAGACAGTGTGTACACTCACACAGTCAGTGTACACACACACACACACATACAGAGTCAGCGTACACACGCACACACAGTCAGTGAATATACCCACACACATACAGTCAGTGTACACACCACTTCCCCTTGCTGTCTGGCCCCAACATGCTGTGCTGGCAATGGGCCTCTAGTCCGGTTCCTAAGCCAGACGGGTTCGCAGTATTCCAGGGCACTGCTGATGCCCGCACAGCCAGCTTGGATCTGGAAAGGCAGACCAGTCACTGGCAGCAGGGAACCTTCCCACTCAGCTCCTGTTAACCCTGCAAGCCAAAGCCCTAAAGGGTTGGGTGGTCCTAGCTGGACAAGCAGCGGGAAAGCTTGCCAGGCAGCAATATCAACGGTTTTAACTGGTTAGACTCCAGTAGTTACCCCAACGCACACTCTGGGATCCCCAAGCTTTGGCTCTTGCTAACCTGGGCCTAATACTTTCCGGAATTAGGTAAACAGGATGCATCCCTCCAGGGAGAGAGAGAGCGCATTCCATTCTAACAATCTGTCTCTGAGATACATGGAAATCTCAGCCTGGTTTCTCTTTAGCAAGCGATGGGTTTGCATGTGTCTGACACCTGGCTGAGCAAAACTAAACTGTCCCCCCCGTTTACTCGTTCCCAGCCCCCCCACCCACCTACGACTGTTTGTACACAGCACCTTCCAGGCCCCTCACCCACTCCCGGTGAAATTTACCATCGGTTTTTATGTCTGTAAATTCCCCGAATTTCTCCTCCCACAATTCCTTCTCATCCTCCTGAAACCAAACATAAACAGTGATACACCAACCCCCCCACCCCACCACACACAGCACCCCCCCCCACCCCCATTCCGGGCACAGACATCGATCCCGACACATACACTCACCTCCTGCCAGCCACTCTCACTGTTTGTCTGTGCTGCGCTCTGCCTGTGTGTAAAAGAGCTCAGTTGTTGTGGCTGTACAGGCTGTATGGGGGGTACAGGCGCTTTGCACAGGTTGTCAATGTGGCTTTGCTCTCACCGCTCCTCCCATTCCCTCCTCGAGCCCCTCCAGTCTGGATTCCACCCTGCCACAGCACAGACAGCGCTTGTTAATGTCACAAACGACGTCCTCTTTCTATGGGGCCAGGGGTCCCTCTGCCTCCTCGTCCTCCTGGACCTCCGCTGCGTTCCGACAGTCGCTCACATCACCCTCATCCACTTCAATGGGACCACAGTCGCATGGTTCAAGTAACAAACCGCCTTCATTTTGTGTCTTCAAACGGTTTCCCCTCCTGCCCCCGCCCGGTCACCTGTGGTGTACACCAAGGCTCTATCCTTGGCCCCCTCGTCTTCCTCATCTATATGTTCCCTCTGGGCGATGTCATCTGCAGACACGGGTAAACTTCCACATGTATGCGTATGAAACACAAATAATAATCCTTGCCTTTGGTATAGCACCTAATCACGTCTTCAAGATGTCTCAAAACGCTTCACGGTAATTACTATAAAGTGAATTGACTGTATATATTGTGGGCGAAAGGGCAGCAGCCAATTGCACACAGCAGTGTCCACAAACAGCTGTACATTGAGTGACAACATTTTCTTTAAGGGACTATTAATCTTTAGATCATGTGTCTGCTGATGTTCTTTTGGTTTGTCTGAAGCGCACACTTCCTGCAGCTTAATGTCGACAAGACGGAAGCCATATTCATTGGCTCCTGACAAGGTCTTCTGACTTGCGGATCTGACCTCCTCAACCTCCACGGCCTATCCCTTAAACTCCTGAAGCTGTACGTAACCCAGGCATCAGGTTCGACCCCCAGCTGTCCTTCCTCCGCCACATCCGGCTCCTGACCAGTAACGCCTTCCTCCACCTCCACCACATTGCCCGCCTCCGACCGTACCTTACCCTAGATGCAGCCGAAGCACTTGTCCATGAGTTCATTACCTTCCGCCCCCAACTAATATTATATTATTATTATTAACTATTCAACTGCCCTCGTCGCTGGTCTCCTCAACTCCACTATCCACAAAATCCAGCTGATCCAAAACTCCACCGCACGCACACTCACCTGTACTAAACTCTGTAATTCCGTCACACCAGTTCTAGCCAGGCACCATTGGCTCCCTATCACCAAATGGATTGATTTCAAGATCTCTCACTCGTCTGCAAATCTCTTCATGCCCTGGCATCTCCTTAACTCTCCGACCATCTGCCCTCGCTCGACTAGCTCCAGCCTCCTGCTTGTCCCCCGTGCCCTCCATTCTACCACTGGTGGCGGCACTTTCAGCCACTACGCCCCGAATCTCTGAAACACTCTTCCTCTATTTCTCTGCCTTGTTCCCTCCTTCCCCATCTTCAGGTCACGCCTGAAGACCTTCCTCTTCGACGGTACCTACGGTCACCTCCCCCCTCCCCCCGGCTCGGCGTCAGGCTCCACCACTGTCAAGCGCTCTGGGACGCTGCGTGAGGGGCACTATATAAATACAAGTTGTTGCTGTTGTTGTTGATGTGCATGGTGACTGTGGTGACTTACGAGCATGGCTCAGGCCTGAGCCGGAGATGTTCGAAGTAGAGCAGGCCGCGGGCGTTCACGCTGAGAGGACCCTCGTTGGCCTCTGCCCCAGGCCCGTGCCCCGCCCGCAGAACCTCCAGTATGAACGGCTGAGCCACAATCCGGAGCCGTGTCTCACCCTCCGCCACCGCCAGCATCACACACGCGTCAGTCACAGACTCCACCCACAGCCTGCAACAACATTTGCAAAGCGCTTTTCACATCGGGAGGACGTTCCAGGCCCTGGATAGTCAGGCATTTGAACCCAAGCTGGAGGGAAAACAGCTTCTATATTCGGGAACTGTGCCCTCAGATTGGAAAATCCTAAATGTCACTCCATTATTTGAGCAGAGAGGGAAGGAAAAACCAGGAAACTGTCAGCTTAACTTCAGTTGTGGGGAAGTTACTGGAATCTCTCATCCGGGACAAAGTGACTGAGCATTTGGACAAGTATGAGCTAATCAAAGAGAGTCAGCATGGATTTGTGATGGGTATGTCATGTCTGACAAATCTATCTGAATTTTTTTGAGATCACCTACATGGTGGATAAAAGAGTGTCCATGGATGTCATCTACACGGACTTTCGGAAGGCTCCGCACAGAAGGTAATTAGCAAAAATGAAAACGCATGGAATCGGAGGGAACTTTGTGATGTGGCTTGGTAATTAGTTGGGAGGCAGGAAACAGAGAGTAAGGATAATAATAGTCCTTGCATTTGATATAGTGCCTTATCACATCTTTGAGTCGACTCAAAGGGCTTCACAGAATGCAGTGTAAAGTGTAGTGACTGTATATTTTGTGGGCGATAAAAGGATCATTCTCTGATTGACGGGAATGTGACAAGTGGTGTTCCCCAGAAGTCTGTACTGGGGCCTCAGCCTTTTCACCATACATACTTACATATATATAATATAAATATATAAATAACTTGGACGAAGGAATAGAGTTTATATTGAAATTTGCAGATGACACAAAGTTAGGAGGCACGGCATGTTTTGTAGATGGGAGCTGGAAGTTACAAAGGGACTTAGCTGAGTGGGCAAAATGGTGGCAGATGGAGTTCAATGTGGGGAAGTGTGAGTAATCTTAACCCTTAAAGCTTTACACTATGGATGCCGAAAAAACAGAATATTTACTTAATGGTGAGAAACTAAGAATCATGGAGGAGCAAAGGGATTTGGGTTTCCGTGTATGCAAATCATTAAAAACAGGCTCACAAATACAACATGTAGTAAAAATGCAACTTGTTTTTGCTCTCTCAGCTCTCTCACTCTCTCTCTCTCTCAGTCTTTAGTATCTCTCACTCAGTATCTCTCTCTCTCTCTCACTCAGTCTCTCTCTCTGTGTCTTTGCTATCCTCACCTCTGCATGACGGGCTCCGCAATAATCACATCAGGTACCTCGTATCTTGCTTTGATTGGCTGTAGCTCGGTAATTTTGATCCTGATCACAGGCCCCTGAGCTGCCCACAACTGCACCAGGAGCGGCGGCTGGGAGAGAGCACAGTGAGGGAGTGAGCCAGACCCAACAATATCCCCTCCGTAAACAAGCCCCTCCAAGCCAACCACCCCATCACAGCATCAAACTTTTGTTAATCAGTCCCGGTGTCCTGGTCATAACCCCCACTCCCTTTCCTGGCAACTGTTCCACTCATTAATTTCCCTCTGAGTAAAAAAACTACTATCGTAATTTCTGTGTTTGTGTATCTTGAGGTCGAATGCGGCAGCCAGTTGCACACAGCAATGTCCCACAAACAGCCATGGAGTGAGTGACCATTGTTATTTGGAGGATTGTTGGACAGGACACTGGGAGACAGAGAGAAACTCCCTTCTCTTTTCCAATAGCACCATCTGATCTTTATCATCCACCTGAACAGGCAGATGGGACCTTGGTTTAATGTCTCATCCAAAAGATGGCACTTCTGACAGCGCTCTCTCCCCAGCACTGTCAGTCTGGACTGTGAGCTCAAAGTCCTGACCTGGGGCTTGAAACCACAGTGTTCTGCCCAGGGATTGAGTCAGGCTGACTTCCCAGGGTTTGTCCTGAAACTGTCTTCCATACCCTGAAGGGTTAAAGCTCTGCAACAGCCCCTCTGATTCCATAGTATCTTAGGTAGTAGGACCACTGCTATTTTTAATATATATTAATGACCTGGACTTGGGTTTCGGAGGGCGTGGAGGGCGCTATATAAATCTAAGTTTTTGTTGTTGTTGTATCGAGAGCAACATTTTGAAGTTCGCAGATGGCACAAAACTTGGAAACATAGTAAACAGTGAGGAGAACAGTAAGCAGACCACAGGAGGACCTGAAAACCTACCAAGAATAGAGGGGAACCAAGAAGAAAATGTTAACGAGCAACTTGGAGGAATTAATATTAGTAAAGAAATGGTTTTAGGTAAATTATCAGGTCTTAAAACTGATAAATCTCCTGGACCTGATGGCCTACATCCTAGGGTTTTAAAAGAGGTGGCTACTGAGATAGTGGATGGCTTGTCTTTGATCTTCCAAAATTCTCTGGATTCTGGAACGGTTCCCATTGATTGGAAGATTGCAAACGTGACACCACTATTTAAGAAGGGTGGGAGAGAAAAGATGGGGAACTATAGACCAGTTAGTCTGACTTCAGTGGTAGGGAAAATTCTTGAGTCCTTAATTAAGGATGTCGTTATGGGATTCCTGGAAGACCATAACAAGATTAGGCAGAGTCAACATGGCTTTACAAAAGGGAAGTCATGCTTAACTAATCTTTTAGAGTTTTTTGAAGATGTATCTAGCAGGTTAGATAGGGGGGAACCAGTAGATGTAGTATATTTAGATTTTAAAAAGGCATTTGACAAAGTGCCACACAAAAGGCTATTGCACAAGGTTAAGGCCCACGGGATTAATGGGAACATATTAGCATGGATTGAAGAGTGGCTAACGGGTAGAAAACAGAGAGTAGGGATAAACGGGTCATTCTCGAATTGGCAGGATGTGACTAGTGGAGTGCCACAAGGATCAGTGCTTGGGCCTCAGCTATTTACAATTTACATCAATGATCTAGACGAGGACATTGAATGTAACGTATCTAAATTCGCGGATGAGACTAAACTCGGTGGGAGAGTAAGCTCTGAGGATGATGCAAAAAGATTGCAACAGGATATAGATAGGGGAGGGGAGCGGGCGAGTAGGTGGCAGATGGAATTTAATGTGGGGAAGTGTGAAGTTATTCACCTAGGTAGAAAAAATAGAAAAACAGATTATTTTCTAGAGGGGGAGAGATTAGATAGTGTTAGAGTGCAGAGGGATTTGGGTGTCCTTGTACACCAGTCTCAAAAAGTTAGTTTGCAGGTGCAGCAGCAACTAAGAAGGCAAATGGCATGGTAGCGTTCATTGCTAGAGTATTGTGTGCAGTTTTGGTCTCCTTATTTAAAAAATGACATACTTGCCCTAGAGGGGGTGCAGCGTAGATTCACTCGGTTAGTTCCTGGGATGAGGGGACTGACCTATGAGGATAGGCTGAATAAACTCGGGCTGTATTCTCTAGAGTACAGAAGAATTAGGGGAGATCTTATTGAAACATATAAGATTCTTAAAGGGCTGATAAAGTAGACACTGAGGGTCTGTTTCCCCTGGTAGGAGAATCTATAACCAGGGGTCACAGTCTTAAAATTAAGGGTCAGCCTTTTAGAACAGTTAAGGAAACATTTCTTCACTCAGAGGGTAGTGAATTTATGGAATTCACTACCCCAGAAGGCTGTAGATGCTCAATCCTTGAACATCTTCAAGGCTGAGACTGATAGATTTTTTAAAAACAGAGGCATTAGGGGATATGGGGATAGGGCAGGTAATTAGAATTAGGTCTGAAGATCAGCTATGATCTTATCGAATGGCGGGGCAGGCTCGAGGGGCCGAACGGCCTACTCCTGCTCCTAATTCTTATGTTCTTATGACATAGACAGGCTGGTGAAATGGGCAGATGCAATTTAATGCAGAGAAGTGTGAAGTAATGGATTTTGGGAGGAGGAATGAGGAGAGGCAATATAAGATAAATGGAACAATTTTAAAGCAGGTGCAGGAACAGAGAGACCTGGGGGTTCACATACACAAATCTTTGAATGTGCAGGACAAGTTGACAAAGCTGTTAAAACAGCATATGGCATCCTTGACTTCATAAACAGAAGCATAATGGATCAGAGCAAGGAAGTTAGGTTGAACCTTTACAAATTCCTGGTTAGGCCTCAGCTGAGTATTGTGTCCAATTCTGGGCATCACACTTTAGGAAGAATGTCAGGGCCTTGGAGACGGTGCAGAGAAGATGTACAAGAATGATACCAGAGATAAGGGACTACAATTACGTGACGAGCTGACCCCCTGCCCGCTGACCCCTGCCCGCTGACCCACTATCCGCTGACCCCTGCCCACCGAACCCTTGCCGCTGACCCCCTGCCCGCTGACCCTGGCCCGCTGACCGCTGCCCACCGAACCCTTGACCCTGACCCCGGCTCGCTGCCCCCTGCCCACTGATCCCAGCCCGCTGAACCCAGCCCGCTGAACCCCCGCCCGCTGACCTGTGGCTTTTGGCTGTGCAGCTGGAAGCTGGCTGTGCCCTCGGCCACCTGCATGGTGCCCAGCGCCGCCCGTACTGCCCGCCAGCCAGCCGCTGCTGCCTCCTGTAACAGCACAGAGATCACAGGTCACAATACAGGTACGTGGGCACACTCACACGCACACTGACACGCGCACACTGACACGCGCACACTGGAAAACACGCACAGGGGGACACCATGTGAGGCTGTGCTGAGGGAACACGTTACCTGTAGAAAGTGATATCTTCAGTTGTCTTGAATTTGCTCTTTCCGACATCCTCAGAAAAGGCGCTGGTGTGAGAGAGAGAGAGAGAGAGTGTGTGAGAGAGAGAGAGATATCACCCCCGACACTGTCAAAGCCTGTCACTATTACTGTCTGCGTCACTGTCTGTGTCACGGTCAGTGTCTCGGTCAGTGTCTCGGTCAGTGTCACGGTCAGTCACGGTCAGTGCCTCTATCACTGTCTGCGTCTCTGTCACTGTCTGCGTCTCTGTCACTGTCTGCGTCTCTGTCACTGTCTGCGTCACCGTCCCGGACACTGCCCGCCAGGCAGAGATCTCGTCATTAACCCTTTCCACGAGGGACGCTGCTGCGTAGAAAGAAAAATGGCTCTGCCACGCTTCGCCCACAAAATACCGGCAGCACGCGACACGTTCGGCGAAGCGCCTTGAGGCGTCTCGGGAGAACGCGGTCCGGCGCCGCATCGAACGCAAGAATTATTAGCGTTTACGGGTAACCCACACTCCCCCCCCCCCCCCCCCTCTCTCCTGCTCTCTCTGGCGGGCGCCCGCGCGCTCCCCCTCGCTATCTCTCCTGCGCTCCCCCCCCCCCTCGAATGCTCTGCTGCTCAGCCGCTGACCCAGTCGTATTGAGCCGGCCTCGGTAGCCCTCTAACCTCTCCCCGAGCCCGAGCCCGAGCCCGAGCCGCGGGTACCTGGGCCCCTGCTTGTTCTCAGTCTCTGTCTCCATCTGCCTGTCGCTGCGGCTGCCCCCTCTGCTCTCTCTCTCTCTCCCTCTCCCTCTGCCGCTGACTGCGAGCCTTCAGTCTGTCTCTGACACCGGCACTGCCTCCAAAGCTGATCACAGCTCCTCGCACAGCGCCCTCTCCCTGCAGTGGAGTGGGTCAGTGCACCCGCCTCGCCAGCGAGAGGACCTGGGTTCGATTCCCGGGCCGGGCAAAGACTTAGTCTCCTTACTCCGCCCGCCCCTGTTTACCCAGCGGTGAGTAGGAACCCGGGGCGGTCAAATATCAGGGTCTTGAGATGGACCTTGAAGAAGTGGAGTCCTGTAGCTCAGTGGTTAGAGCACTCGCTTTGCAAGCGAGAGACCTGAGATCAATTCCAGGCAGAGGGCGAAACCTCGGGCAAGTTTCCTTACTCCACACAGAGCCTAATAATAATCCCTTCAAAACCAAAAACAATAATAAATTGGTCATTTTCAATCTACGACTGTTTGTGGGACATTGCTGTGCGCAATTGGCTGCCGCGTTCGCCCACAAATATACAGTCAATTCACTTTGCAGTATGTTCTGTGAAGCGCTTTGGGACGTCCTCCCGACGTGAAAAGCGCTATATCAAATGCAAGGATTATTATTATTATTATTATTAAGGTGAGGGGGCTCTCCAGGATGGAGTTCCGGAGCGCTGGGGCAGGAAGGCTGAACGCAGTTTGTATAGGGAGGTGCTAGGGCATTGGGCGAGGGTCTCAGTTGCCTGAGGGGAGAAGTGGTGGTGGAGGTGGGGTAAAGCTGAGTGTGTCGAAGCACGGATAGGGAGTTTAAAGGACAGTTGAGAGTTGAACAGGACGTCAAGTTCTGCGGTACAGGTCAATGCTGACAGCGCCTGAGGTGTGGAGGTGCTTTGTCTCGCTAACATTCAACTGGAGAAATTTTGAGCTTTTCCAGGACTTACAATACAAGATTACATTTGTAAAGCGCCTTTCACGTCGGGAAGAAGTCCCAGAGCGCTGAACAGTCAGGGATTAGGACCTGAACGGGGACCGGGGTCGGGTGGGAATGGTGGGGGTATGAGGGTGGCCGAAGTAATGTCCTTTGGTTGCGTCAGACCAAGCTTCTTTCTCATGGTTCGCCCAAAGCCAGGCACCGGTACTTGTTCAGTTTGTGATCTTGAGGCTGTACCTCCTTCCACTCTTTGCTACAAAAAATCCGGTAGGAATCGTTTCCATACTTCAAAATGCCACGCAGCACAATCAGCTATTTCCACGGTTTATTCAGGAACTCATCAGGAAATTTGACGATAGCTTTGGCTCTCAGTTCATTTAGGCCGAGTGGTTTCATAAGCTCTGCAATTTCCTTCCAGTCAGCTGCTCGGGCCACTTCAGCACAAGCGTATTGCTCCAGGAACATCCCACACCTTTTTACCAGAGGTTTTGTTGAGAAACATGGTTGCAATAAGAAGCTTCCATGGATCATGAAAGAGCGTCTCTAGCACCAGGTTGAATGGGGATCGAGGAAGCGTCCACTTACTGAATGCTTTCCACCATGGAGGGCTTGGAGCTCCTTTAGAGTATTTCTTAGAAAAGTAAGGAGTGGTTTTCCTCCTGTCAAGTTTTGCTCTTGGATGATAATTCTCTTGGGACACATATACATGTGGAAGTGAACCCCGTGCCTACAAATCACATCGCCGAGTGGGAAAATGTAGATATTAAAGAGAGGAGCGAGAAGAGAGCCTGAGGAGAGACCCTGAGGAACGCTGCACTTGTTGTGGGGCAGGAGAAGCCAGCAGAGTGAAGTAGTCAACAATATCAAAGGCAGCAGAGAGTTTGAGGAGAAGCAGCAGCCGAGAGAGCTGGAAGAGGCAGAGGCAACGGAGCTATCTTCAACCTCCTCACAGTTGGAGAGGATGGGCGGGGCATGGGGAAGTGAGGAAAAGGAGCTGGTTTATGGTCTTGAAGAGCCCACCCTCCGTAGCGGTCTGCAGTCTGGTTCCTGACCGCAGTATTCCAGGGCACTGCTGATGACAGTCCAGCCCATCGGCAGAACTTGGAAGGGCAGACTAGTCAATGGGTGCAGGGAATCCTCCCACTCAGCTCCTGTTAACCCTGCAAGCCGAAGCCCTAATGGGTAGGTTCGTCCTAGCTGGACAAGCAGCGTGAAAGCTTGCCAGACACTGCCGTCTTAGTTGGTTAGACTCCAGCATTTACCCTCAATGCATATTTGGGTCCCCAAGGCTTGGCTCTTGCCTACCTGCACCTCATACTATCTCTTGACATTAAAGATATTATATAAATGTAAATTTGTTGGTTGGTTTGGAGACTGTTTGGCACTGAGATGTTCTGATGTGAAAGGCGCCACACCATATGGTAAAGATTATTCTTTATTTTGATGCAAGTTTTAGCTGTGGGACTAAAGACAGAATGGATCTCTCTGCCAGCCCTGGATTCCGCTATGAGCAATGAGATTTAACAGGTGCACAGCATGAAATAACAGAAAACTATACTAGTTTAAAGGACTTTGCAAAGTAACATATTTATTACCAAACTACACACTGATTATGCCTTTCCTTCACAACTTGCTGAGCCAGCCAGTCAGTCAGTCAGTTCTTTGAAAAAACACATGCTGCAGTCCTGCGCTGCTCAACACCTGAACACAGGCAGTGAGCTGTGTGCCGGGATCACAGAGCGACAGGGCACTTCCTCAGTCTCTGCTGCCTCACATGCCTTAGTGTGGAACCGTCACCGAAAACACAGGAACTTTTCATGAGCCCCTAATACAGTTCTGGGCAGCAGATAACATGATCAAAATAAGCAACAAAACCAGGGTAAATTGCAGAGGTGTGGTAGGGAAACTCCGGGTGGGACTGCATTGTGCTCAGCGCCGGGCTGCACCTGGAGGCTGTTGTCCCTGACCCTGGTCTAGCATGTTGGACGCCAGCCCACTGTCCTCACCAGCCAATTCATCCAACTTCTTCACTGCTGCCATCAGCCGACAATGAGCCACCACAATCTCCTTCTTCAACTGAGAGGAAGGCAGGAGTCAGTCAGCCAGAGTCACACACAAACACACACTGCCTATGCACCACACAGTCATTATATACCCCACACACTAAACTCTACTCCACACAATATTGCACTCCACATACTACACCACACAATACACACACCACACTACACCACACACAGTGCACTACATGGCCTGGGTTATATCTTGATTTAAAGGTAAATTGTGGGCTAGGGAGAGAATCATGATAATAATAAATAATAACCCTTGCATTTAATATAGCGCCATATCACATCTTTGAGACTTCTCAAAGTGTTTCACAGAATATACTGTAAATAGACATTCATAGCACAGAAGGTCATTTGGCCCATCAAGTCTGCACCAGCTCTCAGAGCAAGATGACCCCACAGCCCTGTCTAATCCCCAGACCCCTTCAAGCTCCCCACTCTCTCTCTCTCTCTGTCTCTCATACCCCAGTCTGCTTCATCATCATGCCAAATTAGACCTCGCTCTAAGGACTAGCAATAATGATATTTGAGCAAAGTCAATTTAAGAGGGGCAGCAGATGTTCGCCAGGCCGGAGATGCTGCCACCTAATGGTTGGTAACAAATGTTGGCCCACAAGATATACAAAATTTACAGTATTTTCTGTGAAGCGCTTTGAGACTTGAAGACGTGATAAGGCACTATATCAAATTCAAGAATTATTGTTATTATCAATTCAACAAATTACAAAGCTGCACACTTGACCCCTCTGCTTTCACCCTCAGCTACAGCAAGAACATAAGGGAGAGGATGTACTTTGATTACCTCTCCTAACATCTGAGTCACACTCGGACATTCCAGGTTTAAGTCTGACACTTCCACCATTGAATTGGACTGCAACACATAACTGTAAGAGAAACCGCATCAGATCAGAGTCAGCTGCAATAACAACTTACATTTATACAGCAACCCTCACACAGGATAGTGTTTCCGAACATTATAAGAACATAAGAAATAGGAGCAGAAAAGAGAGAAAGAGAGAAAAAGAGAAAGAAAGTGTCACAATTGGGCGCTCAGCAACAGCAAAGGGCATTGACCGTAAAGCAGCGTTTCTCAAACGTAGCCCCCCGGCCCCCCACACTGGCTTAGGTGTGCAGCTTCCATTGGCCAGCTTTAGCAGCTACCCTGCATGAGGAGTGCTATATGTTGTTAAGAATACAGTGCTGGTTGTGCAAAGCGATAGATTTTATATCGCTCTTAACCACTGAGCTGATTACAAGCTTCCGGTCAATTCTGACCCCCTGATAATGATCATTTTTATTAACATCTCAAAATGATTTTCATTTATTGTGCTGTTCTTGTTACCCTCTATGCAAGGTTTTGTGAAAAAAAGGCTTTTCTCAGATGTGGTTGTCAAATGTACAGAAATAAATGAAAACTATTTGGCCGCACATTGAGGTCGCTCCAAACAAATGAACCACTGGCCTCGACGCTTTTAAAGAGGTAGGTTTACAAGTGGGATTTAAACACGAGGCAGAGGGATTGAGGCATTCATTGAGTTCCAGAGTTTCGGGGCAGAGTAGCTCAAAGCACAGGTCCTGATGGTGGAGCAGGGGGACGAGGCACAAACAGAGGCAGGGGGTGGGGAGAGGGAAGACAGGGACCTGGGAAGAAGATGGAGTGAGACTCGTGGAGTCGGCATGGACTAGTTGGCTTGAACAGCCTATTTCGATGCTGTAACATGTATGTGAATTGAGGTCCCGTGTCTGTCTGTCTATTCAGGTAGATGTTAAAGATATAACTGGAAACTTTCTCCTAGTGTCCTGGCCCAGATACAGAGGAAGAACCCATGGCTGTTTAAACGACTGTAGTCACCGCATCTGCTACCTCCCATTCACCGCCATACACACTCTAAAATAAAACAGTTACTTTGTACTAACCAGTGCAGGCTCTGCTTGAACAGACAGTACAGTCCCCGCAGGTGAGCCAGACTTGATGCGGTGCAGACAGCAACAAACCCCACGGCCTTTTCACACTTGCAACAGGAGAGGGTCCTGTGGAGGCTGAAGAAGACATTAAACAGCAGAGAGCCTCAGAGAGCAAATGCATTTCAAATGACTTCAAACCTGACTTCAAGCATTCAGTGTAAAAGGACCTGATTATCTCTCCGTCTCTCTGATCTAGCTAACTCAGGCTTGCTGCATCCTCCGCCCCACCCACAACACAATCAGTGGCCGAACTTTCCAATTCTACACAGCTAACCTCTGGGACTCCCTGCCTTCCTCTTCAGCTCATCCCCTTTCTATCTGTCTTCAAGTCCTGCCTCAAAACTTCTCTTTGCCTATGCCTCCTTCCCGCTGCTCGGCATCCACATCAGCATTGTACAGCGCTCCGAAATGGTATTCTATGCAAAGCTGTTGATGATGTTGAAGCTGTTTGTGGGCCAACCTGGCGCAGTGGTAGCACTCTCGCGCCTGAGTCAGAAGGTGGGCAGAGGAGTGGGGATGGGTGGGCAGGGCAGTGGGGATAGATGGGCAGGGGAGTGGGGATAGATGGGCAGGGGAGTGGGGTTCATACTGATAGTTTTTTAAAAAAGTTATTTAATTTTAAATTAAATGTTTTTGTGTTTTTTTATTCATATATATAAAACACCCTTCACACAGGATAATGTCTCAGAACACAGAGTGTCACATACAAATAAGTCATTTACAACCTCCCTCACCCGGCCTCGAGTCAAATCATCAACTCTCAAACCTCGGCGCATCGTCGGTGCTACTCTGTGAAAGAATAATCTATTCAGACCCATTGAGCTATGCCCCCACACACACATACTCCACCTCTTTACATGTCTATCTCATTGCCTTTGAAAACTGATGGATCCTTCCTCATCCATCACACCCGACAGGATATACCTACCTGGGATCAGACCGTTGCTCCGTCCCCCTAACAGCAGGAACTAACCATTCGAGCTCTGGTCAATGTGATTTTGAGTCAGTGCGGGTGGGTGAGGGGTGGCACGGGGGGAGTGCGATTACAACTTGAACCACTCACCATTCACACGTGGGGTCGACAGAGCCTACTAAGATGTGGGGATCCAGGGCCAATTGGTCACTCACATCTGCAACCAAGATAAGCAGAAAGATTTTCATCAATGGAACTGGAATTGGGGGAGGGGATAGATGACGAAAGCATGGTCAAACTTTGTGGAAAGCTAAGTGGGAAGAATCCCTGCCCCCAGTCTGCCCCTCCAAGCCCTGCTTAGACTACCGAGATCACCACAGACAGTTGACTTGATTCTGATTTTCTGTTGCCATATTTATTTCGGATCCAGTTCAGCCGCCAGGAAACCTGCTTCCCCCCCCCCCCCACCACCCCCGAAGTCACTATTTTTCACGAGTCATTGCTTCACCAGCTGGACTTTAAACTTCCTCCGAATGCCCCTTCGCTCAGCTGGCAGACCTGCTGCGTGTCGTCTTGCATCACTATCTCTGGCTATTCCTTCAGCTACTGCCCCACCAACATCTGGAGCTTCCTGCTTCAATAATAATAATAATCGTTGAATTTGATATAGCGCCTTATCACGTCTTCGACAGGTCTCAAAGCGCTTCACAGAATATACTGTAAAGTGAATTGACTGGATATTTTGTGGGCGAAAGGCAGCAGCCAATTGCGCGCATCAGCGTCCCACAAACACTCGTGTATTGAGTGACCAAATTATTATTTATTTGTATCCTTCCACATCACCCTCCATCCTCCCACCACTCCACCCTTCTACTTCCTACCCCCCCCCCCATCCTTTCCACTCTTCCTCTTCCCCCCTCTGTATCTATCTTTAAATCCCACTTTAAGACTTCCCTCTTTGACCGGGCCTATGGTCATCTCCCCTTCCCCACTTGCTTGGAGCCCAACCCCATATCTATACAGCGCTCCCAAACGCGAGCCTGCATGAAGGGCGTTGTGTAAACGCAAGCTGCTGTTAATAATAATAATAATAATCCTTGCATTTGATATAGCGCTTTTCACGTCGGGAGGACGTCCCAAAGCGCTTCACAGAACACACTGCAAAGTGAATGGACTGTATATTTGTGGGCGAACGCGGCAGCCAATTGCGCACAGCAATGTCCCACAAACAGTCGTGGATTGAAAATGACCAATTTATTATTGTTTTTGGTTTTGGAGGGATTATTAGCTGCTGTTAAAGAGCCTGAGCACAGCCACGTCCTGGACTGACGAAACCTCCTGTTGTCCGTGTCGGAGCCCATCTCAGACTTAACTGAGCACTTACCGAGAAACACCAGCACATTGAACGATGAATTGGAGCCGCAGTACTGCACGGAGTCCGCCAGCACAGTGTTGCAATTCCGGCACTGGAAAATCACACAGTGCTCCAGCTTCAGCATCCCAGCTGGTGCCTCTGGAAAGCCCGAGCGGTCAGGAACCTGCAATCACACCCCAGGCTTGGCTGTCAGATCAGTTTTGGGGCGAACTAGATGGATCTTGGTCTTTTTCCGACGATGTTTCCTCACCCCCCCCCACCTCCCGCCTCTCACCCCACCCGCCGCCCTCCCCTCACCGCCTCCCTCCCCTCACCGCCCCCCGCCTCTCAGCCCACCCACCCACCTCCCTCCCCTCACCCCACCCACCTCCCTCCCCTCACCGCCCCCACCTCTCACCCCACCCGTCTCCCTCCCTCACCGCCCCCCGCCTCTCAGCCCACCCACCCACCTCCCTCCCCTCACCCCACCCACCTCCCTCCCCTCACCGCCCCCCACCTCTCACCCCACCCGTCTCCCTCCCCTCACCGCCCCCCACCTCTCACCCCACCCGCCGCCCTCCTCAGCCCACCCACCCGCCTCCCTCCCCTCAGCCCACCCGCCTCTCACCCCACCCGCCTCCTCCCCTCACCGCCTCCCTCCCCTCACTGCCCCCACCTCTCACCCCACCCGCCTCCCTCCCCTCACCGTCCCCCGCCTCTCACCGCCCACCCGCCTCTCACCCCACCCACCCGCCTCCCTCCCCTCACCGTCCCCCGCCTCTCACCCCACCCGGCCCCTGCCTCCCTCCCTCCCTCAACCACCCCACCGCCCCTCAACCCCCGCCTCCCTCCCCTAACCGCCCCCCCCTCAACACTTCACCTCCCGCCCCTCCCCTCAACCCTCTGCCTCCCGCCCCACTCTTCCTCTTCCTTCCACTCTCCCCACTCCTCCCCACTCCCCTCCTTCCCACTCCCCCCCCTCCCCCCCACCCTGGCTCACAGAGTGACCGTTGATCAGAAGCTGCATTCAAACGGGAGATCCCGCGCTCTTGTGGCCCGCGCTGATTGCTGGGCGCGCACGCCAATCACCGCCTCCTCCCGTCCCGCCGCTACGCCCTGCCGATTGGATGAAGGGGGACGTCACTCAGCGCCCTCGGCACCTCTGATAGGCTCATCTGGGGGAGGGGCAGAGGGGCGGGGACCGGATGCGGTTCCTGACCAATGGGAGGCGAGAGCGGACATTCAAACCGGGTGACAGTTATTGGAGACGCGGAGAGTGAGTGAGCGCGCGCGAGAGAGGCGTGGGCATGGACAACAACAACATGGGGCGTGTGGACCCTTCCCAACGGCTGGACAGCTTGAAGTACGTGGAGCTGCAGCATCTGGCCAAGACGCACGGTCTGAAGGCCAACCTGAAGGTGAGAGCGGGGCTGGGCTTGGCCGGGCTGGGCTTTGCTTGGCCTGGCTGGGCTTGGTTTGGCTGGCTTGGCTTGGCCAGGCTTGGCTTGGCTTGGCCAGGCTTGGTCTGGCGTGGCTTGGCCGGGGTTGGTCTGGCTTGGCTTGGCCGGGCTTGGCTTGGCTTGGCTTGGCCGGGCTTGGTCTGGCTAGGCTTGGTCTGGCTGGGCTTTGCTTGGCTTGGTCTGGCTGGGCTTGGTCTGGCTTGGCTTGGCCGGGCTTGGCTTGGCCTCTGGTTTGCGAGGCCACTGCTCTGAGCGCCGCGCTGCAGCGCTCCACAGTTGTCGTTCAGCTTCTCTTTCCCCTTCTCCACCGTTGTGTGCCCCTCCACCCCAACCCTTCTCTTTGACCGTGCCTTCAGCTCCCCTCTCGACTCTCTTCCCCCTCCTCGCTCCCTCCCTTCCCTCCCCTCACCCTGACCATTTCCCCCCTCCTCGCTCCCTCCCTTCCCTCCCCTCACCCTGACCATTTCCCCCCTGCTCGGGTCATGACCCAACTGTGCAGCGCCTTGGGACGTCCTCCTGACGTGAAAGGCGCTCTATAAATGGAATCTTGTTGTTGTTGTTGTTGTTGCCCTCCGCCTCCTTTGATCCCAACCCCCAGCTCGGGTCCAAGCCCTCGACCCTAATCTTATTTGGTCCGTCCTCCCCGACATCCCAGAGCCGGTTAGGATTGACACATAAATGCAATGTGTTGTTCAGGTGAATGGCAATGGTCTCCCTTCACACTATTCAAAAGAAGAGGAGAGAGAGTTCACAAAACTCAGTCACTGTCACTTTACAGTAAATGGTGCCAAGTGCTTTGAGATGTTTTGGGAATATAAGCCGTTGTATGAAATACCAGGATTATTGCTGTTTGAAACAAAAAAAGGCAAAACGCTGCAAAGCACTGGCAATCTTAAATAAAAGCAGGAGTCTCTGGGAGCATTCAGCAGGTCGGGCAACATCTGAGTCCTCCAGCTCAGTGTTAGAGCACTCGCTTTGCAAGCGAGACACCCGGGTTCAATCCCCGGCAGGTCAGGGCGAAACCTTGGGCAAGTTTCCTTACTCCACAGAGCCTAATAATAATCCCTCCAAAACAATAATAAATTGGTCAGTTTCAATCTACGACAGTTTCAATCTACGACTGTTTGTGGGACATTGCTGTGCGCAATTTGCTGCCGCGTTCGCCCACAAATATACAGTCAATTCACTTTACAGTGTGTTCTGTGAAGCGCTTTGGGACGTCCTCCCGACGTGAAAAGCGCTATATCAAATGCAAGGATTATTATTATTATTATCCGTGGAGGGAGGAAAGTGAGTTCATGTTTCAGGTCCATAACCTTTTGTCAGAACTCTTGTTTGTTGTTATTTGGCTTGGCTCCACTGCATTACAGTGAATACCATGAGGTGTTTGGGGATCGTGACAGGTTTTGTGCTAGGAGGAATGAGAAAAATTCAGTGGGATAGATGGCCTGTGATAAATGGTCTGTTTATCTTTGATTTGTTTAATGTATGAATCAGATACTTTGTTGTATTGATGTACATTTTTAATTTATATAACACGGGTGTGACATCTACGTGTCATTTTTCTCACCTTATTTGCTGAAATAGAAATGCACAGAAGTCTATAGCTCTTTGCTACTTCACCTAAAGGGATTTTTATTGATTCACCCCCTGCCTCTGAAGCAGAAGGTTGTGGGTTCAAGCCCCATGTTGGAACATGAACTCCTTCAGTTTGAAGTGCATTTAATGCTATATGTGTGTGGTCTTTGACTCTTCCATTTTGTTTTGAACAGGCTGATAAATTGGTAAAATCTTTAAGAGAATATTTTCAACAAGAGAGAAAGAGGGAATCCATTCAAGAGGTAAGGATGTGAAAAGTAAAGCTGTGATAGTACTTAATTTTGATGCCGGTTTTCTGCACCAGGATAGTAAATTCAATAATGTGTCCAATTCTAGCTGTTATAAAATGCTGTATAAAGAGGATAAAGTCTAACCTCGCTGAAATTTCTCTCAATGGTCTCCTTCTCCGCAATGTTCATGTGTGGCAGGTGGAGGGAGTCCTGTAGCTTAGAGATTAGAGCCCTCTCCTGGCAAAGCGAGAGGACCTGGGTTCAATTCCCAGCAGGGCGAAACGTTGGGCAAGTTTCCTTAATCCACATGCCTCTGTTTGTTTACCCAGAGGTAAATAGAAATCCGGTTGTTAGTCGATTGGCGGATCGCTTTTCCGGGTGTAATAATTTCTTCAAAATAAATTTTAAAATAATTAGTCGCTCAATCCACGCCTGTTTTGGGGACGCTGTTGTGCGCAATTGGCTGCCGCGATTTGCCTACAAATTATGCAGTCGTTCACTTTACAGAATATTCTGTAAAGTGCTTTGAAACATCTCGAAGACACGATTAAGTGCTACATGAAATGCAAGGATTATTATTTTGGTTCCACCAGACCCGGTGATAGTAGTCCTTCAGCCGAGATATTAAAGCAAGGTGCCCTCTTCCTGTTCAGGTGCACCCTACTTGAAAAGAGGAAGGAGTTTCTCTGACCCGGCTGACAATCCCCCAGATACAATTCACTTCATGGCTGTTTTTGGAATGTTGCTGTACACAATTTAACTGTGTTCACTTACAAAATAAAGTCATTACACTTTGCAATAAATGCTGTGAGGTGCTTTGAGGCATTTTACATTTTATAATAATAAGTCTTGCATTTGATATAGTGTCTTACAACTCGGTAGGACATTCTCAGGGTATTCTGTAAAGTGTAGTGACTATATTTCTAAGGCTAATGTGGCAGCCATTTTACACACAGCAAAGTCCTATAAACAGCCATGAAGTGAATGAGTGATTTAATATGAGGATTGAGGATCAGGCCATGGTTGTCAGTAATACAGTGCTGTATCAAACGCAAAGGTTGTTGTTGTTATAGTGGGTTACATCCACTGATAAAAGCTGAGGTCATATCCTCCTATTGGAGGGCCAGCTATTCACCAGAAGATCAGGCAGGTGTAGTTCATTGTAAGCAGCTGTCTATCCCAAGCCCACCAGGATCTTGTCTTTCCAGGATGCTGTAACCACTCCTGCCAGCAATGGTACTGATGAGGAAACCATGAGTGATGCAGAGGGAAAGGAGGATGGTATTTGTGTGACTCAGCGGCGAAGTGTAGAGAGGCAGCTGAGTGCAGGGCACACAGACAGTGCCAATGAAACTGCTGCCACCGCACACCCACCACTACCTGCTCAGGTAACAGCGTGCTGCACGGTCAGAGTGGGATCAGGCTGAGCTCTGCTGGGAGGCTCATGGAGTAGAGTGCTGCTGCTGTTTTGTTCCACTCTTAGCAGTGTACAGAAACAAGAGGCAGCTGGGACCTTCTCCAGGCGAAACGTTAAACCAAGGTCCCCTCTGGCCCTGACATGTGGACATTAAAGATCCTCCAGCGCTATTCAAAAGGAGCAGTGAATTTCTGGACAACAATTAACCATTTTATAAAAAAAATTATCATTCACTTCATGGCTGTTTGCGGGATGTTGCTGTGTGCAGCTTGGTTGCTGCATTTGTCTAACAAAACACATAGTTACTGCACTTTACATTAATCCTGTGAAGCTTTTTGGGATGTCCAAGCCTGACCCTCTGTTTAAAATGACCAGGAACCCTTGGTCGCCTCGCCCGATCGGGAAGGATTCAAGATGAAGAGAAGACAAAGGAAGAGACTCTTGGCCATTGAGGTAGTGAAGCCTGAAGGAACACCTGGCCTGAACGGCTCAAATTCCCCATCTTCACACGCCAGCAAGAGGGCCAGATGGACCGGTACATGCTTATTTAATCCCTTTAACAGCATTCTGAGGCTTTCTGAATGTGATCGATGGATTGCCTGAAACCAGTTCAGCCTGGCAATGTCAGTAGCACTCTCACCACTGAATCAGTTGTGGGCTGAATCAGCCCATATTTGGCCTTTAAACTTACATTCCAGGCTGATGCTCCAGCACAGTGTCGGGTCCTACATATCTGTCGGAAAAGAGGAGAGATTTCTCTGTCTGTGTCCTGGCCAGAAATGTTTGTGGCTCATTGCTGTGTGCACATTGGTTCAATGCCCACACATAATACACACCGTCACCAGTGGAGGATTATTACATTTTAGTGTGCTGTTTGCTGAATGTGTGGCTGGGAAAGTGGGAGCTATGTATGGCACAGTGAGCCTTGCCTATGCATTAACTGGATACGACCCCGGTGTGGGTATCAGGACAGCAGGGGACTTTTCTCTTTTCCCTAGCCATGTCCTGCAATAGACAATGAAAGCTGACTGTGACAGCCTGGCAGAAATAATAAACTAGACACTAACTCATCTAACGGGGAGTTTAGGAGGAACTTCTTCACACAGAGGGTGGTGAGAATGTGGAACTCCCTGAGGTTGCAGCAGAAACATGACCATATTAATAATAATCCTTGCATTTGATCTCAAAATGCTTCACAGAATATACTATAAGGTGAATTGACTGTATATGTGAAGTGCATTGAAACGTCTCAAAGACATAAGGCAGTGTATCAAGTACAAGTATCATTATTAAGTTTCAAAGCAGGACATTGTGTCTGTGCCCACACTGCCTCTGTCTTTTAAGTCCTCATTTTTATTAACGCACTTCCTATCTCGATCTCTCGAATGTTTTGCTGCTCAGCTGCTGACCCAACTGTACTGAGCCGCCCTCTGTAGCCTGGTTCCTGGGAATGAGCAGCCTGAGAGTGAGGAGCTGCCCTCTAACCTCTCCCTGACTCTCCCCTAACGAGTCCAAGCCCTTCCCCAGCTAAAGATAGTTGTTTGTCCCTGTCTCCCCTGTCGTGGACCTTCTCGGTCTCCTCTGTTGTAGCTCAGTCTCTTAAATAGATTTTTACCATCTCCCCAATTGCCTGCTGGTAATTGGATTGAGGTGTTTAATAAATGCATTTATCGATAAATGTTGCTTATTCTTTCTTTCCCCTGCCCCATCACTAAATAACTGGTGCTTTCCTTGTTTCAGACACCTCTAGCAATTCTAAACCTGCTCTTCTGAGAGGCAAGATCCCTCGATATGTAGGAAGAGCTGACAAAGCTGCATTAAAGGCTGACACTCCAAGTGGCAAAGCTGGGCTGAAGGCTGGCACTCCAGGTGAGAAACATTCTGTTCTGAAACTATCCATTGATTGTTATCAGATATTATTGTCCTGTGTAGTGTTAGGGTTATGCCAACTTGTGTATAATTTGTGAGTCCAAATACCTTGAAAGTCGGGGTGTGATGGGAGAGGAGATGCGAAGGGATTTGGGGGGAGAATGGTCATTAGGAGGGGGGAGGATGGTACATTAGTAATGGAAATGTGATCATGCCAGGCCTTACTCTGGAAAGCTCATTTTGATTTTCCAGGCTTCCTTTCCCTGGCAATATGCCCTATGGTGCTCCCTGTGCCAGTAGCTGCCTTGAAAATTGCATTGGGCACTTTGGCTGGTTGCTGCAGCTAGTTATTCCTCACCACTAAACCTGGTTAGGCTCCACTGGCTCCCTGTCACAGGCCCACATTGATTTCAAGATCCTCGCACTTAATTACAAATGAATTCCCACACTATTACTTCCCTACCTCTCTGACCTACTTCCACCCCATTCTGCCACCTGCCCCTTCTATTGTCTGACTCCGTCCGAGTTCACATTCCAAACCCCTCTATTCCGCCATCAGCGGTCGTATTTTCACACTACACCCCGAGACTCTGGAACTCTGCTTCAATCCCTCCATCTTGCCTCCTTGCCCTTCTGCAGATCATAGCTGAAGACCTTCCTTTTTGATTGTACCTATGGTCACCTCCCCTCTCCCCAGCTCCGTATCATGCTCCTCAGCCGCACCAGCAGCCAGTGTGTGTGTTGTGCTGCTCTGTGGGCCTGAAGGTTAAACATTCCACGTTGCATTGGCTCCTCTAGACTTAGTCTCGTCTGAGGCAGAAACTTGTGAGTTCCAGACCCATCGACATTGTCAGAGGGCCGTCCTTTGGATGAGACATTTGTTAACGGAGTAGGTGCTTGTGCAGACACTGACTGCGCTAGGTAGGCTGCTCTGTCTCACCTTGGCTGTTCTGGCCTCCGCAGACTGGAAGAAGATTCATGAGGCCAATTTCAATAAGATGGAGTCGATCGACAAGTATGTGGAGCGAAAACGCAGGCGCATCGAGGCCTTTGGGAACTCGATCAAACAAGTCAAGGTGAGTGAGTGAGTCACAGCGTTTCACACCATCACTGACAGAAGTTAGACACTGTCCTCACACACAGGGCAATGGTAACTTGGAATTGTCTGCCACAAACCCCAGTTTGATGGATGGATTTTGGTGTTTGTGTGTAAGCTGTTATTCCTTTTGTTAGATGTTGGCTGAGAAGTCTGTAACACTCAGAGTAACGGAGATGAAGGTTCCAGACAGCGATGTGAAAGTGAGGTTGGGTTTAAAATGTCCCCAAACCTACTATTGAGACCATCATAAGTCACGCTGAGGTTGGCTGCAATGTCCCACACTCCCCTCACATTGCTCTTCTCTTGTTTTCAGCCTGTGAGTGGCCCGGAGCAGCCGACCAAAGCTCTCCCAGTACTGGCAGAGCGTCGGCGCTCACCACGCACCAGCAACTCCATGGTCACCGGCAACGCCAGTAACACTGGTGCCAGCTCCACCTTCAAGCCTTCCATCTTCACTGTCACTAAAATGAACGTCAGGTAATGGCCTCACCCACTCTCAGCATCAGCCTAAAAACCCATCTACTGACTGAAACAGCCCTACCACAACATCAGATTCCACCCTCCCCATCACAGCATCAGAATCTCCCTTTTCATCACAGCACCAATCTAGAAAAATGATTAATGACCAGAACAGGTTGTCTCCCCTGTGTGACAGGCACTGGATATTACTGGTGCTTGTTTTCTGCTGTGTGGGGTCACTGGCCTTTGGTTAAGTGCTGAGAGCTGCCTGGCTGTTGGATGATTACTGCTGTATGACATGGAACTGCTTGAGGTCCTCGCCACCTGGATGGGTATACACTGTAAGCTGTGGACATAATTACAACCGTGCATTTGATAACATGAAAGTGTCTCCCGGTGCTTCACAGGGAATTGCTGTCCAGTGTAGTGACTATATTTGAAGGAGATCCTGTACAAGACAATTCATGTTTATGCAGCACCCATCACAGTGGTAGGCTGAGCAGCTGAGCTGGGGTAGGGGTAATGATAATCAAATCCATAGTCAAAGAGAAAGGTCTCGAGACAAACCTTGAATGAGGTGAGGAGGGACTCGGAAGGATTCTGGGATGGTGTTCCAGTGAGGGAGGCAGATAGGCTAAACGCCTGCCCACCAATGGTGGGGTGGATAGAGAGGGGGACACAAAACAGGCTGATGTCTACTGAGAGAAGGTAGTGACCAGATCAGTCTGGTTCGTGCAGGTCAGGTCGCAGAGAGGGTGGGGCAAGACACTGGAGGGATTTAAAGGTGAGAACAAGGATCTATCCCACATCTAACTGTAACTGGTGGTGTTAGATTCACAGCTGCTACTGAAGGCAAGGAGAGCAAGCTGTCTCTGATCAAGACTCCGGCGAGGCGATCTCCCCTCACACATCCTGTGGACACACCAGGCAGCTCACAGCGGCGAAAGATCAAAGACTCTGTGCCCAAAACAAACCTGCCCAAGACCTCTGAAGGTGAGTCTGGAAATCGCTGTGGCTTCGCTTCACAGCTGCCAGTTGCTGCTGCTCCTGCGCTAGGGTTTGGAGAGGGTGCAGGAGATTTACAAGAATTATACCAGACATGAGGGACTTCAATTATGTGGAGAGACTAGAGAGGCTAGGATTATTCTCCTTAGAGCAGAGAAGGTTGAGGGAAAATTTAATTGATGTGTTCAAATTTATGAGGGGTTTTGATAGAGTAGATAAGGAGAAATTGTTTCCTCTGGCAGGTGAGTCTGCAAATAGAGTACATAGATTTAAGATAATTGACAAAAGAGCCAGAGGGGAAATGAGAGATTTTTTTTACTCCCAAGAGTTGTTGCTGTCTGGAATGCATTGCCTGAAAGGGTGGTGGAAACAAATTTGACAGTAAATTCAAAAGGGAATTAGAGGAAAAAATGTGCAGGGCTATGGGGTAAGAGCGTGGGAAGTGGGACCAGTTGGTAGCTTTTTCAAAGAACAGACATGATGGGACGAATTGCCTCCTGTGTTGTAAGATACTATGATTCTCTTAGCATGGTTTTCATTCCTGAAACCTGTGGTTACTAGCAGTTGGGTGAGCGACATCTGACTCTCACTGATCTGGTTCACCCAAACCACACTTGCTCCCATTCACTCCTGAATGGTGTGGGTGCAAGCCCCGGGTTGGGTGTAGAGCTGACAGTCCAGGCTGGTATTCGTCACCACTTCCTGGGCATGAAACCTTAGTCAAGATCTGCTCAGTGTTCAGGTAGATGTTACAAATCCTACGACCCCATCGGAAGAGAGAAGAGTTTCTCCCTGTGACCTGGCTGACAATCCCCCCAGATAAATTGTGTGGGACTTTACTGTGCACAGTAAGGAGATCTTATCCCGTTTTCTCCACACCCACAGTGACTCCAAAGCCAGTTGATCCACATGGGGGTAGTTAATGTGAATGCTTTGGGTGTTTTCCACATGGGGGAAGCAGTGTAACCTCTCCTTTCATTCTTTTAGGGATCACACCATATACGTTCTGTGGGAACGCCACTCCCGGCACCAACAAAAAGTTTGACTTGAAGGAGAGCCTGTCTCGCCCACTGTCCTACCAGCCCCACAAAGGTCAGTGTCCCCACTTCCTGCTTCAACCTCGCACCTGGGCTTTGGCCTGAGAATCTTATCAGTTTAATCTCACTCCCCATGCTGCTGTTTGCCCCATACCATCTATTCCTGCTCCCCACACTGCTGTCACGTCCTCCTGACATGAACAGGGCTTTACAAATGTATTCCCACTCCCCACACTTGCTATCCTTCTTTTACATATTTATCTCATTCTCATCCATCAGCTTGATCAGGCCTATATTTTCTCCTACTCTGCACGACTACAGCACAGGAGAAAGCCCCTTGTGTCTGGCTCTTTGAGAGTGGAAAACCTTCAGTCTGTTTTCTCCACAGCAAATCCTTATCCATCCCCAGGTGTTAGTCTGCACTCTGCTCTCTGGGTCAGAAGGTTGTGGGGTCAAGTCGCCCGTTGAGACTTTGAGCTCTCTGTCTCTCCTCTTTTCTTCTTCCCTCTCTCCGCTTTCTCCACCATGTGAACAATCACACTGAAGCCTGTCATTGTGCCTCACAGGCAAGCTGAAACCCTGGGCCGAAGCCAAGGAGAATGTGAGCAGTCACTCTCATTGCAAGGATTACAAGCAGCTAAAGTTACAGACCAGGTGAGTCAGGGACCAGTCACTAACCTCTGGTGAATCTCTTCTGCTCCAGGTCAGCACTGAGCTGCCTCTCTGGGGGCGGGGGGAGAGACAGGTCCACATATCCATTCACAAAGCTCCCTGTGCAAACTGAATCCAGCGCTTCGTGTGCGTGGGACTGTCAAGACTGCCTCGTGTAAAGGGTGGGGGAGTGCCCTGCCAAGACTGCTCCCTGTGTGTGTGTGTCTCTCCCTCAGCCCCTCCATCTTGCCCCCCACCGCCTCCTCACTTTCAAATCCCGCCTAAAGACCTTCCTTTTTGATCGTGCTTATGGTCACCTCCACACTCCCTCTCCCCCTGTGAAGCACTGCGGGTCCCTACCCTGTGTGAAGGCGCCATATAAATGCAAGTTGTTGTTGTGGTGATGTGGCAGGGGGTGGGTGCTCGTATGCCAAGGCTTTGCTGACCAGCTGTTTGCTCACAGGGCGGAGCGGCGTGAGCAACATGTGGAGGGACGGAAAGAGAAGAAGAGGCGGCTAGTGGGTGCTCGGCGGGGGCTGGTGATGGCCTGAGGCTCTGCTCGGATCCACAACGTGTAGATATGTTGATATTTGCCATTGACCTCTCTCTCTCTCTTTTTTACAAAAAACTTGGAAGTATTTTGCAATGGAACTGTCTATTTTACATGTTGATCAATGCTTTTGATCTCCCCCTGTTCTTGCTGTTGAAACTAAATGTAGTCGCGCTTTTGTACTCTGTATTAAAATTTTCACATTAAAAATATCCCAAAAAGATAAGTTACGCTGGGCTCATTTCTCCTGTGCCAACAGCTGGTGGTGACAGCTGGTGCCTAGAGCACTGCCTGTGCCTGGCTGCTGAACAACCTGATAGTGCCGCCCCCCCCATCCTCTGCCTAGGATACCCCTACTCACCCTTCGTTCAATTTATGAAAGGTTTAAAGTGATCTGTAAATGACATTTCCCCTCGAGGATAACCCGTGCTGGGTGCACCTCAGTTAAGAGTGCTGGATTCAGGTGTAGGAATGACAGTGTGATGAGCATCACTGGCACCCTCTTTAAGGCTGCTCGAACACCTGGGTTAATGCGGCCGGTGAGACCAAGCTTCTGTTCCATTCCCCGACGCCACTGGTTTCTCATCACACAGGATACAGTTCACGATCCCGGTCCTCGCCCTTACCTCCTCGACCCCCTACCAGCCTGCAGGCACCCTCCACGCAGCAAGCTCCAGCCTGCTTCATGTCCTCCACCCTACCATTGGCGGGCAAGCCTTCAGCCACTCTGCCACCTTCAAGACCCATCCCTTTGACCGTGCCTTCAATCACCCACCACCTCACTGCCCTTCACCGATCCTGACCCCCAGCTTGGGTCCGAAACGCTGATTGTCCAGCACCTTGGGACATCCACCCAACATGAAATGCGCTACACAAATGTAATTTTGTTGTTAGTTATTGGCCGGGGAGGAGGAAGGAATTGGTCCCATCAGTCAGGTTAGAGCTCAACTCAAGTATTTCACACAGAGCTCCTTGACGACGTGGAACTCTATTGTGAGCAATTGGCTGCTGTGTTTGCCCCCAAAATAGTCACTACACTTTACAATATATTCTGTGTAAAAGAGGGGGGAGGTCCGATGCGAGATAGGATGAGGTGCTGTATCAAATGCAAGGATCATTATTTTTTCCCGACTTGGCTGAGCTACTATGTTAAGATGTGAATGTTGCTGCGTTGAACGGGAATAGCACTGCCCCAGGGGACAAGCCACTCCTGGGTGCCTGGACTGGGTGTCTGCATAGCAAAGACAGCCGCCACGTTTGCCTGCAGAAGAGGAACAGGACTGGACAGGAGTCAGTGAAGCAACAAAATAAACTTTATTTCTTGTCCTTGCACCTGTGAGGCACCAACCAGATGAGTGAAGGCTTCACTCACGTACGCGGGGGCACTGCAGGGGGCCACAGGATGACAATGTGGCACTGTGCGAGACCTAAGCCTGGGGAGGTAACAGGCTGCAAGGTGAAATGTTTAACAAAAGAATGTCAGAATCAAATCAACCCTCTGTGATGGTCTCTGGTCCAGTTCCTGAGCCAGATTCGTCTGCAGTATTCTAGGCACTGTTGATGAGTCCAGCCAACCTGGCTCATTGGCAGAGCAGTCACTGGGGGCAGAGTCAGCCCACTCAACTCCTGTTATCCCTGCCAAGCCAAAGCCCTAACAGATAAGGTGGTCCTAGCCGAACAAGCAGCAGGGAAGCTTACCTTACAGTGCTTTTAATGGCAAGCTTTGTGATTTTAGCTAGTTAGACCCCAACAGTTACCCCAACACACACTCTGGGATTCCCAAGCCTCGCCTCTTGCCAACCTGCACCTAAATCTTTCTGGAATTAGATAAGCAGAATCTGTCCCTCCAGAGAGAGAGTGCACATTCCAACAATCGATCTCTAGCATTTCCACGTGAAGGTGGGATAGTTGGAATTCCCAGTCTGGTTTGGGTATTGTGAAGCAGGGTAATGGGTTTCCATGTGTGTCAGATACCTGGCTGATCCTGGTGATGGATATCTGTGTCTGTCAGGCATCCAGCTGATCACTGTGATGGTTTCTGTGTGTGTCAGGCATCCGGCTTATCAAAAAGGAATTGTGTGCCCCTCTCTGGTGGAGCTCAGACCTCTGGGTTGCGTTTGTAGCTCTCGTAAGCAAATGTCTCTGTGTGCGCCCGGTCGTTACACACTCCAATGAAGTCGATCTCCAGCTGGAAAGGGCCGTCCACTTTGTCACCCAGTGTGAAGCCGATGGTGCTGATCTGAGGTGGAGGGGGAGAGAGAGCGCACAGGCGGCAGTGAGAGAGCATCACTCAATCCTACCCCCATAGTTAGAGCGTCGCTCCGCCCCCCCCCCCTCCCAGGTCCAGCCAACACAGTGAGAGCTTTACTTCCCCCACCCACGGCGAGAGCGCCGCACCCCCTCCTGAGCCCCCATTCGTACCTTATCCAGCCACAGGGGCTGCTGGCTGTCCTGCACTCGGCCACGACTGGACAGGAAGAATTTGGAGAACGGGATCTGGGGGTGAAGCAGGAGGAAGGTCAGAGCTACGTTCTCTTCACCACGATCAGCTAGTCAGGACACTACTGTGCTGGGGGGGGGCACTCAGCAGTGCTGGATGTTTGTCAAATGACTAATTCATGCCTGTGTCTCCTTGCAGCTGGCTCCAAGGTGACCTGCCTGACAAGCGAATGTCTATGTGCTAGCCCTCTCTGTCTCACACACACACACACACACACACAACACTCTCCCTCACGCACACCATGCCCACCCTGCCTCACACACACTGCCCGCCCTCTCTCTCTCTCTCTCTCTCACGCACCCGCCCTCCCTCTCTCTCGCGCACCGTGCCCCCTCCCTCGCACGCACCGTGCCCCCTCCCTCGCGCGCACCGTGCCCCCTCTCTCGCGCGCACCGTGCCCCCTCTCTCGCGCGCGCCGTGCCCTCACGCACCCACAATGCCCCCTCTCTCGCGTTCACGGTGTGGTTGTACCTTGACGTGCTGCCAGTACGGGCCGCCGCGGGTGAACAGGAAGTAGTTGTAAAGGTCGTCCTTGTGATGGGAGAAGAACATGGCGGAGCTGATGTTGACCATCCATGGCCGCCCGTCGCCGCGCACACACAGGTGCAGGGTGTTAAAGCTGCTCCAGTCGTGGTGCTTGTTACGCTCGAATGCAGCCTGCAGCACAGACCTCCAGTCAGCACAGCCCCTCGTGCTCTGGGAGCTCCTCAACAACAACAACAACTTGCACCCCACAAGCCGGGCATTGTCAGGGCAACAGGGCGCTGCGCAATCCGAGAGAGGCCAGCACCCAGCCCCGCTCTGCACTCACTCACATAGTAAACCCGCCCACTACCCCAGCCCCTTCCCCCCCACACACCAGCCCACCACTTGCCCACTGACCTGCAGCTCCCGGGAGCGCAATGTGCAGTAGCCGCTGTAGCGAGTCTCGCCGTCACGCGGCACCTCCACACACAGCTCTCCGGATAGCAGCGCCGTCTTGCCGTTGCTGCCCAGCGTCAGGTCCACCCGGCTGCGGCCGCCAATCTCCTGGTCACAGGACACCATCCACTGGCGGAGGCTGTCCTCGCCCCGGAACTGCCAGACCACGCGGGTCTGCTCCAGCAGCAGTTCCCTTAGAGCCCGGCCCCCCGGCCCCTGCAACGGCTCCATCACCTCCTCCTTCAGCAGCCCCAGCTGCTTCCTCACCCCCTCCACCCCCCGCTGCAGGCTGAAGCTAAACCTCTTCCAGGGGGGCACGTTCTCGGGGGGTGAACCTGGCCGTCGGTAGGCACGGCTCAGGGCCAGCCTGGCCCAGGGGGACAGCCGCCCCCACAGACACCCAAACAGCCAGGATCTGTGCAGGGCCAGCGAGGTCATCACCAGGTCTCCCTCTGATCACCAGCGACAGGCCGCACACACAGCCACCAGCCTCACACACACACACACACAGAGCCTCACACACACACACACACACACACACAGAGCCTCACACTCTCACACACACACACAGCCACCAGCCTCACACACACACACACACAGAGCCTCACACACACACACACACAGAGCCTCACACTCACACACAGACAGAGCCTCTCACACACACACACACACAGCCACCAGCCTCACACACACCAGCCTCACACTCTCACACACACACACAGAGCCTCACACACACAGAGCCTCACACACACACACACAGAGCCTCACACACACACCAGCCTCACACACACACACACACAGCCACCAGCCTCACACACACACAGAGCCTCACACACACCAGCCTCACACACACACCAGCCTCACACACACACACAGAGCCTCACACACACACAGAGCCTCACACACACACCAGCCTCACACACACACACCAGCCTCACACACACACACCAGCCTCACACACACACACCAGCCTCACACACACACACCAGCCTCACACACACACACCAGCCTCACACACAGCATTACACCAGCCTCACACACACACACCAGCCTCACACACACACACCAGCCTCACACACACACACCAGCCTCACACACACAGAGCCTCACACACACAGAGCCTCACACACACACACAGAGCCTCACACTCACACACAGAGCCTCACACACACACACACACACACACACAGAGCCTCACACACACACACAGAGCCTCACACTCACACACAGAGCCTCACACTCACACACACACACACACAGAGCCTCACACTCACACACAGAGCCTCACACACACACACAGTGTCTCTCACACACACATCACACACACAGTGCCTCACACACACACAGTGCCTCACACACACAGTGCCTCACACACACACAGTGCCTCACACACACACAGTGTCTCTCACACACACACACAGAGCCTCACACACACACACAGAGCCTCTCACACACACACACAGAGCCTCACACACACACACACACTCACAGAGCGCTCAGCCTGGCACTAACCCCACAGACACTGACTGGGCAGAGGCCCCTGACCCCTGACCCCCGGGGCCGGGCCCGGGCCTGTGGAGCTGAGTGAAACCGGTGTGGAATGTGAGCCCGAGCCTGAGGTCAGGGTCACACACACAGAGAGAGAGGACAGACAGGGAACCGGCAATGGCTGACGCTGAGCAGCCGATGACGCTCGAGTCGCGTCACCCTCAGCGCACGCGCTCGTTTTCCCACGCCGCCGGGGGCCCACCACCACGCCGGCCGATGGCGCGATGGCGTCACGACGTCGGCGGGCGAGCCTGCCATGCGCCGTGACGTCACGTGGGGGTGGGGGGGGGGAAGGGCGCGCAATGTCGGCCGCGGGCGCAGGGTGTGCGCATGTGCACGGCTTCGCTTTTTGTGTACGGCGACAAGAGCTGCGGACCTGAGGCCTAGTCAGCGCCGCCGCCTGAGCAACAGCCCCGAGACCGCGCCGGGACAGCCAGCGCCTTCCACCGGCCCGAGGTGCCAGGGGGCCCCGGCCCGAGTGTGAGCCAGAGCCGCCGCGGAGGAGCAGCCAGAGCCTCCCGGCCCCGGGGGGGGTGGTGGTGGTGGGCGAGCTGCTGACCCCGTGAGCCTCGTCGCGGGCGGGCGGGCGGGCGGGCCGGCGGGTAGAGGCCGGGCTGAGAGCCGCGGCTCCCAGGGGGTGCGGGTCGTGCTGGGAGAGCCGCCGGCCGCTTCCTCTCCTCTCTGGCCTGGCCGGAGCCTCGGCCTCGCCATGGTGAAGAAGCGGAAGGGTCGGGTCGTCATCGACTCGGACAGCGACGACAGCGGCAGCGAGGAGAACCTGGACCAGGTACCGGCGCCTGCGAGCGGGGCGGCGGGCCCAGAGCAGCCAGAGCCCGGGGCTCGGGGTGTCCTTAGCCCCAGGGCCCTGGTCTGGGGATTATTCGATCTCAGTGACCCTGGGCTGGGGGTGTTGTTGGTCTCAGTGACCCTGGGCTGGGGGTGTTGTTGGCCTCAGTGACCCTGGGCTGGGGGTGTTGTTGGCCTCAGTGACCCTGGGCTGGGGGTGTTGTTGGCCTCAGTGTCACTGGGCTGGGGGTGTTGTTGGCCTCAGTGTCACTGGGCTGGGGGTGTTGTTGGCCTCAGTGGCACTGGGCTGGGGTGTTGTTGGTCTCGGCGACCCTGGGCTGGGGGTGTTGTTGGTCTCAGTGTCACTGGGCTGGGGGTGTTGTTGGCCTCAGTGTCACTGGGCTGGGGGTGTTGTTGGTCTCGGCGACCCTGGGCTGGGGGTGTTGTTGGCCTCAGCGACCCTGGGCTGGGGGTGTTGTTGGTCTCGGCGACCCTGGGCTGGGGGTGTTGTTGGCCTCAGTGACCCTGGGCTGGGGGTGTTGTTGGCCTCAGTGACCCTGGGCTGGGGGTGTTGTTGGTCGCAGTGTCACGGGGTTGGAGTATTATTGGTCTCAGTGACCCTGGGCTGGGGGGGTTGTTGGTTTCAGTGTCACTGGGCTGGGGGTGTTGATGGTCTTAGTGTCACTGGTCTGGGGGCGTTGATGGTCTCAGTGTCACTGGGCTGGGGGCGTTGATGGTCTCAGTGTCACTGGGCTGGGGGCGTTGATGGTCTCAGTGTCACTGGGCTGGGGGTGTTGATAATCTCAGTGTCACTGGGCTGGGGGTGTTGATGGTCTCAGTGTCACTGGGCTGGGGATGTTATTGTTGGTAAATAATGCTATGAGTTCTCCCCCCCCCCCTCTCTCCTCTGGACCCCCAGCTGACTGTCGAGCTGATCGCTTTGCCTCCAGTCTCGGTGTGAGCGTTTGGGCTGCTCCTTTGCCCCAAGTCCCCCCTCCCAAAATACCCCGTGTATCAACTCCCCACCGTTCGCTTCTCTCGTTCAGTTCTTCTCTCCCACCGTCCTCCTCGCTCTCTCTCTATGGACCCTCACACAGCCTCCCTCTGCTCCTCCGGTCTTACGAGGTACCAGCCATTGGATATCCCGGAGCAGCCATCCCAAATGCACCATTTTCTCTTTTTTTCCGCAAGACCCTCCTCCCTGCTTCCATCTCCCGACTGGTAAACAACTGTGGAGTCCTGCAGCTCAGTGGTTAGAGCACTCGCTTTGCAAGCGAGAGACCTGAGTTCAATCCCCGGGGAGTCAGGGCCAAACCTTGGGCAAGTTTCCTTACTCCACACAGAGCCTAATAATAATCCCTCCAAAACAAAACAATAATAAATTGGTCATTTTCAATCCACGACTGTTTATGGGACATTGCTGTGCGCAATTGGCTGCCGCGTTCGCCCACAAATATACAGTCAATTCACTTTACAGTGTGTTCTGTGAAGCGCTTTGCGACGTCCTCCTGACGTGAAAAGCGCTATATCAAATGCAAGGATTATTATTAACTGAATCCACGACTGTTTGTTTGTGGGACACTGCGGTACCCAATTGGTTGCTGCATTTCGCCCACAGTATATAGTCAGTTCACTTTACAGAATATTCTGTGAAGCACTTGGAGACGTCTCGAAGAAGTAATAAGGCCCTATGCCAAATGAAAGGATTATTATTATAACCCCAACCTTCCCTTATCAACATCCTTTCCAACTCTTTTCCCCCCCCCTCCTCACACTCGACAGCCTTCTCCCGCCCCACCGCGATCCGCTGTGCCCTCTAAATGTCCACTCCCTCTGAAACAAAGACATCACAATACACGACCTCATCCTGGACAACACCTGGACATTCTTGGGCTCACAGAAACCTGTCCCCTCATTGAAGCCTACCCGGCTGGCTTCACCTTCCCCCACACCTCCCACCCCAACCAACATGGTGGTGTGGTGGCCCTCGTCTCCCAATCCTCTCTCAGTATCTTCCTATTCCTCTTGTCTTTGACCACATTGTTGCAAATCAACTTCACGCTCACCTCTTCCTTCACTCCTTCCTCAAGCCCCTCCAGTCTGGGTTCTGCCCTGCCCACAGCACAGAGACAGCACTCATCAAAGTCACCAATGACTTCCTCTGTGACCAGGTCTCCCTCTGCCTCTTTGTCCTCCTGGACCTCTCTGCTGTATTCAACATAGTCGACCATGCCATCCTCCTCCGCTGCCTCTACTCCCTCATCCACCTTAATGGGACCATACTCGGATGGTTTGAGTCCTATCTAACAAACCGCCTCCACTTCTCTTCAAACGGTTTCCCCTTCTGCCCCTGCCCTGTCACCTGTAGTGTACCCCAAGGCTACAGGCTTGATCTCCTCCTTTTCCTCATTTTCATGCTCCTTCTTGGCAATGTCATTCGCAGCCACGGGCTAAACTTCCACGCATATGCTTATGACACCCAACTCTAGTTCTCCTAACCAGCTGCAACTCCAGGTCCCCTGATGCTCCGTCAGCTTATCTGTCAGACATCAGGGCCACGATGAGCGCAAACTTCCTGCAGCTGAACATTGTCAAGATGGAAGCAATACTCCTCTTCTGTAAAGCGGCTCTGACCTGAACCTCCCTGGCTGTTCCCTTACCGAACCTGGTCATCAGATTTCCAGCTGTCTTTCCTCTCCCACATCCAGTCCCTGACCAAGACCGCTTTCTTCCACCGCCACTGTTCCTCGTCCAAGCTTTTGTCACCTGCTGCCTCGACTACTCCAATGCCTTCCTCACCTGTCTCACCAGTTTCACTACCCACAACTACACTGATTCAGAACTCCCCTGCCCATATTCTCACCACACCAGACTCCGTACTACCATCACACCAGTCCTCGCCAAGCTCCACTGGCTTCCTGTCACCCAACTAAACTGTAACCCCATCACACCAGTCCTCAGGCTCCACTGTCTCCCTATCACAGAACAGATCGATTTCACTCGTAGATTGGCTGGGGGACTGACACGGCCTCGCTCCCTCCTTCCTCAGACCTACTATCCCCCTACCTACCTGCCCGTACCCTCCGTTCCTCTGGCTCCGGTCTGCTCCACATCCCCCGCCCCAACCGCCCTACCATCGGTGGCCGGGCCTTCAGCCTCTCAGCCCCGAGGCTCTGGAACTCTATTCCCCAGTGCCTTCGCCGCCTCCTCCCTTTCCTCCTTCAAGGCCGGTCTCAAGACCTTTCTCTTTGACCGTGCCTTCAGCTCCCTCTCGACTCTCTACCCCTCCTCGCTCCTTCCCTTCCCTCACCCTGACCATTTCCCCCCAATGCTCGGGTCCTGACCCAACTGTACAGCGCCTTGGGACGTCCTCCCGACGTGAAAGGCGCTTAATAAATGGAATCTTGTTGTTGTTACCAGGGGGTTGGGGTGCTGATTGTGGGGTGGGGTTGGGGGTGCTGGTTACAGGGTGTGTTTGGGGTGCTAGTTATGGGGGGTTGTTGGTGCTGGTTTACACGTGCTAGTTATGGGGGGTTGTGGTGCTGTTACGGGTGGGGGGGGGGTGCTGGTTACAGGGGGCGTTGGGTGTTCTGTTACGGGGGGGGGGGGGGGCTGGTTACAGGGGCGTTGGGTGTTCTGGTTACGGGGGGGGGTTGGGGGGGCTGGTTACAGGGGGGCGTTGGGTGTTCTGGTTACGGGTGGGGGGGGGGCTGGTTACAGGGGGGCGTTGGGTGTTCTGGTTACGGGGGGGTTGGGGGGCTGGTTACAGGGGGGCGTTGGGTGTTCTGGTTACGGGATGGGGGTTGGGGGGCTGGTTACAGGGGGGCGTTGGGTGTTCTGGTTACGGGATGGGGGTTGGGGTGCTGGTTACAGGGGGGCGTTGGGTGTTCTGGTTACGGGGTGGGGGTTGGGGGGGCTGGTTACAGGGGGGTTGGCGGAAAGATTGGGATTAACCCTCTCTTGCTCTGTGACCGTAGGAACTGCTGTCCTTGGCTAAACGAAAACGCAGCGAGCCTGAGCAGCCAGCCAGTAAACCGTCCGCCTCGTCTGACTCTGAGACCTCAGATAGCGATGATGAGGTGAGTGAGCAGAGAGTGCACACAGCCATCGGATGGGGGCAAGATGGACCCCAGATTACTACCATTTGTCTATTGGAGTTCCGTGTTTGACAACTTCCTGCGATTGGTGGGTGTGGTGGTGAGGGGGTTAGCTCTGGGGGCATTAATGAATGCTGGTTAGTGGGTGTTGGTTCTGGGTGGAGGGGGGGGTCAGCAATGGTGGCTGGTTCCAGGTTCATTGCTAGACTATGAGGGAGATGATGGGTAACCCCCCACCCCGCCCCGCCGCCACAACCCGTATGTTGCAGAGCTGCCTGGTTGCTGGGGGAAGCTGCTGATTGTCTGGCTCTGCTTGCAGTGGACAATGGGAGGCAACAAGAACAAAAAGAAGGGAAAAGCCAAGGGTGGAGACAAGAAAACGGGCAACAAGCGGGCAGTGAGCAAGGCCGCCTCATCCGGCAGCTCCCCCGACAACAGCTCTGCCGAGAGCTCGGCCCCCGAGGAAGGTAAGTCCAGACATGCGCACATACAATACACACACACAAAATATATATATACACACACACACACACTATATACACACATACACACTATATACACACACTATATATATGCACACACACTCACTATATATACGCACACTCACTATATATACACACACGCACATTATATACACACATACACACGTGCAGGTCATGTGCGCGCCATGTAAGTACACATCCACATAGTCCACATCAGCTCAAAGAACCAGACGATCAATTCTCACCGTCTCCCCCCACCCCAGCGCTGTCCTGGCCCACAATCCCCCAGGTTGATCGCCGGTATCATGGCTGGCTGTGCGTGGAGGGGGGTTGGGGAAGGAGATAACTGAAAGTGCAGTCAATGGGGTATGTCTTGAGATGTGATTGAGCAGTGAAGGTGAGCTCTCTCTCTCTGGATACAGCCTTTCCTCTGCTTTTAAATGTTGATCTCTTTGTTTGTTTCTAGGGGAGGTCTCTGACTCCGAGAGCAGCAGCTCCTCCTCCAGCTCCGAGTCTTCATCCTCCTCCGAAGAGGAAGAGTTCCACGATGGCTATGCTGACGACCTGATGGGGGATGAGGAGGACCGGACGAGGCTGGAACAGATGACTGAGAAGGAAAGGGAGCAGGAGCTGTACAACCGGATAGAGAAGAGAGAGGTGCTGAGGAGAAGGTGGGCTTGCATCAGAGTCAGCCAAGAGCTTCTCCTTATCGGCTGTGGGAATCAGCATGTAACTGCTGGTGGCCATAGGATCTAACAACACCAGGAGGAAGAGAGAGGGCTGAGGGCAGACCTGCTGTAAAATGATGAGGGCTTTGATAGTCGATGGGGAGAAGTGATTTCCACTAGTTGATGAGTCAGTGACCCGCGGGACATCGATTTAAGGTATTTTTTAGAGAGAAGAGAAATGTGAGGCTGTGGAATGTGCTCGGAAGGGGGTTAGGAGGTAAGTAGGTTAGATTTTGAAGGAGAATGAAATAGATATATAAAGAGGAATAATGTACAACTGTGTGTGTGAGGGTGGGGGGTGATGGGCAGGTCAGTGGGACTGAATGAATGGTATTTTCACAGACATGATGGGTCAATTGGCTTTCTTTGCTACAAATTGGCCTGACCCAAGCTGGACACAGGTGTGGGCTGACCAGAGCTCAACACTGCACTTTAGGTGTAGGCTGAGCTTTACATAGCTTGAGCCTGGCGTCCTGGCTCTGGGCTGATTTGGTGGTTCAGCCAGGTCCCAACCTGTGCCTCGCAAGGTGTGCTGGGCGGCCATTTCTCTGGTGTTCTGCTCCACATCCCCCGCCCCAACCAGCCTACCATCGGTGGCCGGGCCTTCAGCCTCTCAGCCCCGAGGCTCTGGAACTCTATCCCCCAGTGCCTTCGCCGCTTCCTCCCTTTCCTCCTTCAAGGTCGGTCTCAAGACCTTTCTCTTTGACCGTGCCTTCAGCTCCCCTCTCGACTCTCTACCCCCTCCTCGCTCCCTCCCTCCCCTCCCCTCACCCTGACCATTTCCCCCCCAATGCTCGGGTCCTGACTGAACTGTACAGTGCCTTGGGACGTCCTCCCGACGTGAAAGGCGCTCAATAAATGGAATCTTGTTGTTGTTGAGTGAATTCTTGCACCTTGGGCAGGTTTGAAATTGAGAAGAAACTGAAAGCAGCGAAGAAGAAAGAGAAGAAAGAAAAGAAGAAGAAAATGGAGGAAGAGCGAGAGAAGAAGATGCAGCACATCCAGGAACCCCAGGTGTGTGCCTCCCCAATTAGTCACCCTCCCCCACCTCCGGCCAGGGCATCTTCCCCCCCCTTCGAAACCCCCGTCATCATCATCTTCTCAGATCCCTCCAAAATCCCCACCTGCCCTTCCTGCGTTTCGCCGACAAAATACACAGTCTTTAGAGTAAATGCTGTAAAGGGCTTTGAGACTTTGCGGTGTGATCGAGCGCTGTGCGTGTGTGTGTGTGTGTTGGGGGTGGGTGTGGGGGTGCAAGTGGGATTGGTTGAGGCCCTGTGGGTGGGAGATGCAGTGCTGGTGGTGGGAGTCTGGCTGGGGTATCACTTTGCTACTTGCTCTCAGGTGATGTCGCACAACAAGGAGCGGAGGTTAAAGCGGGTGGAGAAGCAGGACAAGAAATCTCAGGCGATGGAGGAACTGAAGGCTGAGCGGGAGAAGAAGAAAAACAAAACAGGTCAGTTATTCCCCCCGTGTAAACCAGCTGCTTGTGTTACATAGGCTAAGTACAGTGTTCACAGGTCACAAACAGACATATTTGTTGGTGGTGGGGGGAGGGTGGGTGTTGAGACTGTGTATATTCTCGCAGACACAAGTTGTCCGTGTGCTGTTTGAGGCGGGCGGGTGCTGGTTCCACCTGCCGTTCTTCTCCAAAATCATGGGACGCCCCAAGCAGTGATCCATCTCTTGGCTGTTTGTGGTTTGTAGCTGAGCTGTTGGCCAGGAAGCAGCCTCTGAAGGCCAGCGACGTGTACTCAGATGATGAGGAAGAGGAGGAGGAGGAGCAATCCAGTGTGAAGAGCGAGCGATCGTCCAGGTCCTCATCTTCCGACGAGGAGGAAGAGTAAGTGTGCAAGCCGTAGCTCCCTGTGCTCACTGCGATGTGTGTGTAATAACTACTTTGGGACTTTGAGCTCACACCAACAACTACTACTTGTATACAGCGCCCCTCGCACAGGTTAGCGTCCTAGAGCGCTCACAGTCCAGGCTAACTCTCCAACACAGTGCTGGGCTGTGCTGCACTAGTGGAGGTGTGTCCATCACATGAGACATTAAACTGAGGTCCTGTCTGTACCTGTTCAGGTGGATGTTAAAGTTCTTGCAGGGCTATCGGAAAAACCGAAGGGAGTTTGTCTCACCCGGTGCCCAGGCCACAGTCCTGCATGTTAATTGGTCATCTTGCTGTATACAAATTGCTTCTCATTTGAAGAACGGCACCTGTGACAATATGGCGTTCGCCCTACACTGTACTGCACTGGGCTGTGAACTCAACCGCAACAAGGCCTCAACCCATGGCCTAAGCCTGAGCTGTGATGAAGTTGCCGCTTGTGCTGCAGGCTGGAGGGGATATGGCGAGGTGCTGGGGTCTCTGAGCTTTGGCTGACTCTACCTGTGCTTGTCCAGGAAGGAGGAGGTTGCAGCTCGGTCTCTGCCGGTGGGGTTGCCGGAGGAGCTTAACAAGATCCGCCTGTCGCGGTACAAGCTGGAGCGCTGGTGCCACATGCCGTTCTTCTCCAAAACTGTGGTAGGCTGCTTCGTTCGCATCGGCATCGGCAACAGCAAAGGCAAACCGGTGTATAGGGTGAGTGTGTGTATACAGGATGAGTACGTGTGTGTGTGGGTGTGTACTTGTGTGTGTGTGTATATATAATATATATATACATTTTATATATATATATATATATATATACAGCATGAGTACTGAAGAGGCAAAGGCAAACCGATGCATAGGGTGAGCGTGTGTGTACACAGGTGATAGTACCTGTGTGTGTGTGTGTGTGTGTGTGTACAGGGTGAGTACCTGTGTGTGTAGGGTGAGTACCTGTTTGTATGTGTGTGTGTGTGTGCAGGGTGAGTACCTTTGTGTGTGTGTGTGTGTGTGTGTGTGTGTGTGTGTGTGTGTGCAGGGTGAGTACCTTTGTTTGTGTATGTGTGTACAGGGTGAGTACCTGTGTGTGTGTGTGTGTGTACAGGGTGTGTACCGAAGAGGGAGTGGTTGGCAGGTTTAATGTCTCATCCGAAGGACGACAGCCCTTGACAATGCGGCATTCCAGCAGCCTAGACTCTGAGCTCAGAGGCTGCGACATGGGGCTCAAACTCACAACCTCCTGATCCGAGGCGAGTGTGAGGCACGTGATGTGATGGGTGCAAGGGCGGCTGAGCTTTGGGCTGTGATGTAGTGACTTGCCACTGTGGGCTCTATGTAAATGTCTGGCTGTTGTTCCCTGCAGGTAGCAGAGATAACAGGTGTGGTGGAAACTGGAAAAGTCTACCAGCTTGGGAGCACACGGACCAACAAAGGACTCCAGCTGCGGTGAGTGACGGCTGGATGACAGGTTTCGCCCATATCATACACAGTCACGACACTTTACGGTATATCTTGTGAAGCGCTTTGACATGTCTCAACAACGTGATACGGCGCTATATCAAATGCAAGGATCATCATAATTTTACTCTTAAAGAGCAGCGCAGTCACTAATAATAATAATCATTTCATTTGATACAGCGCCTTATCACGCCGTTGAGACATCTCAAAACACTTCGCAGAATACACTGTAAAGTGAATTGACTGTGTATTGTGTGGGCGAGCAAAATGGGGCAGCCAATTGCGCACAATCTTGTTGAGAAGCAGCGGTGAGGTGCTGTGTGTGGGGGCTGTGTCTGGGCTGACTGCACGTGTGGGGGCCGATAGGGTGCGCGTGGGTGTTGTGTGGTGGCTGACAGTGCTGTGTGGTTTGCGTAGACACGGCTCAGACGAGCGGGTATTCCGGCTGGAGTTCGTATCAAACCAGGAGTTCATGGAAACCGAGTTCATGAAGTGGAGGGAGACGGTGAGCACTCTCTTTACTGTTTATATTTCATTCTGATCGCAGCACCACTGGAGCTTTCTAATCCCTTTCCCTGCTCTTCCCCCCATTGTGTCTCTGCTGGTACTCGCTCGGTGTGTGGGGTGGGGGGGTTTGGCAGGGGTTGTGGTCGGTGACCCTGAGACTGACCGTGTTGGTGCTGTTGGCAGATAATGATGGGAGGAATGCAGTTACCGACTATGGATGAAATTAACAAGAAAGAACAACAGATCAAACAAGCCCTGGAGTATAAATTTAACGACCAGGACATTGAGGAGGTCAGTGCCGTCGCCTGTGTATTTCCCTGTGGCCTGTTCTGTGCTAAACCGGACTCCTTTCTGAGGACTTTTAACTCAAATGATGGAAAAAAAGAATCCTCACAGTCCAGTCTGTCTATGCAAGGTAGTGCTGGGGTGGGGGAGAGCTGCTCTGTCAGATGAGACATTAAACCGAGGTCCCGTCTGCCTGTTCAGGTGGATGCTGTTGCAAAAGAGAAGGGAGTTTCTCTCTCGTGGTGAAGTGAGCCCTTCACAGAATTTACTGTAAAGTGGTGACCGTGCATTCACTTCCCGGCTGTTTGTGGGATGCGGTTGTATGTAATTTGGCTGTCCAGCTCTCCCACCGTGTCTACCACGTGAATGATGGGAGAACACGCAGTCACTACACTTCGCAGTAAATCCTCCCGGGGAGTGCTGGGGCAAGGGCTATCCTCCTGAGGTGACAGGCTCTGGGGTGCGGGTGTATTGACCTCCCGGTTTATTGCATCCGCTGTGAATTTTCAGATTGTGAAGGAGAAGGACCGTTTCCGGAAAGCTCCGTCTAACTACGCCATGAAAAAGACACAGCTCATGAAAGAGAAGGTGAGAAGGGGAAGCTTCGACTTGGGAGGTGGATTCCCTCTGTAATCCGTGTGCAACTGATTGCGGCTTTTCTCTCAGCTCAGTGAGGCTTTGCTAAAGGGCTGGGATAGGACCAGAGAACATGTAACACACAGACTGAGGCGGCCACTCACTGCTGTCTTGAGGGAGGAGGAGGTGTCTGCTGGCCGGGGGGGGGGAGGCGTCTGCTGGCCGGGGCGGGGGAGGCGCCCGCTGGCCGGGGGGGGAAGGCGCCTGCTGGCTGGCGAACGGCAGGAGGTGCCCGCTGGCTGACGGGCAGCAGGAGGTGACTGATTGGCTGTGTTGCAGGCTATGGCGGAGGAGGCGGGGGAGCAGGACAAAGCGCGGCAGATCCAGGAGCAGCTGAACGAGCTGGAGGAACGAGCGGAGGCTCTGGACAGGCTGCGAACCAAGAACATCTCTGCCATCAGGTCAGGGGTAGGGGCTGTGCTCGGGGGCGGGTGAGGGGGGCAACTTGTAATTGTGTAGAGGGCACTGGAGTGTGGAGGATATTAACACTCTATATAACACCCCCCACACACTGCTCTTGTAATTGGACGATGTAGCTTTGCCAAGTGATTTCTGATCCTTCTTTGTCTTCAGTTACATAAACCAGAGGAACAGGGAGTGGAACATCGTGGAGTCTGAGAAGGCTTTACTGGTGAGCATGTCTGTATGTGTGTGTGTGTGTGTGTGAGGGGGGTTCCGCCCTGCCGGGGCGCTATATGCTGTTGTTCTGGAGAAGCTGGTGCTTGATTGGTGTCAGTGAGGTGGGGGGGTGGGTGGCTGTGAGATGGGGACAGGCGATGGCAAAGCTGCAATAATCGATGTGTAGAGGCATCAACAAGCCAGGAGGAGGTGGGTACAGGTGTTAGCAGGATCTCTAACAAGTGATACACACAGGCGCAATCAGGTTTCCAATAACAGGTTGTCAGACTCCACCACTGGCAAGAACTTCAGGACGCTACCACGTGTGAAGGACACTACAGAAATGCAATTTGTTGTTGTGAATGCAGCCAAGTCTCCAATAAGGGGTTACTGGGGAGTCACAGTCAGAGATGGTACAGGGGTCAGCGAGTCTCTGATGGGTAATGTGATGTGTTTGCCTGTGGTTGGCCTGCTCGCTGCTCACCTGCTTGTGCTCTTTCCACAGGCTGAGGTCCAGAATGAGAAATTTAAGCAGATGGATCCCTTCACCCGACGTCAGTGCCAGCCCACCATTGTCTCCAACGTAAGGCTGATTCCCTTTTCTCCCAACTCAGTGCTCATGCCTGTGCCTGGCCCTCTGTGGCCCTGTGCCTGGCCTGGCTCTCTGTGGCTCAGTGCCTGGCCCTCTGTGGCTCAGTGCCTGTGCCTGGCCCTCTGTGGCTCAGTGCCTGGCCCTCTGTGGCTCAGTGCCTGTGCCTGGCTCTCTGTGGTTCAGTGCCTGACCCTCTGTGGCTCAGTGCCTGTGCCTGGCTCTCTTTGGCTCAGTGCCTGGCCCTCTGTGGCTCAGTGCCTGTGCCTGGCTCTCTTTGGCTCAGTGCCTGGCCCTCTGTGGCTCAGTGCCTGGCCCTCTGTGGCTCAGTGCCTGTGCCTGGCTCTCTGTGGCTCAGTGCCCATGCTTGGCTCTCTGTGGCTCAGTGCCTGTGCCCATCAGTGTCTATGTGCTTCCTCCTACAGTCCCGGGATCCCGCTGTCCAGGCTGCTATCATTGCTCACTTGAATGCAAAGTATGGGTCCGGATCACAGGCTGACTTGCCTATGGAATTAAACAAATCGGTAAGCACGGCGATTATTTGCTCTTTAATAAAAATAATAATAATAATACTTGCATTTTGTATAGCGCCTTATCATGTCTTCGAGACGTCTCAAAGCGCTTCACAGAATATACTGTAAAGTGAATTGACTGTATACATTGTGGGTGAATGCGGCAGCCAATTGTGCACAGCAGTGTCCCACAAACAGTCGTGGATTGAGTAACTATTATATTTAATTTTTTAAGGGGTTTATTACCTTTATTTCCTAGTTTGATCTGAAAATTCTCTGGGTTTGTGAGCTTGTGTTGCTGTGACGCCTCTCCTGTCAGAGGCGAAGGCAACGGGCGCTGTTGTGAGGAGAGAGGAGGTCAGAGAGGTAGGGGGGGGGGTGCAGAGGAGTGGAGGGATTTGAAGACAAAGGTGAGGATCTTGAAGTCGATCCTCTCTGGGACAGACAGCCAGTGCAGTCTGACTAAGGCTGCGCCTGCTTATAAATGGCAGACAGTTCATGGTGACACACCCTGTCACCTCTCTTTACACAGCATCTTCATCTAAGCCTGCCTCAGTCACATACTCTCACCTCCCAGTTGGACAGTCCAAACTGAGCTCACAGACAAGCTGACCCTCGGGCAGTGCTGCATTGGCAGATGAGACATTTAATCCGAGGTCTCATCTGGCTGTTCAGGTGAATATTAAAGATCCTGCTGCACTATTCGAGAAAGAGAAGGGAGTTTCTCTCTCCCGGTGTCCTGGCCAACAATCCCCCAAATAAAACTGTTCACTCACTGTTTGTGTGCAAATTAGCTGCCGCATTTGGCTGCAAAATACACAGTCACTACACTTTATAGTAAATCCTGTGAAACACTTTGAGATGTTTCATCAACGGATAAGGCGCTGTATAAAATGCTGAGGCAGGAGAGCTGGGTTGGCTGATCTTTGGTGGAGAGGAACAGGGCAAAAAAGGGCTCTGGACAGCTCTTTGCTGCCTCCTCGCCCTCTTTAATACAATCTGGCAGGGAATCTGGGGCAGGACTGGAGCTCCCACTGCCTGTTGAGAGGAGCTTTGTTTGGTCAGTGACCGACACGTGTGTGTGTGTGCGTGTGCGCAATGAGTCCCTGCCTGTGTGTATGGGGTGAGCCACTGTCTGTGTGCAGTGAGTCCTTGTGTGGGCACGCGCATGTGCAGTGAGCCCATATGTGTGTGTGCGTGTGTGTGCAGTGAGACTCTGCCTGTTCAGTAGGCCAAGGATCTCTGTGCCGGTGCTGTTTGTATTTAACCCCGGTGTGTGTCCGCAGGATCAGGGAGGCAGCAAGGAAAAGGACAGCAATGCGAAGTCCAACTCCGATCTCTCTGAGGACCTCTTCAAAGCACATGACTTCGACATCAAGATTGATCTGCAGGTGCCCAACGCAGGTCAGTCATAGCCATCCCGGGTCCCAGCCAGGGGGAGCGCGGGTCCCAGCCGGGAATGGGGGCGCGAGTCCAAGCCAGAGGTAGAGCAGAGCTGAGCCGGGGAGGGCAGGGTCCAGCAGGGGGAGGCGAGGGAGGGAGAGAGAGAACAGGGACCAGTCTGGGGACGAGCCCGAAACAGGGAGAGGGCCAAACGTTTTACAGTGCGTGCTGGGCTGGGAAGCGCTATGAGATGTCCTCCCAACGAGAAAGACTGTACTTAATGTCAGCTAATTATTTACATTGGCCCCAAGCACTGTGTGTCAGCTCCTGCACCACCAACAACAACTACTTGGATTTATATAGCGCCCTCCACGCCGGACGGCGTCTCAGAGCGCTTCACAGTAACGGGGGGAGGGGGAGGAAGGTGACCACAGGCGCAGTCGAAAAGAAAGGTCTTCAGCTGAGACCTAAAAATAGGAAGAGAAGGGGCGAGGCGAAGGGAGTGAGGAAGGGAGTTCTAGAGCCTCGGGATGTAGTGTAGTGGCACGGCCGTCGAGGGTGGAGCGGAGGATTCAGGAGACGAGGAGGCCAGACCTGGTAGAGCGAAGGGAACGGGCGCTGTTGTTAGGAGAGAGGAGGTCAGAGAGGTCGGGGGGTGCAGAGGAGTGGAGGGATTTGAAGACAAGGGTGAGGATCTTGAAGTTGATCCTCGTTGGGACAGGCAGCCAGTGCAGTCTGGCAAGGACTGGTGATTGGGGAGCGAAGTTTGGTGCAGGTAAGAATTGTGTGCGGCAGAGTTTTGGATGAAACCACCTTCTCCTCTTTGCAGAATCCAAATCGCTGTCTGTCAGCAACAAGACTCCGTCTGTCAAAGATGGCACTCCCCGGCGCTCCCTCAACCTGGAGGACTACAAGAAGCGCAGAGGACTCATCTGATCCGCCCGCCAGCCTGCCCGGGCTGACTGCTGCATGTGCCCTGAAAGCTGGGAGCCGCGGGCGGGCGGGCGTGCAGGAGGACTCTCGGCCAGCCCTCTCTGGCTGTGTGACCAGAGGGGAAGGTAGCCACTGTATAAAAACCCCCCACACATTTTGGTGATTTTTATTTTATTTCTTAGTAAAACTGAGTTGAGTGCTGCTTTCTGTCCCTTTCCTTTGTGCTTTTCCCCCTATGTATAGTAAATCTGCTCTGTACATCGCGGTTCGTACTTTTTTATCAGGTTTGGGATTGATGTTAAATACCTGAGGAGCAGTGGGGTTTGTGTAGATCCTGAACTCCCACCCCTCACAACACTTACACAATGGTGCTCACTCAGATCAGTGAGGTCCCTCTCTCCGCCTGTTTTTCGTGAATGTTCAGCACCAAAAAATACTGCATTCATTGACAGCCTGAGGGCCAGGGCCCCCACAGTGACAGCCTGGGAGCCTAGTTACCGGGCTTTTTAAACGAACAAAATGCTGTGTATCACGTCTCAGAGAAATAGTTTGTCTGATAGCAACTGGCCTCAGTGTTTGCAACCTGTTGACTGTCCACCTACACAGACACAACACACACCTACACAGACACAGCACACACCTACACACACAACACACACCTGCACACACACCTACAGATACGCACACCTAAACATACAGACACACACACCTCAACAGACACACGCAACACACACCTACACAGACATACGTACAACACACACCTACAGACGCATACACACCTACACACGCGCACAGTACACACCTACATACACACCTACACAGACACACGCACAACACACCTGCACACATGGGTGTAGGATGATTTTGTGTTGAATTCTTGTGAAAAGCCAGCTGCCTGTTAGTTTTGAGGCTTGCTTGGCCATTTTGTAAATAAACCATTGTTCATATGCAGCGTTGTGGGAGTGTGGTGAGGGCATTCTAGGGTGGGCGGTGGGAGAGTGGGGGGAATGATGGCGGGGGGTATTCCCTGGGAGCGGGGGGAATGATGGCGGGGGGTATTCCCTGGGAGCGGGGGGTATTCCCTGGGAGCGGGGGGAATGATGGCGGGGGGTATTCCCTGGGAGTGGGGGGAATGATGGCGGGGGGTATTCCCTGGGGGAGTGGGGGGAATGATGGCGGGGGGTATTCCCTGGGGGAGTGGGGGGAATGATGGGGAATGATATTCCAGGGAGGGGAAGAGTGATGGTGAGGGCAACATTGGGCTCTGTGGATATTCTGGTTCTAGTGTAAGATAACTAGTCTACTCCCCACCTCCCCCGTTGCTTAGGGCCGTGCAAATTTACTGGGCAGAGGGTGGCCATGTGGGCAGGGGGAGGGCGATGGGCAGCAGGACGTTGGTTGGAACCGTGTTGGACTGTAACCGGAAGTGACTGTTGCTAGGTGACAGACTGTTTGTGTACAATCTCAGGTGAGAGAAAGAGACCGAGAGAGAAATGGAGACGAGAGACTGTGAGCAAGTGGGAGTCTGAGAGATTGGGAGAGAGAGAGAGTGAGTGAGTGCGTGAGAGAGAGAAACAGAGAGAGAGAGAGCGAGTGGGCGAGAGAGACGGAGAGAGAGTGAGTGTGCGAGAGAGAGACGGAGAGAGAGTGAGTGTGTGGAGTGAGTGTGTGAGAGAGAGATGGAGAGAATGAGTGTGCGAGAGAGAGAGACGGGGAGAGAGTGAGTGCGCAAGAGAGAAAGACGGTGAGTGTGTGAGAGAGAGAGAGAGAGAGAGACAACAACAAAATTCATTTATAGAGACGGCGAGAGAGTGAGTGAGTGTGAGAGAGACAGAGAGGGTGTGAGTGAGACGACACTGAACTCAAGAGAGACCGTATGAAGTGTGGGTGGGCCGCCAGAGGCAGGCGGAGTCGCTCCTTGTTTAGTGTGAGGTGACAGCCGTGGATGGGCCCCTCTGCGGCTCCGCCAGCGACAGACGAAGAGGTGGGGGCCGTCCGGGCTGTGCCCCCAGCTGATGGTCATGGTGAAGAAGTGGCTGAAGGCGGAGGGGGGGGAGAGGCCGAGGGCCGAGCAGAGACCCTCAGACCCTGGGGCCGACCAGGCTCCTGACCCAGCCCTCGGCAGCTTCAAACAGCGGCTGCGTGAAGCCTACGTGAAGACGGCTTCCCTTGCCCTCAGCTTCTCGGAGGACGTGGTGGAGGCCCGGGGGCCGGACGCGCTCCCGAGCCGCCCCTGGGACCCGAGCCGCGTCTTCGACCCCGGGGACGTGGTGCCGCGGGCAGGGTTGGCGAGAAGCCGCAGGCCGCGGGCAAGGACGCGGAGGGTGGGTTTTCCCTCCGTGGCTGACGCCGGGCAGGGGCAGGCGAGGGGGTCTCGCCCCGCCTCCGGCACCGAGCAGCCGGCCGGCGCGGAGCCCGAGTGCCAGGTCCTGGAGGCCGGGGAGGAGGAGTACAGCCTCACGGCGATGCTGTCGGAGCCTGGCGACCAGGACCAGCTGCGTGGCCGCTCGGAGAAGTGGGACGAGTATCTGGTGAAGAGGCTGAGCAAGAACACAGCGCAGTGGTTGGTCAGTCACCGGGTCCCCCCCGGCCCAGCCCGGACCAGGCTCAGCGCCCTCCTCATGCAGCGCTATGGCTCGGCCAGCACCGTGGGGCTGGTGACTAACGAAAGGATGAGCCAGAGCGATTTCGTCCTTTACCAGCAGCGGCCAGCGGCGGTGAGCGAAGAAGCACTGTCTGTGCAGCCACCGCTCCCAGAGATGGGGCTGCCCACCTACTACAGGTAACAGCACAGCACTGCCAATCCCCCAGCACAGCTTGGACCAACATAGCACAGCCCCCCCCCCCAGCATAGCACAGCACAGCCAAACCGCCAGCACGGCACTGCCAAGCCTGGCACAGCCCAACCCCCAGCCTGGCACAGCCCAACCCCCAGCCTGGCACAGCACAGCACAGAATATCAGGTCCTGTTCTGCGTCTCTCTGCTTGTTTCTTTCTGTGGTCTGTGTGTGTGTGGGTGTGCGTGCGTGTGTGTGTTTGACTCTCCCTGTTCCTGATGCCCGACAGGGTGCCCGGCTTTGAGCAGACACAGAGTGCAGACGAGGAGCCGGGGGGGGTGAACCAGACGGCTGCCGGACTGATGGTGAAGCATTTCGACCCGTCCACCCCAAAGAAAAGGGACACCAGCCCCAGGCGCCATGACTACAACTTCATCTCTGACAACCAGTTTCAGCAAGAGCTGTACTCTGGTAAGGTTACACACACACACACACACACAGTGAATGTAATAATAATACTAATAATAATCCTTGCATCTGATATAGCGCTTTTCACGTCGTCTCGACGTCTCAAAGCGCTTCACAGAATAGACCGTAAAGTGAATTGACCGTATATTTGTGGGCGAAACGCAGCAGCCAATTGCACACAGCAATGTCCCACAAACAGTCGTGGATTGAAAATGACCAATTTATTATTGTTTTTGGTTTTGGAGGGATTATTATTAGGCTCTGTGTGGGGTAAGGAAACTTGCCCAAGGTTTCGCCCTCTGCCTGGAATTGAACCCAGGTGTCTCGCTTGCGAGGCGAGTGCTCTAACCACTGAGCTACAGGACTCCACACACACACACACACACACACACACACACACACAGTGAACACACACCCACAGCGAACACTAATATACACGCACATACAGTGAACATACACTCACATAGTCAACACTCATATACACACACACACACACACAGGGTGATGGAGTGTGGTGCTGTGTGCCGGTGTGCGACTGTGAGTGATGGTGTGTTGAGTGTGACGGAGTGAGTTTGATAGTGACAGGGTGATGGTGTGTGACAGTGTGTGACGGTGGGATGCTGGGTCACGGTATGACGGGGTGTGACGGTGTGTGCTGCAGGTAAGGTGAAGATGGTTCACCGCGGCCACAGATACAGGAACCGGATCCTGATGGACAATTACTCCGAATACAAGAAAAACTTGCAGGTGATGTTCCCACAATCACCAGCGAACTGGCGTCCCCAACAGCCTGGGCACGAGGGACTTCTGAGCACAGGTGCGGGGGCGGGGGTGAGGGGAGCGGGCTGGGCGTGATGGGGCAAATGTTTGGGGGGGTGGGGGCTATCTGTGTGTGTTTTTGGAGGTGTGGGTTGGGGGTTGTTTTCGGGGCATCCAGGGTTGTGTGGGGGGTTTGTGTGTGGGCTGGGTTGGGGGACGTTGGGCTGTGGGAGAGATTGTTTGGGGGCGGGAGGGAGTTGGAGGGAGGGGTTGGAGGTGTTTTGGGCAGGTCTCCACAGATGCTGTGGCTGCCGGGATAACGTCTCTGTGCCCCATCCACCACCAGGCCCGCAGCGGGTGGAGCGAGGCGCCCAGCGCTGGAAGGCGCTGCCCACGTTGGCCAATTACACCTCGGAGTCAGGCCTCAGGCCCCCCGAACCCCAGGTCGGACTCAAACACCTGAAGGTCATTCGGGAGCCCTACCAGACTTGGGAGGAGCTGCACACCCTCGCCCACACCCTCGAGGAGTGGAGGAGAGCCTGGAAAATAAGTAAAGTGACCACCGCCCCCGCCCCCCCCCCCACCACCACCACCACCCAAACTCTTCCACATAACTCGCCCCCTCGCATAACCCCCCCAGCATAACACCCGCCGCACATTCTCCCCTCTTCGCACCCTCCATCCCCCCTCTGTAGCCATGTGATGATGGGGCGAGTGATGTGCTTCTGTTCTCCTGGTTGCTCTGCAGACTCTCGCTGGCAGGATGTGACTGTGGAAAGTTTGAAGAGGGACCTCGAGTCACTGTACTACCACATCCAAGTCATCGCCTTAGCAACCTGTGCCAACGCAGCTGTCAACAGGCCCAAGATCATCAATGTAACAGGTTTACAACCTTTTTCCCCCCCCCCCCCCCCTAGCAGTGCAGGTCACACCTGGAAGGCTTAAACCCATTAACCCTGCAAGCCAGGGTTGGGTTGGGTGGTCCTCGCCGGACGAGCAGCGGGAAAGCTGGCCAGACAGCGATACCAATGGCAGGCGATGAGGGTTTAGCTGGTTAGACTCCAGCAGTTACCCCAACACACACTCCGGGTGGTGTTACCCCAACACACACCTTGCCAACCTACGCCAAATACTCTCCAGGATTAGGTGATCCCTCCGCCACCACCCACCCCCTCCCACCCCCGCAGGCTATGTGACCCCCCCCGCCCCGCTGCCTCCCCCACCGCAGGCTGTCTGACCCCCCACCCCCATTCCCCGCAGGCTATGTAACCCCCTGCAGCCCCCTCCCCCCCCACAACTATCTGACCCACTCACCTCTTCTCCCCCCACCCCGCCACTCCCCCGCAGGCTATGTGAGAATGCAAGCGAAGGTGGAGCCAGTGCCGGTTGAGCTGTGGCCGCTAATCGCGGAGGCTCTGAACAGCTGCAACACACACGTGCAGATGGCCGCAGCCCTGTGCCACGCTGTGGTGGGCGACATTAACCCGCAGACCGAGGCCATCCTCCAGGAAGCTCTCCACCGTGGTGAGTAGCTCACACACTACTTTCCCCCCTCTCTCGCCACCTCCCTCTCTCACTCACTGACTCACTCCCTCTCTCACTCACTCGCTCAATTACTCATTCACTCACCCACTGCTTGTTAGCCCCAGGCATTCCTGTGGAAGGTGCTGTGCAGGTATCTGTCAGACAGATTGTGTGTATATCAGGCTGACTGTGTGTGCGTGTGTGTCAGGCTGACTGTGTGTGTGTGTTTCAGGCTGACAGTATGTGTGTGTCAGGCTGACTGTGTGTGTGTGTGTCAGGCTGACTGTGTGTGTTTGTGTGTCAGGCTGACAGTGTGTGTCAGGCTGACTGTGTATGTGTATGTGTGTGTCAGGCTGACAGCGTGTGTGTGTCAGGCTGACAGCGTGTGTGTGTCAGGCTGACAGCGTGTGTGTATGTGTGTGTCAGGCTGACAGCGTGTGTGTGTCAGGCTGACTGTGTATGTGTATGTGTGTCGTGACAGGGAACGAGGCTGATCGCTGGGCTGCGGCACAGTGCCTGGCTCTGAAAGGTGACAGTAGTTACCTGGTGGTGAGCTGCCTGGTGAAGCGTCTGTTCGACAGCCCGTGGCCGGGCACTGTGGAGCAGTGCTGTGTCATCCTGGGGGAGCTCAGCAAACACACCGTACGTACCCCACCCCACATCCACACACACACACCTCTCTTTCTCACACACACACAAACACCTCAGACATCTGTTCTGACGAAGGGTCCTGGACCCGAAATGTTGACTCACTTTCCTTTCTTCATAGATGCTGCCTGACCTGCCGAGCGGTCCCAGCTCTCTCTGTGTTTGTCACAGACGCATCCCCACCCCCACACACATGCACCTTTCACACCTGCTTCAAGACCCGTCTCAAGACCCTCTTCGACCGTGCCTTCGATCACCCTCCTTCCGACGTCCCCCCCCCCCTCCTCCACACTCCCCGATCCCGACCTCTGCTCCGAAAGATTGATTGTCCAGCGCCTTGGGACGTCCTCCTGACGCGAAAGCCGCTTTACAAATGTAATTTTGTTGTTGTTCTGACTCAGAGATGAGCGTGCGAGTGGCTGAGCCGGGCTGACAGACAAACAGCGTACTAACACCCCACTTTGCCCAACCCCCGCCCGCGCACACGCCTCCCCCACCCCCACCCACACTCGTTCGGTGTGCCAGGGTGAGTTACTGTAGTGTAGTGACTGTCTTCTCTCACAGACGCTCGTGCACACGCTATTGGCTGATGAGCTGAACAGCAGTAACTGGAGAAGTAAAGTTTTGACCTTCAGTGTGCTGTCCCGGCTCAATGGGCACATCAACCAGGTGGGTGTCACCATCCCTTCCCGCCAGACTGCACCACACCCTCGCCAGAGTTACGCAGCAGGGTGCAGCCCTCCAGGGGGCAGGGGCTGTTCCAGACACGGGGATTTCCATTTGTGGCTGGCACACGTGAGTTCACACGCGTCACACACTGTCGGTGTGTGTGATGGGTTTCCACGTGTGTCAGACACACATTCACAATTGATCACAGTAATGGGTTACATTACAAGGAAGTTCTTGAGCTGTTTCAGGGAGTGGGGGCAGAAAGGCTGAAAGCCCGACTCCCCTCGGTGAGATCCAGCCTGTCACTCTGCCAGAGGCTCGATCAGAGATGAGCTTTTAAGAGGGTTTTGAAGTCGAGAGAGAAGTGCAGTGAGGGGATTGGGAGTAAAGGTGGCTGAAATCTCGGGCGCTGATGGTGAGGATGAGGAATGAGGAGAGGTGTGTGTGTGTGCACTGAACTGGTTGTGTGTACACTGAGCTGTGAGAGCTCGCACTGAAGTGAGTGAATGTGCGCTGCGCTTTGTGAGCGTACGCTGAGTGTGTACTGTGTGTGAGCTGTGTGAGTGTACACTGAATGTCTGAGTGTACAGTGAGTGAGCGAGCGAACACTGAGTGTGTAAGCTGTTGGCACCGTTTGCAGGATCTGACCAACAAGATGGTTTACCTGATGTGGAACGACTGGAACAGCCACGTGCGTCAGGCGGCTGCCAGCTCCCTGGGGGCCCTCGGGCTGGGCAAGGTGGTGCACGATCAGCTCCGGTACGTTGGTGGGGCGTGGGGGGGGGGAGGGCCACGGTGTTTTGTGTGTGTTGCGTTGGAGTACGTGTAGGGTGTGTATTGTTGGGGTGTGTGTGAGACTGACTGGCTGTGTGTGTGCTTGTGGGGGGTATTGTGTGCGCGTGACTGTCTGTGTGTGTATTGTTGGTGTGTAGGGCCATTATAATAATAATAATCCTTACCTTTGAGGTAGCGCCTTATCACGTCTTCGAGACGTCTCAAAGTGCTTCACCGAATATACTGTAAAGTGAATTGACTGTATATATTTGTGGGTGAAACGCGGCAGCCAATTGCTCCCAGCAGCGTCCCACAAACAGTCGTGGATTGAGTGACCAAATTATTATTATTATTTATTTTTGAAGGAATTATTACCCTCGGAAAAGTGATCCACCAATCGAATAGCAACCGGGTTCCTCCTTACTGCTAGGTGTGTGGAGTAAGGAAACTTGCCCAACAGTCAACCCAGGTTTCTCGCTTGTGAGGCGAGTGCTCTAACCATTGAGCTACAGGACTCCAAATTGTATTTTGTGTGTGTGTGTGTGTGTGAGTGAGAGACTGACTGTGTGAGTGTTGTTGGGCGTATAGGGGGTATATTGTGTGTGTGTGTGTGTGGTACTGACCAGTGCCTTTCCCACCCCAGGCAGCGGCTGGAGAATGGCAGTAATCGGGTGCGTGTGGAGGCGTTGGCACACCTGGGGCAGCTGGGGATGCTGTCGGGGAAGCTGCTGGGGCCCTTCCTGCGCTGCTTCAGTGATGACTTCAACGGGGTTCGGCGCGAGGCCTGCCTGACCGCCACGGCTCTGCGTGTGAAGGACCAGCGGGTAGGAGGGCAGAGGGAGAGGCATTGGAGTGGGGGCATGGGTGGGAGAATGGGGAAGGGGTGGGAGGATGGGGGCGAGGGGAGCAGCGATTGGGCGGCGAGGGAAGCAGCTAACTATTGGGCGGTATTGGGGGTGGGGGATTAGGGGGAACGGGTAGCAGGAGGAGTGGGCGGTCTGGGCTGGGGGCTGACTCTGATCTGGTATCTGCAGGTTCTCTTTCAGCTGAAGCGACTGATACAGTCAGACCCTGTGTGGACTGTCAAAGCGTACGCTATCAAAGGTGAGAGATTCCCCCGCCCCCCCCCCAAGCCCTGGTACATAGATTGGAGTGGGAGGATTCCCTGCCCCCAGCGAATGGTCTGCCCTTCCAAGTCCTGCCAATGAGCCAGACTGGGCTGTGTTGCCATCATCAGTGCCATGGAATACTACGGACCCATCTGGCTCAGAAAGTGAACTGGAGGCTGATCCAGAGGGCTGACTCGATTCTGCCATTCCATGGCCAAGCTTGTCACCCTGAAGCCAGTTCGGTCCTGTGGAGAACCCTTCCCCACCCCCCGCCGCCCAAGTTAACCACGGTGGGAAAACCAGTAACAGCAAAAGCAAACCCAGAACAAGGCTGGGACCTGCCTGGGACACATGATAGAATCATAGCACAGAAGGAGGCCATTCAGCCCATTGTGAACGTGCCGGCTCTTTGGAAGAGTCACCTCTCGCCTGCTCTTACCTGCTCATAGCCCTGCAATTGTTTTCGTTTTTAAATACCTATCTAATTCCCTTTTGAAAGCTACTATCGAATCTGCTTCTACCACCCTTGCAGGCAGTGCATTCCAGACCGTAACAACACTCTGGGTTAAAAAAATTCACATCTTCCCTGGTTCTTTTGCCAATCATCTTAACTCTATGTCCTCTGGTTACCAACCCACCCACAGAGGAAACAGTTTTCCCCTGTCTACTCTATCAAACCCCTCCTCATTTTGAAAACCTCTAAATCTTCCCTCAAACTTCCCTGCTCTATAATAATCCTTGCATTTGACACAGAGCTTTTCACGTCTTCTAGACGTTTCAAAGCGCTTGACGGAATATACTGTAAAGTGAATTGACTGTATATTTGTGGGCGAAACGCGGCAGCCAATTGCGCTGTTACAATATTTACAATAGCTGTCAGAGCTCGTACAGCTTTCAGAAATGGAGTTTAGAGTCCGCTGTGTGCTGGGCCTCAAAAGCGTTCTTTTCACATTCTTTATTTTTGGGGTTAAATGTAAACTGCTTACAGTGCCCAGTTTTCTGATTGCTGGATCAACAGGAGCACACGGCTGATAATTTAAACTCTTCTGTTTCCAGTTTTGTCAGGGAGTTAGACAAGGGATCGTCAGAAGAGTTTTTTTGAACCTTGTAGTTTTCCTTCTCTGCTTTTCCTTCAAACAACCGGATTTCAGCTCCCAAAAGAGCATGGTCTTTTACAACACAGACCAACTCAAAGATACGGAGATGCAATTATAGGCTATAGTCCACGCCTCAAATAAACGCTGCAAATAGAATTTATGGTTCAGAATTCTCCACACTTCCAAATTATGAAACATCAAAAGTCACCTTACCATGAATTAATTCATTGCTGAAATTTTAAGACAGTCTTAAACATTATACTTTTCTTTCCCCGCCTTTATATCTCCTTCCTATTTTCTTTGTATTGTTATCACTTAATCTCAGCCACATTAGCCACTTAGTCTCGCCACATAATTGTAGTTCTTCATCTCTGGTATCATTCTTGTAAATTTTCTCTGCACCCTCTTCCAAGGCCCTGACATTCTTCCAAAAGTGTGGTGCCCCAAAATTGGACACGTTACACCAGCTGAGGCCTAACCAGTGACTTACAAACTTCCTTGCTCTTGTACTCTATGCCTCTGTTTATAAAGCCAAGGATCCCATAAGCATTTTTGAACAGTTTTGTCAACTTGTTTTGTCACCTTCAAAGGTTTGTGTATGTGAACCCCCAGTCTCTCTGTTCCTGCACCCCTTTTAAATTGTACTATTTGTCTTATATTGTCTCTCTTCATTCCTCCTCCCAAAATGGATCACTTTACACTTCTCTGCATTAAATTCCATCTGCCATGTGTCTGCCCATTTCACCAGCCTGTCTGTGTCCTATCGTCTGCTACTATCCTCAATATTTACTATGTTTCCAAATTTTGTGTCATCTGCGAACTTTAAAATGTTCTCTATACCCAAGTCCAGGTCATTAATATATATTAATAAGAGCAGTGGTCCTAATACCAAACCCTTGGGGACACCACTATATACCTCCCTCCAGTCTGAATGACAACCATTCACCGCTACCCTCTGCTTTCTGTCTCCCAGTCCATTTCAGATCCAGGCTGCTGCTGTTCCCTTAATCCCATGATTTTAAATTTTGCTAATTAATCTATTATGTGGGACTTTACCAAACGCCTTTTGAAAGTCCATACGCACAACATCAACTGCAGTACCTTCATCAAAGAAGTCAATCAAGTTAATTAGACATGATTTGCCTTTAACAAATCTGTGTTGGCATTCCTTTATTAATCCATGTTTTTCCAACTGAAAATTTATTAAGTCCCGGATAGTGGTTCATCCCACCGACGTTAGGCTGACTGGTCTGTAGTTATCAGGTATATCCTTTTTTGAACAGGGGTGTAACATTCACAACCCTCCAGTCCTCTGGCACCACTCCCATGTCAAAGGAGGATTGAAAGTTTGTGGCCAGAGCCTCCGCTATTTCCACCCTTCCAGACCAGGTGACTTTTTTTTACCTATGAGCGCTGACAATCTTTTCAGTACCTCCTCTCTATCTATTTTTATTTCATTGAATTTCTCTATCCCCTCATTTACTGTGACATTATTAATTATTACTCATTACTGTGACATTACTGTGACTTGTATTAATTCAGTGTATGTGAAGGCTAAGCAAGGAGAACTTGTGAATATAGTGGGCCATTTTGCTTTTCAGCCTACTATTATTTCTTTACTACCCTGCATCCCTTCTAAGTAAGACACTGAACAATATGGTGTAGATATGGGATTAAAATCTGCAAGTCCCAAAGTTGTGGGTTCTCTCATCCTATCCACTCCCATATCACTCTCTCAAAGAATCAGCGACAAAAATTACATTTGGTTCATCCCATCAAATCCCACCTAGCAATATTAATTCTGAATGATGGCTATAAAAACATTCATTGTTCGACATCCTCCATGGACTGCACAAATATATGTGGAGTCCTGTAGCTCAGTGGTTAGAGCACTCGCTTTGCAAGTTCAATCCCCGGCAGGTCAGGGCGAAACCTTGGGCAAGTTTCCTTACTCCACACAGAGCCTAATAATAATCCCTCCAAAACAAAACAATAATAAATTGGTCATTTTCAATCCGCGACTGTTTGTGGGACATTGCTGTGCGCAATTGGCTGCCGCGTTCACCCACAAATATACAGTCAATTCACTTTACAGTGTGTTCTGTGAAGCGCTTTGGGACGTCCTCCCGATGTGAAAAGCGCTATATCAAATGCAAGGATCATTATTATTATTATTAGCAGCATCCTCTTGTTTGGTGAAGACAAATACGAAGCACTCATTCGGTCCCTCAGCCATGCCCTCTTCCTCCACAAGAAGCTTTCCATTTTGGTCCCTAATCAGCCCTTCTTTTGACCATCATTTTACTCTTAATATGTTTGTAAAAGACCTGTGTTCCCTTTTATGATACCTGCTAATCTTTTCTCATACACTCCTTTGCCTCTCTTATTCCCTTCTTCAGTTCTCTGCACTTTCTGTAATCTGCTTAATTCTCTACTGTGTTATAAATCTGGTATTTATCATAAACCTCCTTTTTCTGTTTCTTTTTAATCCCAATGTCTTTAGTCATCCAGGGAACACTAGCTTTGGATGCTCTAGCTATCCTGCTCATGGAAATGTTAAGTCTGTGCCCAAACTATATCCTCCTTGAACAACAATAACTTGCACGTAGATAGCGCCCTCCATGCAGGGCAGAATCTCAGAGCGCTTAACAGTGGCGGAGCTTGACTCCGGGTGGGGATGTGGTGGGCGGAGGTGGCCATAAGCACGGTCGAAGAGGAAGGTCTTCAGGCGGGACTTGAAAAAAGGGAGTGTCCAGGATTTCGGGGTGTAGTAGCTGAAAGCGTGACCTCCAATTGTAGGGCGCAGGGTCAGAGCTTTGTGCATCCCATACACAGCAATGCTGGACTGCATGGTGTTATCTACCAAGTCTAATCTCTAACACAGGGACCTCGAGGCAGTGCAGAGAAGATCAGCAAGGCATGATCCCTGGTGGTAGAGACAGAGGAGAGCAGCGAGGCTGATCCCTGGTGGTAGAGACAGAGGAGAGCAGCTGAGGCTGATCCCTGGTGGTAGAGACAGAGGAGAGCAGCGAGGCTGATCCCTGGTGTTAGAGACAGAGGAGAGCAGTGAGGCTGATCCGTGGTGTTAGAGACCGAGGAGGGCAGCGAGGCTGATCCCTGGTGTTAGAGACAGAGGAGAGCAGTGAGGCTGATCCGGGGCCGAGGAGCAGCGAGGCTGATCCCTGGTGTTAGAGACAGAGGAGGGCAGCGAGGCTGATCCCTGGTGTTAGAGACAGAGGAGGGCAGTGAGGCTGATCCCTGGTGTTAGAGACAGAGGAGGGCAGCGAGGCTGATCCCTGGTGTTAGAGACAGAGAGGGCTGATTGGAGAGACAGAGGAGCAGCGAGGCTGATCCCTGGTGTTAGAGACAGAGGAGGGCAGTGAGGCTGATCCCAGTGTTACAGACAAAGGGGAGTAGCGAGTCAGATCCCTGGTCTGAAGGTTTGAAACATTCTATTGAAGTTCACTGTCACGCTTCAGTTCGCCACCTGAAATTTGACTCTAAGCCCAGGTAGCAAAGAACCTCACCCACCAGACTAGGGGTATGTGTGATTGGGGAAGAGCCAGAAATGGGTGGGGACAGAGTAGGGGTAGAGACAGAACGGGATGTGTGAGACTGGAGGCAGAGCCTTACCGGGGAGTGGGGTGAGTGGGGTTGGGGGTGGGTGTGGGGGGCAAAGCTGGGAGTGACTGGGGGCAAATCTGGGGGCAGGGTCAGACCAGTATGTGTGTGACTGAGCGGAGCCAGATGGGGTGTGACTGAGGCGGGGCCAGTCCGGGGATTGACTGGGGGTGGGGCCAGACTGAGGAGTGATTGGGGTTGGGCCCAAACTGGGGCAGCGCTGGGGCAGCAATATGGAGGGTATTGATAAGTTTACAGCCGGAGGCTGTAGCCTGACCCAGCTGACCTGCCTTCCTTTCTCTCCAGTCTCACGATCGATTGCAAGTGTATGGTGGCCACAAGGACATGGTCATGTGTATGACTATCCACAAGAGCATGGTGAGTGTGCCTCAGTGTTCACAAGAGCATGGTGAGTGGGTCACAGTGTTCACAAGAGCATGGTGAGTGTGCCTCAGTGTTCACAAGAGCATGGTGAGTGTGCCTCAGTGTTCACAAGAGCATGGTGAGTGCGTCACAGTGTTCACAAGAGCATGGTGAGTGCGTCACAGTGTTCACAAGAGCATGGTGAGTGCGTCACAGTGTTCACAAGAGCATGGTGAGTGCGTCACAGTGTTCACAAGAGCATGGTGAGTGCGTCACAGTGTTCACAAGAGCTGGGTTAGTGAGCAACATTGTTTATAAGAGCTGGGTTGGTGTGCCATAGGTTCCCAAGAGCTGAGTGAGTGTGCCACAGTGTTCACAAGAGCTGAGTGAGTGTGCCACAACAACAACAAGATTCCATTTATAAAGCGCCTTTCACGTCAGGAGGACGTCCCAAGGCGCTGCACAATTGGGTCATGACCCGAGCAGGGGGGAAATGGTCAGGGGAGGGGAGGGAGCGAGGAGGGGGGAAATGGTCAGGGTGAGGGGAGGGATGGGAGGGAGCGAGAAGGGGGAAGAGAGTCGAGAGGGGAGCTGAAGGCTCGGTCAAAGAGAAAGGTTTTGAGACAGTGTTCACAAGAGCTGAGTGAGTGTGCCACAGTGTTCACAAGAGCTGAGTGAGTGTGCCACAGTGTTCACAAGAGCTGAGTGAGTGTGCCACAGTGTTCACAAGAGCTGAGTGAGTGTGCCACAGTGTTCACAAGAGCTGGGTTAGCGTGCCACAATGTTTATAAGAGCTGGGTTAGTGTGCCACAGTCTTCACAAGAGCTGGGTGAGTGCTGCTGTGTTCACAAGGACGGTGTGAGGAGGAATTTCCCCCCTCCTCCTTCCTCCAGCTCGGTGTTGTGCTCTGCCACTGTCAAGCGCTCAGGGACGCTATCCCACGTGAGGGGCGCTATATAAATGCAAGTTGTTGTTGTTGGGTCACTTGCTAACAGTCAGTGAGCCCTGAGCAAGCTGCTAATTGTGCTCTCTGTGTAGATTTACACAGGCTGTTATGACGGCAGTGTTCAGGCTGTGCGGCTCAACCTCATGCAGAACTTCCGTTGCTGGGTGAGTCTCTTCCCTCTTTCATTTTGCTTCTTATAGCTAAGTGGCCATGTATTCATATGTGAGCTTTGGTGGTGAATGTGGGACTCTGTATTCATGTGGGGAGGGGGTGTGTGACAGTAATGGTCTGTGTGTGACAGTTGCGAGGTGTGTGTGACAGTAATGGGGTCAGGTCATCCAAAACTCTGCTGCTCACATTCTCACCCGCACCAAACTCGCTCCCCGATTACCCCAGTCCTTGCCAGACTGCACTGGCTGCCTGTCCCAGAGAGGATTGACTTCAAGATCCTCATCCTTGTCTTCAAATCCCTCCACTCCTCTGCACCCCCACCTCTCTGACCTCATCTCTCCTCACAACAGTGCCCGTTGCCTTCACTCCACCGGGTCTGGCCTTCTCCTTGTCCCCCGAATTCTCTGCTCCACTACGCCTCAAGGCTCTGGAACTCCCTACCTCACTCCCTTCGCCTCGCCCCCTCTCTTCCTATGTTCAGGTCTCGGTTGAAAATCTTTCTTTTCGACCACACCTTTGGTCACCTTCCTCCCCCTCCCCCTGGCTTGGCCCCGGGATCCATTACTGTGAAGCGCTCTAAGGCGCCGTCCGGCATGGAGGGCACTATATAAATCCAAGCTGTTGTTGTTGGGACGTTTGTGTATGACATATAAGGGATGTGTGTGTGTGTGACACATGGGATGTGTGTAAGTGACAGCAGCGGTGTGTGTGACAGTAAAGGTGTGTGTGTGTGTGACAGTAAAGGTGTGTGTGTGTGTGACAGTAAAGGGGTGTGTGTGTGTGACAGTAAAGGTGTGTGTGACAGTAAAGGTGTGTGTATGTGACAGTAAAGGTGTGTGTGTGTGCCAGTAAAGGTGTGTGTGTGTGTGACAGTAAAGGTGTGTGTGTGTGCCAGTAAAGGTGTGTGTGTGTGTGACAGTAAAGGTGTGTGTGTGTGTGACAGTAAAGGTGTGTGTGTGTGTGACAGTAAAGGTGTGTGTGTGTGTGACAGTAAAGGTGTGTGTGTGTGACAGTAAAGGTGTGTGTGTGTGACAGTAAAGGTGTGTGTGTGACAGTAAAGGTGTGTGTGTGTGTGACAGTAAAGGGGTGTGTGTGACAGTAAAGGGGTGTGTGTGTGTGTGTGACAGTAAAGGGGTGTGTGTGTGTGTGACAGTAAAGGTGTGTGTGTGACAGTAAAGGTGTGTGTGTGACAGTAAAGGGGTGTGTGTGACAGTAAAGGGGTGT